TTAAAGGTGTTTTTGTTTGTTTTTTCTAGAGATGCCATTAATTCTTCTGCTGTGCTTTGTTGTCCTCCACCACTGACTTTAGTGTCTCTGCTTTGGAGATTTTCTCATTGGAAGAATTAGTCTGACATCTTTTTAGTTGGCTTTGCTTCTTGTCAGAGTCCCTAATAGCAGAAATGCAAGTATTCAGCTTTGTCTATGAACTGCTCTGTAGCTTGCAGCTTTCATATAGAGCAGAAGAGCTGTTGTTCCTTGGGCCTTGAAGTCAGTACTACATTGATTCACTTTTGGAAGCCTGTTTGGCTGCTGAAAGGAATTTAAGTAATGAAATTTAATTACTAGGGTGTGTGGGGGAAACATGCTAAACTTAATAGGAACAGTAGGTTCATTTCTCTGCATTTCTTCAGTTACCATTGTGTTTGCTGTTATTAGGGACACTGGATTCGCATAAAGCATATAAAAGCCTTTTTTAATCAAGGTAATTTTCTAATCCTGTTTATTCAAGTTTTGTTTTGAATTAATTTCTGAATTAAGATTTGTTTCAATATGTGAACTTCAAAAGCAGAAAAAAAATTTAAAAACTGTACCATTATGTAAAGAATAAAAAAAATCAGTTCAGAAGAGCTCTGAGAGGCAATAGTAGCACTCAAAATGTATTTTGCATCTTGCATCTATATTGTAGATTCAGAGTATGTAAGAATAGTATTTGCTCGTTAGTTTTACAGTGGGGACAGAATCCATACTCTTTTTTAAAGTGTGTGTTAAATTCTTATTTGCAAAATTTCTTTCATTTGAATACTTTGTGAAACATTATGTGATGACTGTCATGTGGTATACAGTATGCAATGTGTGTTATATCTTAAGTAAAAGCTCAGTTTGAGTATGACTTATTGTTCCTGAATTGAAGAATCAAGTAGAGCTTTACCTCAAGTGGAGCTCCTGTCATTAGATCCCAGATCCTTGTTCCTAAAAGCTTCTCTGAGGACTCAGGTACTCCTAGTGCCGTAGCACTCTTTAAGATTTGTGAAAAAGGGATGCTTTGTTTTGACAGTCTTATAATCCGGTTTAAAACAAATGACTTTTAAACATGGGGAGGCAGGGGACAAAATAGAAAGAGAAAAGTGAGGGTAAAAATAGTCCCTCTATGTGTGCATGAACTTATGTCAAGTTTCTGGAATGCAACTGAAACTTGAGACGCTGTGGGATGTAGTGGATGAAGGACTGATCAAATGTTCAAAAGCTGTAAAGGTGTGGTCTGGCTGGTACTGAAGGCATTTATCAGCTGTTTTGATAACTGGGAAGTTTAAAAAGTCTCCTTTGAAGCTGAGGAGTTGGCTTCACAGTAAGCCTTGTATCCAGCTGATGCGCTGGTTGGCCAGGATGGCATTTTCCTTCCCTGCCGTGTTTGGGGTTTTGGCTTATTTTGTTCTGTGTTTTTCTCCCTTAACAGGTGAACAAGGAAAAGGGGTGATGGCACAATGATTCGGGCATTTCAGTGTGATTTTCAAGGAGACAGGTCTTTGAGTGTTAGTGGATTTAAACTGGCCCAATGAATTTATTTATATATTTTTAAAGGTAAATAACTTCTGCTAGCTTAGCTTCTGAGCTGGTTTAACATAGGATCAGTCAAGTGCCAGTGCTGGAACAAATAAGAGGGATGATGACAGAATGGTGGCAGGACTGACCTAGTTCGACTAGGTTGTGCAACTGTAGCCTAAAGGGAAGGAGTTATTTTACCTCAAGACACTTCTAAAATACATTTTAGAAATTTACAGTAGAATTATTAAAGATGGAAGTAGTAGGAAAGAACATATATGAATCTAGAAAGTCTGACATGAAGGTTATTCAGAAAATATTAATGCTGCTTATGTTAATAATAAATTATATTCTACATTTTACAAATAAGATTAATGCAGCATAAGAAATTTCAGAATTATATTTGAAGTCACGTGGACAACATTCTTTGTTAAAGCTCAGTTTTTATTTAATTGTAAGTTACTGTTTATTCTTTCCTTTTGCTAAAATAAGCCTTATCTTTTTGTGAAAAAATGATTTCTAGGGTAGGACAATGCATAGAAAACCAAACCCAGAATATACTTTTGAATCTGAGAAGAGAATAATGGAAAAAGATTGTGATTTTTGTCTTCATGTGGACCAATAATTTAGTACTTCCATGTTAAATCTTCAGTGAGATAGGGCTTGAATATCTCTGGCTAATGAATTTGGATTCTCACTGAGATACTCCTATTCTTAAACCTCGTTGTAGTTTAATAGTAAAAATATTTACAAGGAGGAGTATTAACACAAGAAACATGAACTACTAAAAGAGTAAATAAAAGTGACAGACTTGTTGGAAGAAGTATTTTACAATGTTGAAATCAAGTCAAAAAGCTTAGATTAAGGTGATCTGTCAGTTACCTAGTCAGTCTTTCTCTCCGTTGTTTTTATTTTTGAACTTCTTCAGAGAATATGTATTTCTTATCTAGATAATATCCACTTTTCATTACATTTCTACCTGCTCCAGGTTGTGGATTTCTGAGGCTTGATGGTACCAGGAGAGATTTGGGAAATGTTCCTTTTTGTTGCCTATTAAAGTCCTATTTTGATAGTCTCGAAGCGTTTTGAAATGTACATTTATGTCAATGTACAATTCTTTAACTGATGTTGTGTCAGGGAGCTCTTTTAAAAGTATAAGGAACTGATTATGGAAGAGCTTTGTCCAGTGATCATGTAACCCATTGAGAAGTTTGTCACAGGTCTCTTTTGACCTGTATAAGAAGTCTCAACTTGTTTCTTCCTGTACACAGCTTGAGGTTCTGTCTCTTTTTTGGCTAAAACACCTGTTGTCCTTACTCTGAAGACTTTCCAGTCATTATCTGGCATTTTGGTTAATAACACTCTGTAAGGGCAATAGAACTTTGAGTACTTTATTACTGCAGCCTTTGAACCATAAAAACAGAATATGGTTCTTCCAGTAAAATTATATTTGTATCCCTACTTTAAGGTTTAGAGCCTGTTTATCTAGAAATTGTTCCCTGTTTGGACCTGCTGTAGTTTGTGCATGTGACAGTGAAAGAACCTTTCCTTACAGCGAATTGAATTTGGGTTCTTTCTTGATTTTTACAGAATCTGTATTAATATAGCAATAATAGCACACTTTATAATTCAATAGTGCTTTCTTGGGAATCTCGAGAGAAGACATAGTCATAACTTTCAGGATATGTAACATATATGAGATAATTCATGGACTGATTCAGAGCTGGCATGTTTGCATCGACTTCATGGAGAGCAGAGCTGCTTGTTTTCTGTGGAAGGAAGCCTTGTGCTTAGCAGAAGTTGGGGTTCAAAATGACTTTACTTGTGTGTTTTGTTACAGTGGCTCCCTTAGCTTGCAGTTGTAACCAGTGAAAACATCTTTTGACAGAAAAATATATGGGAGGATGGTGGGCTGTAAAAAATTTTAGAACACACTGCATAGTAATTCCTTCCTGTATGTCTTCTAAGTCGTTATTTACTTTTGATCTCTGCTTATAAGGAGGGTGGTGAAAGGGAAACCAATAACTTTTAACATACGAAGTACCATATTGCAGCATAGATCAAGCCATGTTAGCAATTTATAGCAGTTCGGAGTTCTGGATGTTGATGAGACAAAAATGAATGACCAAAGTGAAAAAGTAAATACTTTTTCCTAACTTATGTGAATGTAATTTGAAAAGTGGAAGACAAAAGTGAACACCATCCATTTGGGCATTAATTAACAGAAAGTTTTCAGTCATCACTGAGCTCTGTCAGGCCCTTTGCCCCCCAGGAACATATATATAACTGCAAAGCAACTGGCTAGTACTGTCCTTCTGTACCTTTTCTTAATAAAAGTGTAGTTTCTAATGTGAAAGAGCAAAGGAGAAGCTCTTAATCTTTAGTTTTGGGAATTTGCTAGCCGTTCTTGTGAATTGCCATCTTAATTGCAGAACTTGTATCCTCCTTTTTTTTTTTTGTCTTATTTGCTTGCATCCTAAATTCAGATCCCTGCTTTGTGGCTTCTCTTGAAGGTGATTCTTCAGTGGTCCTCAAAGAAGAAGGGTTTATGTTGTAGGAAGTAGCAGGCTGGAAAATGTGGCATAGCAAATACAGTGAAGACATGAAACAGTTTTCATATTCAAACAAAACTGTATTCATTTCTGAATTTTTGTGTTGAAAAATTAGTGGTAAAATCTAGTGAATCTTTTCAGTAAAGTTTAGTCTTGGATGATGTATTTTTACACTATTCTTTGTTAGCGTCTTTTTTGACATGGGTAAATAAGTCTTTGATGCTGGTAAATGTCCTTTCTAAAAATAGACTGGGAGCTGAGAAGTATTAAGTCTCTCTTGAGTTAGGCTCATGTTAAGTCAGTGGGAAATCATTCTGTCTGCTCTAATGGAGTTTGGCTCAACATCATGTCATTATGCATTAGCCAAACCTCAGCTACTACCATGCAGGAATTCTCCAGACAGTAAATATTTTCTTTATAAATGAAACACTTTACACAGTTTTTGCAGGGTGTTTCCATCACCCTTTGATAAGCAAATCTTAGTTATCAACCCTGCAAAGTCTTATGCCTTTGGAAGTTGTTTTTATTAATGTCAAAAGACATTAAAAAAAGTCATTATCTGAATGAGGACTTGAATAATTGGTTCAGTCCCTAACTATTACACAGAAAGGAGAGAAATTCAGTGTTGTTTTTAACTGTTCAATAAAGATGCTTCTAAGACATATAGGAAGAAACTGGGATGTTAGATATGTGAACTTTGAGAAGAGGAGAAAAAACTGGCACCTTTATAATTCACTGGCCTCAGAATCAAAATGGGTTTGAACATAGTAGTTGGAATTTCAGAATACCATTTTCACACCACCTCTAATGTAAAAGCATATATGCTCTAAAAAATGGAAAAAGTAATGGTGTTCTTAGTATATGTTAACACTGCTGAGCTGTGCTTGGCTAACATTTTTCTCATCTGTTTCATAGGTTTTGTAAGAGACACCGGATTAAATCAAATTCAAATGTTCCATGTGTCCCAAAAGACTTGTTGATGATGTCAGAATTAGTTCTTCCGCAGTTCATCTTTAGTCTTATTCAGCACTTAAGAGAGGGATATAATGAGCCTGGTATGTTTTAAATTTGCATGTATCTAGCATATCTTACCATGCTGTTATCTGTTGCTTTGCAGTCTGTGAAGACATAGTACATAAATGGTATCTGTAGTTTATGTCATTGTATTTTGTACTTCTCTTCCTAACAAAATTACTGCCTGGCTATGCAATTTGGTTTTATTGTCTTCTGGAGAACTTAAATATGTGTTAGGGTTTACCTAGCATTGTGTTGAGCTCTTTCAGAAAATGAAATCAGGTATAATTTGAAACTTGTGTGAATTCTAGAGCATTATAAACATATAAATTATTTCCATTTGTGGTGGTCGTAACTGTTCTGCATGTGAAGCTCTTGGCCAAATTACATTGCATCTACACCAAAAGTTCTTGTTATGTGGTTTTCAGCTCTTGATCTGCCGTCAGAGAAGGACCTTCATAAAATCCTCCAGGTTTTGGAGCCTCATGTTTCCTTTCTAGAAGACTTGACCAAAATGGGAGGAGCAATGAGATCGGTTCTTACCCAGGTTTTGACTAGCCAACAGTTCTACAAAGATCTTAGCTCTGGTATGTTTGTGTTATTTCTAATAATTAAATTTTCAAACTATGAAGAATTGAGGGTATAAATTTTGTTTATCATTTCAGTTTCTGCATGTTTTTATTTGACTTCTCAAGACACAGAAAAACATATTTTTAAGGATATTTTGTTGTTGATAGGAGGGTGGGCTTCAGGAGAGACTAAGAACATTTGTTATTAAGACCTGTAAGAGCAAACCTCTGATCTTCTGTGTCCCAAATAACTGTATAAAGAAATATCCTTACAAAAAAGTTTTTATAAGAAATCCATTCTCTTCAAAGTGAAGTGAACATGGTCTCTTAGTACGTCCAAATTAGGCGTACCAAGGTTATTCACAGTGGAATATGTCTAACTTATTTTGGGATCTGCTCTCACAGAGGCTACTGGAGGAGACCTGAATGGCAAAAGGCCATTGTCTGTCCTGCACTTCTGTGCAAAGCCCTTTCCAGCTTCTTTTTTTTTTTTAAACATCACCCCCCTCTTCGTTATTTATTCCATCCTGTACCAAATCACAATGAATCTGAAAATTGGGCATTCACTGCAGACCCCAAACCACCTAGTATAAATTAACTCCATGTTATTTTCTTGTGATTTGAAAGTGTCTTTTAAGAGTCCTTTGCGTAGATATGGAACAAATAATAATTACTCTAGTTTTAAGTTGCCATAACTGGCTTGGGCAGCAGCAAGTTGATGAACAGGCAATCTCCAAATCTTTATGTGAAAGGAGAAATACTTAGTAAAGCTGCCTCAGGTGTAGTTCTTTATTCTTTCCTTCCTCTTATTCTCTCCTGTCGAATAATATTTGAATGGGACTAATTTAATGACTTTTCTTTTCCTATATGTGATGGGTTTCTTGATATAGGAAGGTGGAAAGGGAGGGGAAAGTAAGGCATTCTTATCTGGACTCTTGGAATGGAGAATATGCGTGTCTCAGTAGGTACAGTTTCTGGGTGGGGAAAGCAAAGGAAGGGATTTTAAAGCAAAACCTGCCCTTCTGACTTAGAAAGCAAAAGGTGCACAGCTACAAAGATGCTCTTGTCTTTTTCATCTTCTTTTCCCTTAAACAGTTGATAGAATTTGCTTCTTCAAAGTTTGTTTTTTCCTTATATAACAAATGTGTTCGGTTTTTGTAGTCCATTGCTTTGTGGAAAATTTTATCTCCTGAGTATGCAGTGTAACTTTGCTTCATCAAACAGTTGAAATTACATCTTTACGAATAGCCTCCATTAATTGCAGCTGTCAAAACTTGAACTTTGAAGAAAAATTTCCAATATTAGAAATCATACATGCTCTATTACCATTACTGCATTATTTTGTTGGGGTTTTTTTTCTTTCTATTGGTCCCTCTCCTTTCTGTTGAAAACCAACTGTTTTGAAATATCAAAAGGCATGCTTTTTTTTCTGTACTGTTAATGGTGGGAGTGCTGGTAAAATACAAATGGAGTACATAGTTTAGAAGACAACGATGTTTTGGAGGGGAAAAACTAAGAGTTACTCACCTTCTGGCTTTCATCAGTTGGAAAAACTTTTTAGCTTCTATGTTGCATAATTGTACCGCTTATTAAAACATTGTGGGCCATTTTTTAGATTGCTTATATAGAATATGAAGTATATGAACCAAGTATCTGCTGATGTGCTTTAATACTGTTTTATGTGTGTATTCAAGGTATTGGAGAGAATGCATGCACAAAGAAAAGTCACGAAAAGTATCTCATTGCTTTGAAAGGCTCTGGACTGGCATTTCCCGAGGATAAAATTGCATGTGGTATGCAGGAACAAGGAGCTGGAACTAGTACATTAGCTGTTCAAGGTTTGTGTAGAGATATATTTTAAGAGAAGACTTGCTTATTGATGGTTTTAATATAAACTCTTCTTTAGGTTTATTTTTAAAAACACCAAATCTTAATGAAACTTAAGGAATCACCTGTTATTTGCACTATCAAATTACAGGACTCATTTTATTTCTATCAACAAAGCTAAACATGTTAACTTTTTGTTGCTAATACACTAAGCACCATTTTTCCAGCCATAGCATTAGTGGAATTTGAGTAGGCAAGATGAAATTGCTCATAGTGGAATTTTGTCATTGCAACTAAGTTAAACCACCTATTCTTATAAAGGTGCTGTGGATTTTTTTTTTTTTTTTTTGATCACTGAAGGCTGTTTTTTTTTCCAATTTCTGAAAGAACGTGTCTCCGTTAACACGGTACATTGAAGTTCTGCAATGGAATGTACTTGCAGATCCCTAATTTTGTATTGCTTGGAAATCTTACTCCAACTTCTCAGTTCACTGCTATGTATCTTTTAAAAAAAGATTAATGTAGTTTTTTATTTCATGCTGGCTCATGAAATATTGTAAAATACTGTCTTTTCAGTATAAGATTTATGAAAAGAATCTCTGAATTTTTTATTTCAAAAGGTTTAGCAGGTGCTACAGCAGCATCAGGACAAGGAGATTCTTCAGATGAGGTGAGACTGTTTTTAAAGACTATAATGAACTGCAACAGAATATTAAATGGAGAGAATGCTTGCAGCCAAATCCCACAAGCCTTAACTCTTCTATCTGCCATATATATTATCCCCATTTTAATAATTAGGAAAAATGGAGATATAAAGGAATAGATCTCATGCCTTTGATTTACAAAGGACCAATCCTTATTTTTGCTAACACTGTTTCAGTTTAATTTATGTGTGCAATGTAGAAGAAACCTGTGTAGATATTTGAAAAGTCACTATCAAGTAAATTGGGCTTGATTAAAGCAAACTTAGAGCATGTAATGCTGTGAATGGTGTTAGCAGTTTTTGGCACTTGAGAATCCAGCTTAACTGGAGATAGCAGCAGTGAGAATTTCACTGTAGATTAATTCCCAAGTGTAGACTTGACCTTACTTACCAAACACATTGAGTGGGAGTAGAAAGGAGAAAATCTCATTTTAGGTTGAGCTGTAATAAATAAGTGTAATTTAATGAAGAAAGTAAGCCTTAGCAGCCATTTTGGTAGGGTAACATAACGAACTTTAAATAACGTAAAGAGATATCTAATATAAGAACATTTATTCCTCAATGTGGTAAAAGCATTCATGGACTGCATTTTATTTGATTCCTTGGAACATAACATCTTGAATAGGAGGACAGGTTTAGACAGGGCCTTTTTTCTCCTTTTGCACAAAGGAAAACATGAGAAATAACAGCTGTCCTTCAGATTAATTTTTATCTTAGAACTGTCTACTGTTGTAGAAGTGAAACTAAATACTGAGCTATGCAAAACTTTTCAAGGTGTTTAGTTCCCTGCAGAAGTGCTGCTCTAATTTGTAGTCCCTATAAATTTTCTAATCTAGCGTTCCGTCTGTGAAACAATGCTACCATAAGGCCTTGGTAAGAACATTATTTACCTTTCGAGATTCCTCTTAAATACCAGAGGAAGAAAATCCAGTTAAAAGTGTACTCTTGCCACGTTTCTTGATTATAACATAGTTTTATTCTGCTCTAAGAAGTACAATAAGGCATTAAAAAAACCTTTTTAGCTCACATGGGAGTAACAGAGAAGAGGAAGAGAAGTCATAAAGCAAGACCCCTTTTTCCTCATTTCTCTAGTAACATCATTTTTCTAATAAGCCTTTCAGCCTTACACCTGCACAGTCTGTTTTGACTTTTGGATGAAAGGACTGGACTTTCTTTTCAGCAATTCATATTTGTAAAGCAGAACACAATTAAGATTATAAAATAAAAAATTAACTTTTTTCGCTGATGCTTTTTTCAGGGTGGGAAAAAAAATTTACAGTTTAAATTGCAGAGTCCTGCAGTGCATAGTAACATCCTAGCAAGTCTGATTTTTTTTCTTGAGAGTACTTGGCCCCTCTGATGGGGGAGTGGGCAGTGGCAGCATCCAGAGAACTGACTGACTCATTTCCGATTGAAGTACCAAAGTAACCTGTGTTCACAAGGACCACAGTCTTGTGGTCTAAGTGTTCAAATGTGTGTCCGTCTTAAAAGGAATTTTAAGATGGAGATAATGAAAGGATAGGAAAATTCAGACCTTTTATTCACCCCATACTTTTGGTCAGTCCTTAGACATAAAATATGAATAATCTTTCTCCCCAAGAAAGGATAGTAACTTTTTCAGGTTTGAGTTCTCTATCATTTAGGTGAAGTTTGGATATAAAACTTGGCATTTGCCATATCCTTGGAGAAGGATATTGATTACTTACTTTGAACAGTAGATATCTGTATTAATTATGTCTCATTAGCTCCAATAAGGAACTTTACTTCCACTGTTTCATTAGGACTACCATTGTTAGTAAAGATCCATGCAGCATTTAGTGTAGTTCTGTAATGTTACATGCTTTTTTAACACCTAGTGTTAGATTTTGTGAAGTGATGGTGGAGATGTTTTTAACTTGCATTATATTTTTGAACTTTTGCTATTTTGTTTGAAGCCTTGGAAGCTTCAGATGACAAGTGCTTATGTAAAGTGTTTCCATTATTCTGTAGGGAGAAAGCAATTAGAATTGGCCTCCTAAAGGTGTCAAAAGTACTTTATTCTTGCATCAAAAATTTACATTGATTAGAAAATGTCTAGTTAATTGTATTGTCAACGTAGATATGCAATATGTTGGGTGATTTTTTTTTAGGAAACAAAAAACCACAAACGCTACAGGTGGATAAGGGAAAACCTTGGATGTGCAACAGTTAGAAACTTTGTAGTGTTAAACATTTTTGTAGCAATCAGTTTCAGAAATCAAAGCAAGTAACCTTACAAAATTAATGAAAGACATGAATATGTCTGACCTTGCAGATGATAATGTTGCCTATAGGGGGGAAAAAGGCAAATAAAAAATTTAATGTTTTTTTCTAAAGAGTTGCACACAGTCCATGGTTCTGTAAACAGTAAAAGTATTTTTCTAGTAAGATAGTGTATTCAGGGCTTCTTTGTTTTAGCTTGATAGTTAAACCAGAATTTTGAGAGCATACCATCTCTTGGCAATAAGATTCTAAGTATAAGATTATGAATTTTTTAAACTCTTCCCCTACCCCAGGAGGACCAGGATGGTAGCCAAGGTGTGGGAAAGCGCAAGAGGGTGAAACTAAGCAGCACCACCAAAGGTATTTATAAAGTACTCATCTCAGTTTATCATATTTTCTTTATGTCTGTCTTAAAAATTATCTAGGGATACTCATTCACTTCCCATGAACTATAGTGCTGCATGTCACATGTATTAAACATAGGAAAGTCCAAAAAAGAATAGCAAGTGAAAATGTGGTAATTTGCAATTTTGATTTCCCTTGTGTGAGTACCACTGTCTGGGACTCTGACATTTTGTCACCTCTGTGTTGTAAGGTGACCTCCAAAAATTCGTCCAATTTTCACTGTGTGGCTATCAAGGCTGCAATACAGCTTTACAAGGAAGTGTTTGATGTATTTGTTCTTACCATTTTTTTTGATTGTGCCATTGTACAGTATGATTGTGTTCTCAGCCAGGCAAGAATGCTCATCTCTGGTTCTGATTGGTCTTTCTGTGTTGTTCTAGTAATGTTTAAGATAAGATACTTGAACAGAGTCTCCCTTAACTTCATTGTTTTGAAATTAGTCCTCTCTGCAATTTCTAGTCCGACATGAGTAGCACTCACATGGAGGTCAGTGCAAGTTTTAATTCAAGAATGACTATAGGCTAGAGACAAGGTAGTCCTATCCTGTTCTTGACACGTTTTTATGTTAAAAACTGTTTAAATAATAATATTGAAATACTGTTATTAGGTAAAGAGGGCTTTTGTTTGTTTGTTTGTTTTTTAATATGAGTATGAGGAGATGGACGTAGGAAGCACAAAGAATTGCAAGCCTTGAGAAAAGAACATTTGAGTGAAAAAACTGGTGAAAGTTGGAATAAAATTTCTGGAAGATCTCTGGAGTGAATGTTTGGAGCTTGAGTTTGAAATACAAAGGTTCATGAATTATTAGAATGGTATGAAGATGTTGTGAGGAGTATGGGAAAGTAAGATTGGTTGTTTCTAGTGTTTTCAGGTTGAAGGAAAAAGAGATTAGGAAGCTGGAAAAGCATAGAACTAAATGTTTTGGCAACGATGTTGTTAAGAGATAATCTTAAAAATGGTATGTGAAAGACTGTGGTAGAGAATAATGATGTGGAAGAGGTGGTAGTTTTGGAGAAATGCAGGAAATGTAGAGACATCCAAGGAAAGTTCTCTTACTTAAATTTTAGAGGCTGTTAGCTTGTCTGAAAGATGAGTTAGTCAGGTAACACAAGAAAAAAGATTGTTGTTCTGGTGCATAATAAATAATTATGGGAAATAGGCAGGGAGGAAGTTCAGGTTTAGAAGCTGCCTGATCAGGATACCAGTATCAGCAGTGGCATTTCAGGAAAAGTGATACTTGAATTGAACATTTAATTTCCCCCCAGGACTGTAGTCTTCCCCCTCTGAGGCATCCCAACATGGACTGTGCTCTTGATGTTGATAGCTCCTAATATCTGCCCCAGAGGAGGGAGTCTGCCAATGGGGGAAGGGTAAGTATCTGTTTTTATTAAATATCAAATAGTTTTCTGAAGTTTTCAGTATTCATATTTTATGTCCAATAGGGTATAAAATAAGAGTATGAAAAGAAAATTTTAGAAAACTGAGTATTGAATAAAAACAGATTTACCTTTTCCATATAAGCAGACTCCCTGTCCCGTCCTAGGTCTTCAGTGGTGTATTGTCTCCATAGAGGGTTATTTATATACTGGAGATGTCTTGAAGTGCTAAGTCTCCTATTCCAGAGAGATATTTAAAACACTCTGTGAGATCTTTTGTGGCACCAGGAAAGAATGAAAGGTTTCTTTGAAGAAAATACAGTTTTTATGCTGAGATTCACTGATACAGGTATGGGACTGAGTATTGAGAGAATTTTTATTTTACTCTCTTTTAAAACCTGCATCCTGCATCCATCTGAACTACCAGACATTTAAGACAATTTTAAACCCATAGGCACTATTTTTTTTTATTATTTGTTTAAAGAAATTTAAAATCATGTGCTACTTTTCACGGGAGTGGGAACATTAGTCCCAGTGTTCTTGACAAATTTTCCAAGTTGGGTAAGAGCATTCTGCCTACTTAAATTCTATATCAGGTGTAAGTTGATAGTATTCTTCTGTCCTTGCCTGAAACTGCTACTTAAAGTATTTGATATTCACTGTTCAACATTTCAGAGAAAGCTGCACATGAGTAACAGATGAGGTGTTGTGTCACTTGTCTCCGTGCCTGGTGTTCACACTCAGGAGCATTTGGCATGTACCTAAACTTGTGCTGTCTGTTCTGTGGACACAGGACATCAGTCTGCATCGCTGCCAAACTGTCATGGGTGGTCAGATCACATACACTATTTCTTAACAAGAGAGAGGAACAGAATGTAAATGATCATCATGTGTTTGTTGCAGTAGGTGATGTGTAATGCTTTACAAAATATTTTAATATTAAAATACTTTTCATGACTCTGTGGAGGTTATGTTTTTATATCAATGCTTGTAGAATATATTGAATAAAACATATTCTTGCCCTTTCGTGGCTTGCTGGAGTCTTGAGGAGAACGCTAACATTTAAATTTGGGCTAATTGGTCACTTGACTGAGGAACTCTGACCTTTGATAATGATGGAAAATGGAGGTAATTCCTGATTAGGAAAAGCACAAATGCCTATGCTGCTTAGAACAGGCACAAAGCTATCCAGTGCAGTCTCTAAAGCTGTCATACTTCAGTGAAGATGTGAGTCTTTAAGGCCAGATGATGTTTAGCTTAAGTGTTTTTGGATGTGTGCTGGTGGGGACACTTCATATGCTCCCATTGGAATATGGGATTTTCTGTGTGGGGTTATGTATCTTCAGGGGTAGTTGATTTCTAGATATAGAAGAGTGTTATTATTATTTTCTTTTTAGTCCTCATATGTTACTGGAGTGAATAATACCTGTTGTGGTTTTAAATAATAAATAATCAACCTCTTGAAAAAATGGTCTTTATATTTTAGTATTTTTAAAAACTGATTTAATGTGATTTATGCCCTGTCAAACAGTAATTTCACAAACAGTTTATTCTAGCAAAGGTCAGTTTGCAGCTTTGCAATCAGGAAACTGATCTGCTTGAAAACACAGCTGACAATGAAAAGAGCCCAGGCTTGATTCCTACGTAGGTCCCCCACAGGGATCTACTGTCAGCATGAGTAAGGGGGCAGAGTGAATGGCCAGGAGTTGAATGGGGAAAGATGAGAAAGGGGTTAGTACCTGATTATTTAATTATGGTAATTTTTATATAAAGAAACCCAACCAACAACTTTGTGGTTGGCCAGTAAGTACATATATTGCTTTGGAAAATAAGAACAATGGATATATTATTGCTTCTGTTTAACCTGTTTAGAGCTTATAGTTTTAAAGCTTAGGGCTTTAGGTTTTCTTAGGTAATAGAACTCATCACATAATCATAAATGTATTTTGTTGTTTTGCTATTTTATCTTGAGTTAGGCAGTAGTCTACATTGTTTCTCTCAATTAAGTGGCCATGTTGATATTGTGCAGTTTGCTGTGATGCATTATAATCAGTGCAGCTATTACAGTAAGGTGATATGATTCAATACAATCAATGAAGATTGGATTCTGTGGTAGAACTGTAGAGAAAACTTTCATTGGCTTCTCTGGGAGATCCTTTTTATCTGACACTGTGCAGTGTTGGTCATGTTCATTTTCCCAGTGTTTATAAAGAATAAAATTTACAGAATGCACTAAGATGTTCTTAAATTTTTTTCCTGAATTTTTATGAGTGAAACTGCATTATCATTGTTTTAATTATGCATACCCTGCTCCAACCTTTTATGCAGATCAATCTATCATGGATGTTTTGAAGCATAAATGTTTTCTAGAAGAATTATTATTTTGGACAATAAAATATGAGTTTCCACAGAAGATGGTGACTTTCTTACTCAACATGCTACCAGATCAAGATTATAAGGTACTTGCCTTACTTCATTCAAAACTAAATATGTTTTCTTATTCACATACTCAGTGTGCATTATGCCTTGCATGAGACCATGTATGTTTATATTTGAATAATAAGCAGTAAAATAATGCAGATCTTTTACCTTGTTTTGAGAATTTTGTTAGAAGGTCTGAAGTGTTTAGTATTTGAAGAGTGATGTGGACAAAGTAAGATAGATAATTCTGGAGCAGCAGAATTAATTTTGATCTCATGCTTTGTTATTTTCCTTTTTGACTGTTAATTGCATATTTGCACGTGTTGGATTTTGTTTTGTTTTATTTTACTTTGCAAAATGGGGTTTAATCACTTAAAATATGTGGATCACCAGTGTATGATTCTGTGGTGTGGTATGGCTGGTGAATAATTGCAGTGACTTCATTCCTGTTTCAAGTGTTGTAGTAGGCAGTGGTTTCTCCATGCAGGCCATTACAGTGTGAGTGTTCTTGCTGCAGCTATGCCCTAGGTGACTTTGGCAGCCTTCCAGGTGCTTCCTTACAGAGTTTTGCAGTTGTCCATACCAAGTATCTCCTGGCCTGGAGTTGTGGAGACTGGATGTCATCTTCCTGTTTTAAATCTTGGTGTGCAGCCAGGTTTGGTTGTTTGCTCCACATGTTCCCAAGACCTAGTATACATAGCAATAAGGCTTAACATTTTGGTCTGATCATGTCATACTCTTGAGCCATGCAAATATTTTGGACCTTCTCAATCCCTGCTGGGAGACAAAGATCAAGAAATCCTGAAGTCTGGGCATGCAGATTTCTTCAAAAATGTGTGTTTATAGTGGAACAGCCCTGTATTTTTGTCCCCTTAAAACCTTGCTGTATCAAAACAAAGGATATGAAGATAACTTGCAAGGAAGAAAAAGATATGGGCTTTCAGCAATACTGTGTCCATGTCAAGACACCGTTTTGATTTGGGATACGAGCATAGAATCGTCTTGGTCTTGGATTCAGCTAATACATGAGGAGAGATTAGGACTTCTTAACTGATGAACCCTTACCATGAAGCTTGCATTCTTCTTGATAATTTGGAGACCCACATGGACATCCAGTTCTCCTGATCCATTGCCAGCGAAATTCCAGCCTGTAAAAACAACCAGCTGCTAGCACATGGAAGAATCTGGTAAGTGTTGGCTGTGTTTCCCTTTTTGCTATACCGTGTAATAACAACAGCTTTTAATGATCATGGGATCTTTCTTCCTTTGACAACAAGCCACAGTCTTCAATGACTTTTTTTGTTGTGTTCATCATCTGTCTTCACTCAGAATGGAGACCGTGATATGTTTAATCTCTACCGACTACCACCTTTATCTGGAAATAGACCATCTTCTACCCACCAATACTGCATGCTCAGATTAAAAGATTTTAAACATTTTTGTGTGTTACAGGGTTTTTTTTGTTACTAGTTTCATTAAACAGCTAATTCCTATGTAAAAACTTTATTAGAAGCACAAATCCCAAGTATTTGAAGTCTTTTAGGATCTGTTTTTATTTTAATTGCTGTGATTGTCTCAAATGCATTTTTAAGTAGTAAGGGAACTTGGAGCAGGAAATGCATCACACAGCAATACTAGGGAGGCAGTAACTCTGTTTTTTCCCAAGATAACCTGTGCTTTGTTGCAAAACTATGTCAATGCTGCATGAATTTTAAACATGTCTGTGAGGACTGGGGCTAATTTACAGGTAATGGCTCTGCCTTTTACATGTACATAAAGAGAACATAGCATTTTGGGATGAATTAGAAGAATGTTTTATGTTATAGGCTCCCATTTAGCTTTTTGAAAAAAAAAGTCTTGTGTGCTGATTAATCATATTGCATTCTCAAATAGCAGGAATACCTGGAGGGATATAAACTGTTCCAAGTGATCTCTTAGCTTTCTGTTACTTTCTCTCATCCCATCTACACCACATGTACTTCCTAATTTTTTCTATGTCTGCTCTTGTGCAATTTAGCTGATTCTTTGTGAGGTGATTTAGTGCATTAAATCAGCAGAATTCTCCTAGGTTGGTTTTCTGATAAACTGAGGGAGCTAGCCAGACACAGAGCACAGAGCTGGCTGTCTGTGCATGCTTTGAAATTGTTGAAATCTCTGACCTCCAGCATGAACATACTAGAGCTGACTGATCCACCATTGCCCTGGGCAGCAGTCACTGAGCCACTAGCAATCTCAGTTGCAGAGATTTATTTTGAAATAAGAAAACAAACTTGCCTTTTAGGATTCCCAGTATTGAAAAGAGGTTTTGAAAGGGGTGGGCTAAAACCCTGGGTTAAGTAGCTCTTTCCTCTCTCCCTGCTTTGGCATATGAGAGAGACAGCACAACAAAAAGTGTGGTCTTTGCCTTACAGATTTGTGCTTGAGGCATCCCTTCCAGCACTCTCTGACATTTGAAGCTTGGAAGACTTACAAGTGAAGAAAAAGAAAGCAGAAGAGAAATTTACCAAAGCTTCCAGGAAGTTAAAGGTGTTATGGTGTGGAGAAGAGGAAAAGCAAAAGGCCAGAGAAATAGACCTTCATGTGATCAAGGAGAAGGCAAAGAATGTGTTGGCAGTAAACAGGAAGCTGATGGAAGAGTTTAAATCATCCAAGGGCAGAGCCTTGCTGAAATCTGGAATACTGGAAGTAGAAAAATGCAAAAGCATCTGGTAGAGATAATGAATCAACAGTCATAATTACCAAAAATGCTGTGCCTTGTTGGGCACCTCCCATAGAGACCATTGAGGGAGCTATTACAGCAATAACCCCTGGATATACTGTTCTGCAAATTCTGTAGAACAGTTTTTCTTTTGGAACCTTAAGTGTTCAGCTGGCAGAAATATCTTCTTCTTAGGGTTGAGAATATAAACATGGGAGATGTAAGTTCTAACTGAAACATGGAGTTGATGTTAGTCACCTAAAAGTTCTGGGATTGTTGAGTGGCAACCAAGAGGAAAGGCCAGTTGAAAAAATTAACTGTGTTTTTCGATAGGCTAGACATTTAGAAGCTGCACAAGATCATAGAGAGTAAGTCAGTGAAGGTAATTAAATATACAGAAACCATGTTTGTCTTAGGAAGCCACTTCCTGCAAAAGATTGGAAGCTATTTGGAAGGATGTGTTACATCAAAATCTCCGTTTTTGCTCTGATTTATATTCCCCCTTAGTTGTGTATATAGCTTTGGCCACTGAAAGAAAGGATTCTGAGGTGAATGGACTGATTACTATGGCTGTTCTTACATATGGACTGCAGTTTACCACAGTATTTCAACTTTTTAACTTATGGAATTGAGTTTAGTTTCTTCCTCTCAAAATTGGAAAGGGTTGTATTTTTTTATTTTACTTCCAGGTGAATGTAGGAGAAAAGCTGCTGTCTTTCCTTTACTTAAGTGTATTACAGAGTGTCTACCATTATACTGTATTGAGAGCAAATTTACGTTACCTTCAGAGGTTCATTATTGTATACGAGTGAGGCACAAAAAATTTTGATGCATGCTGATTTAAAATAAAGAAATAAAAAATCCAAAATTTGTCCTTAGAGAAGGACAGTGTTTTTGCAGTCAACTTAAATTGAGAGTGCTGTGTAAAACAAGTAATACATAGTTCCTACATCTCAGAATCCAAAAATCCTATCTAAACATAATTCAATGTGAAAAAATAATATGTGGAAAAGTATACTTTTTTTACTAGCAGCATTAATATACCAACTTCTTAAAATATCTGGTGCATCATTTGTGTCTGAGGCTTAACATCAATAGCGTGAATGTCTTGATGATAAGTGTTACTGCCAGTGATTAAAATTGTTTAAAGCTTTAATTTAAAGGAAATTATATGACAGGAATATCTGGAATACCAGAATGATGTGTATTAACTTTGTTGAAGCATTGCAAATACCTTATTCCAAAAAGTCTTTAACTGAAAACAGTTACCATTGTACTGGGGGCTGTATGTAGAACATACTTTCAGTTATTATACGTGTTTCCATCACTGTGGACCAGCTAAAGGAAGGCAGTTTAAGTAGTCTTGCAGTGTTTCCTCTAGTGACATCCCCATCCCCACCCTAGTTCATTATTTTTGAGGATATTTGCTGGAAAAAACAGTTTCTGGACCCAACAGCAGCATTATGTCATCATATTTTTGGAAGTATTTTCTATATGTGAAAAACATGGTAGTATTTTAATAATAAAAATATGAGAGCACTGAAGTTAAGACAGGTAAAATAAAGTAGTGATTTGTGTATGGTTTGGTGAAAACACAGCTGCCCAAGTGTGGTTTTAAAATTTCTAATTCTATGCTTATGAAAGGTTAATACTGAAGAAGGAATAGGCAAGGGATTTTTAGACTTTGATCTGAAAATTTTTATCACTACACATCTTGTCTTCTTACTAAGCCAAGCAAGTCCAGATGGTTAATTCAGAACCTAAAGTACTGAGTGAGAACTGATTTCAAAGCTGGCAGATATGCCCACATGTACATGCCCTGCAAAAGGTTGGTTTACAATGCAGTCTGAGGCTAATGGAGGACACAAAACTGTACTATATGCATAGAATATAATACAATACATATTGTATGTATATGTATTGATACATTTAAATATGATCTCGTTTAAAAAAACCCAAACAGTTGTGTGAAGAATAACAAAACTTGCTAATTATTTTAATTATTGAGGGGAAAGCACTGAAAGTTTATTAAAAAGTATAGGATGTTATGATAGCAGAAATGAAATTCAGTGTTGAAATACCTCCCTTGACAGGTAAATGAAAACCATAGGTAGATGAGCACAAGTCATAAGTCAAGGCAGCTTTATTAGGCACTACGAAACTCATTGTTCATAGTGTATCATTTTAGAATATTTGTTCATGTTGTAGGATGTAAAAATTTAGGATAAATTAATTATTAGAACTATTACTACTTTTGGGTGTTGTGCTGAGACCTTCTATTCATTGTTTGAACATTTCTGGCGGGGTTTTTTAGTGTGAGAAGTATAGAATGAGAAGATTAGATTTTGTGAAAAGGTAATAAAATTAGGGGCTTGAGTTACCCCTCTCTATAAATAGGTTTTTTCATGTGGACTGTTTCTAGAAACTGTACATGGAATACTTACACCATCAGTTTTGGTTTGTCAGGATGTTTCTCAGGAAATGTTGACTGTACTTTTGTGAAGGAATATTTCATAATGAAACAAAGCTATAATTTTTATGTAATACTTGTTAACATCAAAATTTCTTTATAATTTACAGATTGCTTTTACAAAAACTTTTGTTCAGCATTATGCTTTTATTATGAAAACACTGAAGAAAAGCCATGAATCAGACACAATGTCTAATAGAATTGTGCATATCAGTGTTCAGTTGTTCAGCAATGAAGAACTAGCACGCCAAGTAACAGAAGAATGCCAACTGCTGGATATTATGGTCACTGTTCTGTTGTACATGATGGAAAGTTGCCTTATTAAAAGTGAATTGCAAGGTAGGTTGATATGTTTGTTTGCTTCATTCCATGGATAATAAATTGATTATAGAGGAAACTTAATTTTTCTTGGGTAGTCATCCACCCCCTCCAACCCTTTTTCCAAAAATGCACAGGATCTGGCAATGTATTGTAGAGGCTGAGTATCAGAATTTCCTAGAAATATAAAGGTAGTTATCAAGAGTGATACTGATGTTTTATCCTTTGGTTTGTAGGGTTGTTTTGTTGTTTGTTTTTTTTTTGTAGGAATGTTATATAGTTTAGAATACAGAGTATTACCTTGCAGGTGCTTAATTTATTGGGTAAAGTGCATAAACAACTATTTGAATGAGAAATTACATATGCAAATTGAGACCTTTATGAATTTAAAAAATATTTTCAAAGTATTTCACAAGCTATTTGGAGTATTCAAAATTGTTTTAATTTTTCTCTCCTGTGATTGCCTTAATAAAACTTGATATATAATTAGAGGAGAATAATTTAGTACTTTGTAAATACAGTAATTTGATCAAGCTTTTTTTTTGACAGAGTGGCAATTTGAATTTGAACTAGTGTACGTTGTGTAACTTTTTTAGAAAGCAACTGTCCTATTTCCGCCCTCCTTGTTTTACCTGTCCTTATCTGAAAATGGTGTCACAATGAATCTTGCTAACTTTTGTCATGCTTTGATGTGCCTAACAGACTGCAGGCCTCTCAGCCCTCTTTATCCCAGTTTGAATCTGAAAATATTCTCTAGACAGGCTGAGTGCTGCTGCTAAATAAGCATTATCAACTTCTGTGTGAAATCGTATTTTTTTGTTGCCTGAAGTATCCTTTTTCTCAGAGTCTACTCTGTGTATAGCCTAAAACAGTGACTGTACTGAAATGGGAAATCTTCACTCATCTAGCTCTCATGTGCCCTCATGCAGCAGCACTTCAACATGAGAAGTTTTCCTATTGCCCTACGTAGATTGCTTTACAGTATTAAAAATGTTGAACATTTAACATTTTGTATATCAAGTGATTTTTGCTAAATCAGTGCCATATTGGTGGAATGTAATTTAAAAATTACTTCTAAGCATCTTCTCATTGTTACTTGTTGGTCAGTATGGGATGGTGGTGTTGGTTATGTTCTGTAATGGATCAGAATTGCAGCCAAAAAGGCTGTGGCTGTGATTAGGCATTCTCTGAAGAAGCTTCCTGGTAATTAATGGTGTAAACTGAGGCTGGTAAGTTAAATAACATCAGATATATTTGTGATAGATGTGTGAAAAAAGACTTTGCCCTGGAGCAACTACCCCATTGTTTCCTTTTCCCAGCACCAGTGATTTCTCTTAGCTAAGATACCATCACAGAATTATAGAATCTTTTAGGTTGGTCATTGAGTCCAACAGTAAACCTAATACTGCCAAGTCCACCACTGGGATGTGTCTGGTGCTTTTCAGTGTTTCCACATTTCTTCCTCACTGCTTCATGTATGAGGGCTTGGGCATACTGTACATTGACAGAAAAAAATCATAAAATACTTTATTGGGGTTTTTCCCTCTCATATTCTCAGTGGCCTTCCTTTGCAATTCTGTGGGCTTGTATCTTGTGTATATTTCAAATTATCACTTAGGATGCTGGAAATAGTGAGAAGTCTTTTAAAAGTCTGTGCTGGTTAGATAAATTGAGAAGACTTCTCTTTGTGCAGCTACTGCAAACAATAGGTTGTTTAGTATCTGAATGAGACAAAGTTTACAAATCCAGCCAATGGATAGATGGAAAAGCATGTTGGAGAGGAGCAAGGAGAGAGTGGAGCAGGAATTGTATCTGCTGTGGCATGTTTCGTTTGCATTGCTTACAGATCCTAATTGTTTTTGAACAGCTGACACTGTTCACATACAGTTCACTGAGGGTATTAGTGGATGCTGTGATAAACTGTTTTCGTGAAACAGAGTTAACCTAAGAGTTGTGTTGATACCAACTTTGTGTTACTAGGTTTACTAGTGTGTACTACTAAGTGTTAATAGTTCGCCTTACCTCTCTCACACGTGGTGTGAAAGGATGAGGAGGAGAAATATGGATGCAGATGATAAAACTGGCTCTCTAGGAGGATTTATGTCCCTATGTTCTTAGAGACTTTTTTCCTCTCTATCAGCACATTCCTCCTAATGAACTTTTCATGGGAGAAGAATTTATACCCCCAAGGAAAAAGTATTGGTGATGGTTCACCCTTTGAAAAACCAACCTCTTTAAATGACATTAACCCTGGCTTCTAGAGTGCTCTGAATAAGAAGCAATGCTGCTGTCCTTTTGAAGTAATTTTGGATTTGCCTAATCTATACTAGGACAGAGAATCAGCAACATGTAACTGACCTGTAACTCTTTGCAAAAAGTCCTTGAGCAGATTCAGGCAGAGGTGTTACCCTGCTCGTGGACAGGCCAAAGGGAACCACTCTACATACAGAGGGACCTCATCAACCAGAGACTGGAGTCTCACAATAACAGTATTTCTTTTTGGCTGTGGTTGTGCTGCTTACAAACCTTTCCCGGTGTAAAGGGTAATCACAGGAGTCCTTCAGTGCATTTTTACTGGAATAGAGCCATCCAAAGGCAGGTCATCTGATGCAACCTTCTCTTTCCCTAGTCTTGGGCAGGCTGCATAAAAACTGTGTCCCAAATTCAGAGTGGAAATGCTTTTCTTTGCTTTCCTCAGAATCACTGTGCCAGCGTAGGTTTTGATCACCAGATTTCTTTTTGAATGCCGTAAGGTAGCTTGCTCACTGGGAGTATGTCAAATTCAAAATAGATTTCAGGTGTTGGTAGTAGGAATTGTATTGTTTGGTCTTTTTATACTTCCTGAGAGTATTCAAAGAGGCATAACTGTGATGGTTTTACTAACGCAGTGCTTATCAATGGTTGCAATAGTGTTCAAATTATGAGTGGTTTCTAGTGAGTGGGATCTATGTTGGTGAGTCCATGATGAAAAAACAGCTTCAGGTACCACAAAAGAGCTGTTCTTTTCTGCAATTTTCTTTGTGTGTGTCTGACCACAGCATTACAGTACATACTAATTGTTATTTTTACATTATTTTATTACTTTATTTATAAATTACAACAAGAAGGAAAAAAATAACTTTTTCTTCTCCTTTTGCTTTTTTTTTCTTTTTTAACCTAGATGAAGAAAATAGTTTACATGTTGTGGTGAATTGTGGGGAAGCACTACTGAAGAATAATACCTACTGGCCCCTGGTTAGTGATTTTATAAACATACTTTCACACCAAAGTGTGGCAAAGAAATTTTTGGAAGATCATGGTCTTTTGGTAACATGGATGAATTTTGTATCATTTTTTCAAGGTATGTGACACTTATAATCAGTACTAATACAAGGATGTTAAGACAGCTTAATGTTCACAGTAGCAAAATCCTTACAATGCTGTATGTAAATATTTAATTTATTAGTATTCTCATAAGTTTGTATTTCTGGAAAAGAACAGTATATTCTAGAAAACAGGTAGATTAAAAAAAATTATCTGATGGATCTTTGCTCTTCAACTACACACAAGACACTTGCATCACACTTAGTTGACTGAGATTGGTGCAAGAATTCTGAGGTTGTATTTGAAGTACAGATCATAACTTGTACTAGAAGTGTTTTATTGGTCAAGTTCTAAATTTAAGTACTGGGTAAATTAATTTGACAAATCGGGATTTTTTTAAGCGTTACAATGGAGAATTTTTTTTATTATTTAAAAGAAATATTTCAAAATGGTGAGCTTCTCAATACTGATAAATGTTCTGAGGACCAGCATCCAAATGTTCTCATTGACTAAGTGACGTTCAAAGTCAGTGTCACCTGAACAGTAAGGACTGCAGTTATTAGCTGGTTTAGAGCTAATGTTCTTTTCTGGTTTATTTCTGTACAAACTTAATTGCTTGTTCTCATGTTTTATCAATTATTCTGCTGCTAGATAAAATAGATTCTTACACTTTGTGGAGGTTTTTTTATCTTTATTGGTGTGTAAATGCATAACACTAAAAATACTTCATTCTATTTAGCCCTAGTTAAATATTGGGTTGTATAACTCTGCTTAAATCTTTGAAGGTATGAATTTAAATAAACGAGAATTAAATGAGCATGTGGAGTTTGAATCGCAGACATACTATGCTGCCTTTGCTGCTGAGCTGGAAGCCTGTGCCCAGCCAATGTGGGGTCTTCTGTCACACTGCAAAGTCAGGGTAAGGCTAATGTTTCTTTGTCATAATTCTTGGTTTTATTCATGACTTATTCTAGAATTCTCAAACTTGAAAAGTCTATCTGTTTTGTGTTTGAGAAGACTTGGATTATGCTGTCTTTGTCTATCAGATAACATAAAACTTCAGTCAGCTTGGATTCTGTGTATAATTCATGCTTGTACCTAATTTATTGTCTCCAGTACTGGGACTACAAGTTCAGGATGTGTACAAGTCATTCCATATGACTGTACATATGGAATAACTTTGATCTGATGGAGAACTTGATAACATGTCTCTGAGTCATTCTACCTTTGTTCAGTGGGAAAGGAGATACAAAAGTTGTTCTAATGTGATTATAATGTTGATTGTGTCTGCAAACACACAGTTCCTTATAATGAGGGATGGAGTAATTTATGGGTTTGTGTAGTTTTACTGTCAGTCTGAGGTGAAAGCCTCTTAAATTTTGACATCTTATTGTCTCCAAACTAGAGCAAAACTTGTTGCTATTTGCTCGACTGTAAGTTATAGCAAAAATTGAACCCATCAGCTTTTAGGGATAATTAACATATAAACCCCACTTTTTACTGTTTTTCTATGAAAAAAATACTTATATTTGAAATTAGCTTATTGAGATGCTTAATAGTGTCCATGAGACAGTAATACTTGAATTGAACTGTGCAGTAAAAAAATGTGCCCAAGCATACCATGTGATTTTAAAAGTTAAAACCAGGCCTTTCTGTGTTGTAATTTATACTGATGCAATATGAATGTATCAATTTGAGTCTACATTAGCTCTTGAAAACTGAATTACAACTTCTGGCTTTTTGAAGTATTCCTTTCCTTTTTGCTTTGGGATAGGATGGTCTGCCTTATTTTAAGACCTGTAAGATTCCTTGCTCCACCTGTTGTCTTGTCAGTCATGTCCTCAGCCACGTTTGAATCTTTGGTTGTTCTCAAAAAATCTGAAAATGTTCTAGAAATTTCATAGCTTAATTGTTGTACGTATTTAGTGAAACCTGATGGATGGGAAGAGATTACAGCTCATATCTCACAGGATAGGGAAAGCCTGCAGAGCCTGGCCCCCCTATAGAGGGTGGAGCAACAGGATGGGAGCATGGCTGCTGTATTTCCTGATGAGAAAAGGTGTCTGACTGAGCCAGTCAGCATTTGCACAGCTTCTGGCTGACCTAAGCACTGCTGGCTTTTGCATAAGAAGCGTGTCATAGATACCCTGAGAGCGTGAGGCAAGTCTGAAGTCTGTGTTTAGGGGGAAGGGAAGATTAAAGGAAAAATCTGTTAAATGAAACTTTGCAAGTTCTGCTGATCACAGAGCAATTTGGTTTAGGTCCCCTTCTGCCTTCCCTTTTTGCACATTGCTACTTCTCTCTTGGAAGCCAATGTACAGCTCTAGTCTTGAAATAAATGATTTAACCTGAAATATAATGTAGTTTTATGGCATTGTTATAGAGTTACATCATACAGTCATAACAGGTTTTGCTTACTGGTAAAATCTATGCAGTATTGTGGTATTGTAGCATTTTGTGTTGGACTCAGTGATCTTGGAGATCTTTCCCAACCTTAATGTTTCTGTAAAAATATTCTTGAAATAATCATGTGTATTTGTAGTAGGAAAACAATGATACTTAAAGCTGTTTTGGCTCATGTAGTGTGCTGGTTTCTCTTAACTGCAGGAAACACAGGAATACACACGGAATGTTGTCAGATACTGCCTTGAAGCGCTTCAGGACTGGTTTGATGCTATCAACTTTGTAGATGAGGTAAATATCCTAAGAGAATTTAAGCAAAGTACTGTGAAAATCTGATTAAATTTCAATGGTGATACACTTCCTGCCCCCTACTCTCCCCTTAAATTAAGTCTTTGCTCAAAGTAGTAATCAAAAAAGGATTGCCTTGCTGAAATTAGAGTTTGTACTTAATAGTTGCAATGTTATATCCTAAGATCCTTTATTTGTAGAGTCTTGGTGACTTAGATTTGCTGGTGCAATCTTAAGCTGTGTGAGTTTTAAAAGGGGTGCTATTGATACACTACTGTTGTGCTGAATGAAGGGCTGAAGCAATGGCAAAAGAGAAGTCCTGTTGTGCTGTGGTAGTGGGAGCAGCTTTGCCAGTTATCAGGCAATACTCTCAAACACCTCAGAGTGCCATTGGCTACTGGGGACTTAGAGAGAAACTACAGCTGTCTAAGGGGAACTTGACTAGTCAGAAAGGCAGGGTAATGAAGTAATAGTGGAAAGTCCATCACATGAAGACATGCTAAGATACTGTCCTTGGTGGTTGTGACAAAGACATTTGTAGGTTTGGTTTTTTCAATATATTATATTAAAATACCTTTCTTTTACTTTCAGCCAGCTCCTAACCAAGTTACTTTCCATTTGCCATTGCACCGTTACTTTGCCATGTTTTTAAGTAAGGTAAGCACATGTTGTAGTCACACAGATGGAAGTTCCCTGTCAGATGTGATCATTCAGTACAGTGTGTGCTTGCTTTTGTTTCTAGGCTGTCAAATGCCAAGAACTAGATCTGGATACTATCTTGCCAGATCAGGAGATGCTGATGAAACTAATGATTCACCCGCTTCAGATTCAGGTATGGACAGACTTCTGACTTTGCAGATGTAGAAATACACACAGAAAAAATAGTTGCTGTCTGATTTGTTTAACCCTAGTCATTTAAGTATATTCAGAAGTATTTAGCAAAGGGAAGCATGTCTTAATTGTGGAATGTCAAAATAACTATATGTGACAATAATAACTAGAAAATATTGAGTATAAGAGAAACTTTTTTTTTCTCCTTCATATTACCAAAATTAAATATGTGGCATTAGTTATCATACTCTTGAGAGGTATATAATAATATTCACTATAGCACTTCCAAGAGGGTAGGAAGAACCAACCCTTTGAAAACATAGAACTGTTATGTGAATAGAATGGAATGCAAGTTGAAAAGAAACACGAATATGAAAATTTCTAATTTTAAGCTCAGACTGAGTTCAAGAATGGATGCACCCTGCAATATTTATTTTTATTTACAAATTTGGATTGATTTGTATGTAAGTGGCAGTGAGCAGTATTTTTAATCACTGCTTTTAGATCTAACCTCTTTAATTACAGTATCTTCATTTTTTGAGTACTTCTCATGTATAAATCACTTCATTTGGCTTTGATTACTTTTGTTGTCTGAAATGTGCTCTCATATTAAAGTGTGGTATTTGTCAGATGTCCCTGATCGTTGCAGGGGGTTTTGACTAGATCACGTTTAAAGGTCACTTCCAGCCCAAACTATTTTATGATTCTACGAGGAAGCTGCAGAGAGACTTTTCACAAGGACATGTAGTGACAGGACAAGGGCCAACAGCTTTAAACTGAAGGAGAGTAGTTTAGATTAGGTATCAAAAAGACATTCTTTACTGTGAGGTGATGAGGCACTAGAACAGGTTGCCCATAGAAGCTGTGGCTGCCCTATCCCTGGGAAGTGTTCAAGGTCAGGTTGGATGGGGCTTTGAGCAACTTGGTCCTAGTGGAAGATGTCCCTGCCCGTGGCAGTGAGGTTGGAACTAAATGATCTCCAACATCCTTTCCAACCCAAACCTTTCTATGCTTTTTATGTTTCTGTAATCATATATTGGTGATCTGCTAACATTGAATTGAATAGCTGAATATCCCTGATATATTTATAATTTTTCATTTTATTTTCCCTGAACAGGCAAGTCTTTCTGAAATTCACAGCAACATGTGGGTTAGGAATGGTCTTCAAATTAAAGGACAGGCCATGACTTACGTGCAGTCCCATTTCTGCAATTCCATGATTGATCCTGATATTTACTTGCTGCAAGTAAGTTATGTTTTCTGAGAAGCCAAACTAATGCTGTTTACTGACAAACTATTGAATTAAATGAATGGAATAAAATTAATTTATTCTCTTTCTACAGGTCTGTGCCTCTAGACTGGACCCAGATTATTTTATTTCATCTGTTTTTGAAAGGTAAGTTTAAAAGGAGAATGGTCTTGTTCAATGTTGTGCTAGCTGTTGACTAATTTATACAATGTGATAGAAAAATGGCATGTCTGATACACATCTTCAGTGGTACAACTCTACCTAGCCAAAATGAACACTTATCTAAGGGCTCTACTGAAAGAAGTATCTCTTGATTTTAAACAGGATTGGCTTTTGATTTACAGTGCAGTAATGAAGCTTCAGACTTTTGTTTTCTGAGCATCTTTAGGGTTTTTAATATATGCTAGGATATTCCAGCCTGAAGAAGTAGATAAATAGAGCTGCAATAGTAAGAGACACAGAAAAGAGGTCTGCTTTTCAGGGGGGGAGGAAAAATCAGTTTGAAAACATTAATTTTCATTAACTTTTGTATCTTCATAAATGTAAGGTGTTTTCATAAGGAGTAAATATCATTATAGCACATTCCATAGATAAATAAAAATCTAAATTTAAAAAGAAGGTTTTCATTTGGTTTGTTTGCATGTATTTCACTTTGTATTCATTTAGGTTGTGGTGAATGCTTTCCTGAGTTTGTATTACATTTCACATTCGTGTTTTTGGAGAATGATGTTTCTGACTTTACTGTTTGCTGTGTAGATTTAAGGTGGTAGATCTATTAACGATGGCATCACAGCATCAAAATACAGTTCTTGACTCAGAGCACGAAAGGTCCATGCTGGAAGGAGCCTTAACATTTTTGGTCCTTCTGTTAAGTCTTCGTTTACATTTAGGTAAGAATCACTGCTTTAGGAATACTTGTATGTAAATAACATTAAAACATGTTCATTTATATGCAACACTTAGTAGCTGCCTTAAAGCTGATCAACCATATAGTAACTTAGAGCATTCAACACTTAGTTTCTTCTTTGCCAGTTATTTAATTTTAATCCCTTATGGATTAGAAATAGATATAATATAACGGAGAAAACGGCTTTAATGGAAGTGAGTGATTTGTATAGGTGATCACATGAAGATTCTCTATCTTTTCCAGAAAGACAGCAGTTTTAATTTGTACCTGTCTTTTCTGACTAAGATTGTCTTTCATAACATTTGCGCTCCCCCCTTTTTATCCTGTATTTTTATAGCACTGTATGATTACTTAATATTAGTTTGTATCAAGTTTGACGTGCTTTTAATGTCAAATGAAAACAATGTGTATTTTAAAATTGTGCTATTTTAATGTCTTTTTAAATTTTATTGTTCTAGGAATGACAGATGATGAGATCCTCAGAGCAGAGATGGTAGCCCAACTCTGTATGAATGACAGGACACACAGTTCATTATTGGATCTCATATCCTTGGAATACATTAACTAATGTGCATGAATGAGAATGACAGGTGCCTGAATAGTAATAGGATTTTGGAGCTTAAACAGCATGTTTTTAGCTTACGTAATTAAAACAAATTGTGTAAAGGTGTGTTAGCACATACTTGTTAGCAAAGGCATTTGCTCCATTTTTTTTTTCTTACAAAATATGCTATACTTTTTAACAGTTTAAATTAGTTTTGATACAAAATGCTGTAATGCTGTTTTTATTATGTTTTTTAACACTGCAGAAGTCTTTTAGGTGTGAGATAAGAAGTCTGTTTTCCAACGACCTTGTAGAAAGTTTAGCCAAACGTCACCTTTATCTAGGTTTGAGCCTTTCAATATTGCTATTTTTATGCCAGTATAAAAAGCAGCCAGTCTACACTATATTTGCTTTTGTTATCAGTAGCCGAAAATGCAAATAATAGCAATCCTGCATGTTGCTTTGACATTGGAGTGAAGTACATGTGTTCTGGGAGAAAGAGTAGCAAACTCTAGGAACTCTTCCTGCACAGGGATACAGTTCGTGTTCCCAGACAGCTCATTACAGATGTGCAGGTTTTACTGCTATTAGTGTCTTAGGTTCTGTAGGCAAATTAAATAGCTTGTCATAATTGCATAAAAGAGCTTGCAATCCAAGGATAGGCACTGAGCAAAAATACTAGGAATATAAAGATAGGAAAGGAGGAGATCGAGAGTTACAAATCTGTAATAAGAATTATTAATTGTTATGATATGACCTAGTAACTCAAAGATGTGTAAAATAAGCAATCACTTAGAATGGTTCACTTAAGTGAATCACTTAACTATGTAAAATAAGTGAATCATTATATAAGCAATCCCTTTTCACTAAGCAGAAGTTTACTCATTTGTAAGTGCTACTTGTGTTTTGGAGTAATGTCAGTAGGTCAGTTAAGTATTGCTACCAAAAATGAGAACTCTCCAATCCAAGATGCAGAATTACTTATTGTGTTCATGGATCCTGAGCTATTTACTTGCTTTTTCTGCACTTAGCTGTAAATGCAAAATATTCTTCCTATGAAGAGAGACAAAACGTTTGTAAATAAAGGCAAGTGCAAAAACTTTATATACACTAAAGATAGTGGGTTTTATTTCTCATTAAGTACCTAATTTCTTGAGCCAAGCATGTAGCAATTGTCTTACTTTAAAAAGTTTACTGTCCTAGCTAGGAGGCTTTGCTTCTCTTCAGTCATAGTTATGGTTCCTAGCAGCTGGAGCATACAGACCTCTTGTGGTAAGCACAGAGCACTGCTGAAACATGGTGTGAAATGAGTGACTGAAAATGTCAAGAGAGGAGTAAAATGGCTGTGGCCTGCAATTAAGTTAATTTTGCTTTCCTTAACACAGACATTACATTCCAGAAAACCCCAATCCCAAAAGTGGTATTATTCCAGGAAGTTTAAGCTTTGAATCAGTCCTGTCAGCTGTTGCTGACTTTAAAGCTCCTGTTTTTGAACCTGGAGGTTCCATGCAACAAGGAATGTATACACCTAAAGGTATGGTAATCTGTGTTCCCTTGCAACATACTCAGGGATAAGATGCCTAATCAGTGTTTGTTTGGCTTTGTTGTTGTGGGTTTTTTTTCCTTAAAAATAACCCAAACCCAACCTACCAAACGATGTTAAAAACCCCACCTCATCCTCCCCACAAAAAAGCCAAACCCACTACCACGACTAAAACCCCACAAAACTTGTTTGACTTTTTCATTATTGTCTATTGCTTAAATTTAAGAGCATTGCTAAAGACCGTCAATAGTTTTCAATAAATTCATTTTGATCTAGGCTGAAAACAAAATATATATCCTCAGAAAACAAGGGAAAATGGAGAACTGAAGAATTATTTTATTTTACTGATCTGCGTACTTAGTCATTCATATGATTTAAAAAAATCTGATCTTCAGTAGTTTAGAACTGTTAGCACCACTGAGATGTCAGTTGCAAAGATACTTTCTTTGAATTTCTTCACATTTTGATTATTAAAGATACCATGATTCTTTATTTTATTTTGCTTAACAATACGAGTATCCTGTAACATTTTCGACAGTCAGTAGTGAGGGTCTAGAACAAAATTCAGGCTAAGCTGGTTATAGAATACTGTTCTATAATTCTACAATGCATACAGTGCAAAAATGACAAGTGTCTTGTCCTGACCAGCTTGTCATCTAAATTGGACTCAACACAGCATTGGTATATCAAAGGAGCGAAAGAATTTAAGAACTTAGCGTTCCATTACTGTTTCCTGTCACTGAGCAGATAAGCCTGTAGGGCTGAAATACTGCATTTCACATCTGAAATGCTCCATGTGCTCTGGTTGTGCTTCAGCTAATGGCAAAGCTGAAGAAGGTTTAACTCCTTCCTCCTCTGCGTACCTCCCTTGAAAACTGGAAAGGTTGAGGTTTCACAATTTTGAAATCATTTGGTTTGTAATCTTTTGTGGATTTTTTTTTTTTGGCAGGGCGAGGAGGGGGGCGGACAAAGGAGTTGATGTAGGAACTAGTACTGTACTAACTTTTTTGCCAGCTTTTATATTGTGAGACTAGTCAGTAAAGATCTTTTATACAAATTAACAACCAGTGAAGTAATTTTGAGAAACCAGAGTTTTGAGAATTGATTCATCCTGGTTCCTTGATGTGAAATTAGGCAGCTTAACACCATGTATTTAAAGTAACTTTGTTTTAATGTTATGTAAACTGCATTTCTTTATGTCATATTCCATTTCTGGAGCTTGTGAAATGCTGGTATTTTTCATAACGGAGTGTGAAGGAAAAAATGGATTGTGGTATTTTTAATTATAAAACTTTATATTTAGGGAATCTAATGCTAGATTACAGTATTTGGGTGTTGTTTTGTGTTTGGATATTTTTAACTTTAGGTAAACAATTTATTCCAGAGGAGAACTGTGTTAAGTATCTCATTTATAGCAGTAAACACTGAAGTAATTTGTAACACTATACAGAATAGCTCCTTCTTAGGGTAATAAAAAAAAAAAATCAAAAAAGCTTCTGCAGGAATAAAAGCTGGCATGGTTTTCTTTACTATTTTCTTTTAAGTGTTCATATTCTCCATAAGACTACATAGGTTCACAAAACCTTGGCTTTTAAGAATCGTAGTTTGTGGCCTGTCACAGTTAAAGCAAGTCATGTGTAGATCCATTCCCTCTAATCCTCTAATCCCTTGTTTCCCTAATTTTGGGGGGGTGAAATCTACTTTATATTCACAGATCCCTAGATTTTGCTTCCATCAACTATCAGTAAAAAAACTCAAAACCAACCAACCAAACAGAACAAACCAAATTCCAAAAACATGTTCTTCCGATTCTCTGTAGATTTGTGTGCTGATGATTAGTTGTGTGTGCATTTCCAATGTTCCCTATATGGCTCCCTCACTGAGTCCTTTCTTCTCGTTGTGCGTTAGCAGCCCACACAAACTTAGTCTGTATTTCAGACTGCAGTAGTTAACTCTGTCCAGAAAAAAATGGATGTTTCGCAACCTAAATTTGATCATATTTCATATGTAATGGCAACTATGCTAAGTGTTCTCTCTCAGCAGCGTATGAGGATATCTGTAGAGCTGTAATCTTAGCAGGGGTTAATATATTGAGTATAGACCATTATACAGGAGTACAGGCCACTTGTCTTCCTGCCTGGGAAAAATTAATCTCAGAAGTGTGGCAAAGCTGATTATTTTTTCCTGTGAAAAGTTGGAAGAATGTTGTAAGCACTTGTGTTATGTTATTCCTGCTGGTGGAGCTAAAATTCTGTGTCCGCTCGGTTTCTTCCTCCTTTTGGGGTCATTGAATCTTGCCTTCATATTGCTGTGTTATGAGAGCTAAACACTTCAAAACAATTCATTGATTGAACATCTTTTTTTGACTCTAGGTTGGAAACCTAGTTTTGTTTGTTAATAATTTGTAAATAGAAAAAAAAGGCAGTTAAATGGGATCTCTTTATAGACTGTTCTGTGTTGGCCCTGATCAATTTTCTGTGATTGCTCTGAAAAGCCACTCCTGATGTTACTTTCGAGCTACTAAATTAAACAGATGTAACCTAGATTTTAATGCCAAAATAATGCATAGCTATTAGTTACAAAAGCATATTTGTAAAGGATTGATCACAGATATCATTTGATACGAAACTTTAACATTTTCAAGACTGAACAAAAAATTGTGGTTTTGAGGTCACTTGGTTCACTACACTTAATGGTAAAATATCATCTACCTGCTAACTGCTCTGCAGTCTGTACTTCTGATTTTCAAGAGGGCTTGTGCTTATCATGTACCAAGTGAAAAATAATTTAAACTTTTTCTTACATGTACTTGGAAATGAAAAAGAGCAGAACAAGATGTACACAGAAAAAGTGTTTTGAGAGTTGTTTTGGGGAACTTGTTAATAGAAAAGAACTATTGCCTTTAAATAGAGTGTTTTTTTTGTTTTGAAACAAATCAAAATTTCACAAGAAATATTTTTCTGTCTTGATAGTGGTAATTATTAATATAGTAAGTACTACTAGAGTTATTAAAAATTGCTGTAGTTTGCTGAAATAATTATATAATAGAAAATCACATAATTAAAGCTAGATAAGAAGAGACTCTTAATATAAAATGTAAGGTCTTTAAAGAGAATGTTAACGCATAATTTCTTTTAAATAACAGCTGAAGTTTGGGACAAGGAGTTTGACCCTGTCATGGTAATACTTCGAACAGTTTACCGTAGAGATGTGCAGTCTGCAATGGACAGATATACAGCATTGTAAGTTGGATCATTTTTAGAAGTGTAACACCATATCGTTGCTCATTGCACAAATTTTTTGTTTTCACTGTCTGGTAATGCTAATCATTTTGTCAATGTTTTCAGGCCCCCCAGATTTGTCCTGGAGAAAATAGTCCACAAATTTCCAAGCAGTATCAGGATTTTAGTTATTTTAGTCTGTTAGTCTTCCATAAATATTTAAAAATATATCTGAAGTGCCACAGAGAAAGTAGTGAATGTTGTCACAGCTAAAATACTTAATCAAAGCTAGTGTTTAAAAATCAGTTACAAATTATTTAAAGCAGCATTATCTATTTTTATTTATTTTACACTTAGGTACATGAAGCGCAATATTACAGTGTCCTGTGTTTTGAAATTGTTTTGAAATTATATTGAAGACAATATGTTTTTTTCCTGTGTATTCTCTCATGACAGAAACCATAGGTGAATTAAATTCTGATGTACAGGAAAAAACACTGGTGAAACTCTTTCAATTCTAACAAGCAAGATGATATGGTCTTAATTCTGTTCCTTAACATTCTGTCCCTTACAACTGTGTACTCTTATAGATTCGTATTTCAGCTGATTTGTCTTTTATTGGGAGTAAAAATCAAAATTAAAAATCCTTTATAATAAATGTAATGAAATAATCCTCTGCCCCTGTGGTGAGTGAGGTAGTATTCTACTAAATAATTGCATTGTCTATTGCACTGGATTCCACTTATTAGAAGTATCGGTCCATATTGAACTTAAAATTTAATTTTTAAATTCACAGATATGATAGTACTGATACTGTCAATTGTAGCTAATTATGGGTAGCGTTTCCTGGTATAGCCTGTAACCCATTCCTCCACGTGTGAGTTTTCTTTGTTAGATGACCAATGTGGTTTTGGGTGCAGTGAAGTTTTCTCTCTCCTCTGTGTGCCTCTTAGAATGAAAATGGAATGCGTAAATTCCTAGCAGTAGCTAAAAAATCATTTAACTTTATAAATAAAGGTCATTTACATCAGTGGTAATCCACAGAAAAATGACACTGGAGTGAGTTTGATCTTTTTGGAATGCTACTTAAATATATTAAATGGCTTAGAAATGCTTATCATTATAAAGTCAGTCTAAACAATAAGAATGCAGGATAATTAGTGTAGCAGTGGCAGTTGTCTACATTATTGCAGTGTAGATTTGCAATATTGCACATATAGAAACATTTTCAACGTTTAACATTTGTTTCAACAGTTTAAAGCAAAGTGGTAAATTCCCTGGAAACCCATGGCCTCCGTACAAGAAGAGAACACCACTACACCCAAGTTACAAAGGTCTCATAAAGCTTTTGCACTGTAAAACCCTGCACATCGTGCTCTTCACACTTCTTTACAAGGTACAATCATGATTCTCTTTAAGTCCGGTGTTTTACTTCCACATTTTTTAGAAAAGTCCTTAGAAACGTGATTTTTAAAGTCTATTTAGAGTAGTCAGGTTCAATTTTTTGTTTATTTGCTATGTCCAGTATGAGATTTTTTTCCTTCCACTTCCATTATTTCATGAATGATTAATTCATATATGCACACACTAAGTCAGGTACCCAAGTGGATGAACAGTCCTCCTCTACTTTGAGGAACATTGTCTTAACCATCAGAGTTGTGATTCAAATTGTTCTTCCTTGATGGTCCCAAGGAGCACAGTGGCATGAGTGATGTTCCTTTGGCTCCCGTTGCAGAGTTTTAAGGCCTCAGCATCTTGTTCAAATATATGCAACCTTGGTGGTTTATATCCTCAAGAGCAAATAGGACTTATAACTGCAAATGGTTCTAACATCACTGCCTGGGCACATTCTGGCTTTTGATAATGTTATAGCACTTGTTTTTTAGGGCTAATTGATGTCCTTCAGTTGTGTTTGGTTTTGTCATCGATAGTTGGCTGCTGTCTTTAAGAGAAGTGCATCCTTTTTGAAGAGTCCATTCATCAGAAAATGGGACTTGGAATCTGTCTCTGTACTTAGGAAGTGCTGCAGAGCCAGACGAGGGACTGTAGAAAGCGCTTTGATTGAGTAGTGCCTTTGCTGGGCAGACTTTCCTTTTGTGCGCTTTTAAGTGCTTTCAGCTTCCCTAAAACTGTTTTGCTTCCCTGTTAAGCTCTGTTGAATAGAAAATAACTGTTGTAATACAGAAATGCTGCTGAAGGAAAGAAGAGCTTGGGATTATGTACAAGATGAAGTAATATTTTGATATGGAACAAAAATGGAGAATGTAGGGAAGGAATGCATTATCTTTTACTGTCTTGCTCATTGGTTCTTTTTTGGCTGCTTTTTTTCTTATTCCATTAAGAACCTTCAAGACTTTTTTCTTGAGAATCTTAACATTTCTGGGTTGCTGTTTTAGCTGAAATGCCAAATACTTTTCCACCAGATTTATGAATGGTAGAAAATGCATAATGATTTATCCTGTGGGGTTGGCTTAAATGATGTCTGGTGTATTTGTGAAATTTTGCCAATTTGTGACAGCCTTTATTGTATCTCTTGACTTTTGGGACTTCCTACAGAAGAACAGTAAACTACATTTGATGAGTTTACTTTTCAGAAGTGTTAGTCAGCATGATTTTTGATTCTGACTGATACAACTGCAGGTGCTCTTCATATTAACATAATACTGAGAACAAGGACTCCCTGAAGCAACAACTCAGCCTCGGGCATATTGATCACCATAACTGGTCCACTCTGGCCTCTAATCGGGAGGCCTGGAGACAGACCATTTATAACGCTGCTGATGCTTTTGAGAAGGCACGCAGGATCACTCTTGAGGAGAAAAGACAACGCAGAAAGAATCGAACCTTGCAGAATATACCATCTAAGGAGTCTTTCTGCTGTGTCTTTTGCAACCGGACTTGCCTTTCTCGTATTGGCCTTTTTAGCCACCAACGCGCTTGCATGAAAAAGGGGTAGAGCCCTTCCCAAATCTTCGTTCGCGAAGCCTAGCCATGAATACTGAGTCCCCTTTTTAATTAAATAACTTCTATAATCTGAGATTTGGTTGGGATTGATTAAATCAGCTGCTCAAGCATTTTTTAGAAAAGGTATTGTAAAACAACGTATTTTTTAAAGGATTTTATCTCTCTGATGTTTCTAATGGGTTTATCTACTTAGGAAATTCATCCCATTCAAAACGAAGTCATATCTAAAACTTTATTAGGCTACACTCTGAAACTTTTTATAGTAGCCTGTCTACAATGAAATTTTAAACATATTTTCTCATACACTTCTTTTTGGTCACTTGCAAGTTTTTGCCATTTTTCTTTCCTTTAAATCAGAATATTCTCAAGAGAAAACTGTCCTGGTTTTTAATTTCAGCAGCACTGGTTCTTCCTCTCAATGCATTAAGAGCTGTGTTAGAAGAAAGATAAGGTTGTTTATTATTTGTAACTCAAAAAGATGATGTGCAGGTTGTTGTGAACTAAGTTCATATTGACCCTCTGGGGTTCCCAGTTAGGCATCGCTTGTAGGACTAGGGCCTTGTGAGGCCTTATGGTAATGGATCACATGAAAAAGGGAAGGCAGGCATGTGGCTCGCAGTAGTGGTGACTGTGCAGCTTTACCTGCCACTTTGGAGTTAAAGGAAATCGCAACTTGAACTAGTAATAACTTTCAAGTTTTTTCTGACTGGAAAGATGTAAAATTAAATTTTGAATTTTTGGAGATGATCAAAGGTTAGTTTTTTTCTAAACCTCAGAATAATTTTTAAACAACTTAAAAAATATATAAAACCCGAAGAGTCCAAAATGTATTATTCAGAACACTTTTTTTTAAGTTTAGATATATTGAAACCTTAATCTTCTAAGATGTGAATGTTTTTCTGCCCAGATATTAATGGATCATCAGAATTTATCAGAGCATGTGCTTTGCATGGTTTTGTATTTGATTGAGCTGGGGTTGGAAAATTCTCCAGAACAAGAATCAGATGAAGAGGTAAGAATAAGTGCCATATTTTTCATTAGAATATAAAGGTATTGTCTAATGATTAATTATTTTTAAAAAATATTTTACCATAGGAGTTAGAATAAAATATCTGTATTTGCTTATACAGGGAACAACTTAAAAAAACAAACCACCTCTCCCCCCAAAAAAACCCGAAACCCAACCAAAACCAAAAAAAGCAAGACCAAACAAAAAAAAAACCCCAAAAAACCCAACAAACAAACACCATAAAAACCCCTCCAAAACCTCCATATTGTTGTGAAGAAGAATATGGTATCGTTACATTTTTCAACAGTTTCTCTATATAAATAGCCTGACAACATAGATTGATTAGATGGTTACAACTCTTTAAATTAGTACTTGAAATTGTGTACCAAAAAAAAATTAAATTATTGAGTCAAAAAATCATTTTAATTTTTAGATTTTTAACTGAAACCTTTATTGCTAAAGGTCTGTATCTTCTAAAATATGTGAATTAGCCAGAATTTTAACTCTGCTTTTGATGAGAGTCTGAATATAAAGAACCATTTTTGTGATTTCAGATTCCCTTATGTTATCTGACTTCCATAATTTTTTTTATATTTAATGTTGCTTTTATGTCTAAGGATTTGCAACATTTTTTTTCAGAGATTGACTTCTGTATAGTTCTGATTTTTTGTATTAATCTTAGATTGTACGGCTTTGGATTATACTCCATAGCTCCTTCTACTTCTGCTAGCCAGCACTTATGGCTGTATTTGATTATATTCAAATAAAGTATTTAAATTTACGTATTTATCAGCCCTGTGGTCCTCATGGATCACAGTCATAATTTTTAAGAGATATATTGGCTTCATTGAGTTACATGATGTTCAACATATTGTTCCTATCTCATGGAGAGATGATGGCCTCTAATACAGTTATAAAAGCAACACAAGTTATTTTAAAACAGAAGAGAAAGTATACTAGGGGTTTTTTAATTGTTTTAGGAATCTGCAGGTGGACAAGAGCGTTGCCATGATAGTTGGTTTCCAGGTAGTAACTTGGTTTCTAACATGCGTCACTTCATTAACTATGTCCGAGTAAGAGTACCAGAAACTGCTCCAGAGGTGAAGAGGGAACCACCTGCAAGTACGAGTTCCGATGGTTTGGCTTCGTCACAAGTAAGTATATACAAATGCTAGTCCTTTCCCTAGATTAGATTAAGGTATTGCCTGTTTAGGCTTTTTTGTTAGGATTTTTGTTATCGTTTTTATTAATTTCTTGGGATATTCTCTTTCCTTTGGTAATTTTTCCTAAGTGTACTGATAGCAGAAATAGAAGTTATTTCAAATGTTACCTCTTTCCAAATTATATATTTAACGACTTTTTTTGTCCTCAATCTACCAGAGTTCAAGGCGGAAGAGCCTCCAGAGAGAGGTAGATCTGTGTGCAGTTTGTTCTCCTAAGCAATTAACTAGCAACATGGCTTTAATTGTGCTCATCTTAACATTCAGTGGAATCTTCTAATTTTCCTGAATTCCTTTTAAATTCATGTTGCAAGAACTTGTGCTTTCTTTCATGTTCTTGGTGGTAATCTTAGGTAGTAGATTTCAAGCAACAAAATGACCTTACAGTTTTAATACGTATTTTGAAATAAAAGCTTTTTATCAAATATAAAATGTCATTGATGGCATACTGCTTGAGCTCTGTGTTTAGGCCTGCTTTGTCTCGCCAACATATTACTAACATTCAATAATGTAAAATAGTCTTAGCTTTCTTGAATCTAGGTAAGTTTAACCTTACATTGAAAGTGCATTTGAAATTATTAGTAGTGGTTTTTTGTTGTTTTGAAAAAAAATGAATACGTAAATGGTGGGATCCTGAAAGATTTACAGCTAGGAGCTGATACAATTTCTGTGTCAGGATTGTATGCCAGATGTAGGGAAATACAACATATTTTTTTTTGCACGTTAATTTCAGAAAAATAGACAAAATCTAAAGTAGGAAGGGGATATGAAATAGGTTAAAATATAAAGGGTAGATTAGAGAATTGTCAGAATCCCATTTTTATATTTAATGTCTTAAGTATTTGATCTCTCTTAACTGCCTAGCCTTCTGAGAGGGAGAGAGTAAGATGTCTTTCTGCTATGGATTCAGCATATGTATCCTTAATTTAGTACTGAAAGCAAGAGCAGTATAGGATAGAGAGATCTGAATGGGCTCTGTCATTAATGTAGCTGCAATCATCATACCAAGTTCTGCTTGTCAATATGGGTATGTGGCATCTGGATCTCAGCTGATAAATCCACAGTAAATGGACAGTGCCATGGGGATGTGTGTTCACCTGTGTGGCATTAAGAGTTATGTTGTGCAACAGTGCTCTGTAGACTTCAATATAGACGTTTAAGTGATGTAAAGATACTGAAATTACTGTTCTAAAAAAACTAAGGAAATATTACTTGGAGAACAGACAAAACTTAGTTGTTTTGGTATGGATATTTCCATTTTGTACTTGGCTTTTTATGCAGCTGCATATAACAGACTTGTATCAAAATATGATATGCAGGCTTAGTATTTTGCTGTCCTAATTTTCAATACATTTTGGGAGGGGAGAGGAATCTTTAAGTTTTGTGCTTTTCCTCCTAGCTTAAAATATTTTCTAAGGTTTTGTGAATGTATGTTGTTTATTGTATTTTTTCAAATTAATCATTATGATTTTTTCCCCAAGAATTCAGGAACAGCTCAAGTGTTCAGTTTGGTCGCAGAACGTAGGAAGAAATTTCAGGAGATCATCAATCGGAACACCAGTGAGGCAAATCAGGTGGTTCGGCCCAAAACGTCCATGAAATGGTCAGCACCTGGTGCAACTCCACAGCTAACCACAGCCATTCTAGAAGTCAAGGAAAGCATACTGTCCTTGCTGATTAAATTGCATCACAAACTCTCAGGAAAACAAAACTCTTACTATCCTCCGTGGTTGGATGATGTGGATGTTTTAATCCACCCAGAAATTCCAAGATACTCTCACGGTGATGGAATGACGGCAGTAGAAAGAATTTTATTGAAAGCTGCTGTACAGAGCAGATTGAATAAACGTATAATTGAAGAGATATGCAGGAAGGTGACACCTCCTGTCCCACCAAAAAAGATTAGTTCTGCAGAGAAGAAAACTTTGGATAAAGAAGAAAGGTAACATTAATAACAAAGTAAAGAGGCAGTAGGAAATTGTGTGTTGTGCATCTATTGATTGATCTGTCTCTAGGTTTTTGCATTAATTACATGTTAAAGGAATAAGTCTTAATTCTACAGTTTTCTTTATCCATTTTAAATATACATGATTTACATGGATACTGGGGTGGGATCTGCACCTTGTATTTTAGATCTTTAAATTAGAAAACTTTCATAATAATTTGGTGTGATACACATGCTGACCCTTTATGTTGCTGCATATACCGCTCGTGTATACAAAGGTGTAGAATTAAGATTGTGTTAGTTTTTGTGGCTTAACCTTAAGGTGAGTTAGAATTTTTATTTGTATTGTCTGTTCATTCACATGCACACATCACACCATGATTAGTTTTGACCTTTGTTTAGTATATTTGGGTTTGGTAATACTACCTTTTTTACTTGTCTGAGCCATTCAATTTTAAAAGTATGTTTTTAATTTTTTTTTGTAGTTCTTATTTTTTTTTTAAATTAAATTCATATTATCTTATTATGTGTCCTGAAAACCTGCAAGCCAGTTGTCTGTCTTGGGCTGAAATGTTTTGGGGAAAAAGCTCAGACAGTTTTGAGATTGAGGCTGGGGCACAATGAGTCTTGAGAGCCCCCAGAGCACTGGCAGTATTGAAACTGAATGCAGAGAGCCTGCTTCAGTATTGTGGTACTCAATAATGCTAGATTTATGTACAGAAGCACAGGAATCGATGAAACAAGTAACTTTTCATATAGAAAACGAGTGAGATGTTTCCTTTCCCTCTATGAAGGATGTGATATTTTCAGGGATCTGTTGGATCCCTGAAACTTTAAGTTTTCAGTTAAGGTCAGGGGCTAATGTAATGATGAAAATAAATGTTTTCCGTTCTTTGTTCTGAGTGATTATTATCTTCTTCCCAAATTTTTAATGGTATTAGTGGACAGCATGGTAAATAAAATGACTAAACTCGTGGGCTGATGGTGTTCATGCAGTCAGGCTGCAATTTTTACTTTTTTGATTGTTTTGTTTTAATTTTCTCCCCAAATCCAGTTTTGTGTCAGTGAAGACCGAGCAGACTGTGCACGTTAAATGATCACCCTTTTTGGTTACTTCAACATATAATGATGAACTTGGTATCACTCAGGCAATGAATTGTTGCCATAGAAACTGAAATACAGAACTAGAAGCGAGCTTGAGCTGCTTGCAGTATTTTTTCAATTGCAGTGTCATACTCCCATGGGCCATCATGGAAAATTACTGAGCTGTACTGAATCTGTCAGAGTTTGTTTATATCTTCTTATTAAAGGCATCTATTTACAGTCACTCTGCTTTTAGTCAAGGTGTATATTGAGAAATTTCCAGGGAGAAATAAATAAAACCAGATCTAATGAATGCCCTGCTCTGATCCTCAGTATAATGAATCTTAGTGTTGTTGTAAATAGAAGTTATTTTGAGAAATGGTGACTGTACAATGTAACAGATAGATGGGCAGAGATATTTGGGGCATTAAGAAAACAAGTTAGAAGCTTTGACTTATAAACAGGCCACCTCAGGATAAGAGAGTACAGTATGTGAGGCTGCTGTGGGCCTGTGCATGCCTGTTCCTGTGCCAGGACACTGATAATCAGACAGTGCTGGAGACTGAAGATGGCTCACCCATCAGCATATCAGATGCCAAGTGCTGTTTTTAAATCCCATGTTAGTTATCTGAATTATCTCTGAGCAGGGGAAGAAATCCATTGGAAATGCTGGTGTGCAGAACATGTAGCTGTGATAGAGCTTCCAAAGCTGCACTGGGGAGTGCTGCATAAACACACCAGCTGTGGGGCCTGTAGGTGTTTGCATGTTCCATGTGGTGAGCAGCTGTGGTATAGGAGTTTTGTTTGGTTTTCCCACTTGCATTCTTCCATTTTGCATGTAAACTCTTGCCAAATGAAGGAGAATGAGTGTCTATTTTCTTTCTCTTTTTACATCCATCAGTATTCCTCTATCCACTCTAGTGTATGTTTATCTGGGGAGTTATATAGCTGGTCATATAACCTTGTACAGGCCACTAAAACAGTTTAAATAGAAGGGTAGACAAGGATAAGTCTCTAATGTCTTCCATTTGTAAATTCAGAGCTGTGATAAACAATGAGGAAAAAGTTAGTGAAGTCAACTTTGTTCCACAGAGATAAGGGGTTTTAATCTGGATGCAATCTCAAGCTTCTTTAAGTCCAGGTATAAAAGCTGTTGGTGACCAGTGTCTTGGGTGGAGGTGGGGGAAAAAGAACCACTGTGAGGAGCTTTAGCTGGAAAACAAATTATCTGTGGTTGTTTCTCTTGCCATCAGGCTTGATAAAGAAGGGAGTGAGGTAGGCTATTATTTTTATTAGCTTGTAAACATTGGTTGCTCACAGCAGTACTTGTTTTTGTACAACAGTTGATATTCTACTCTGTTATTCTTCCCATGTGTAACAGAAAAAAAGTTTCAAAAATAAGGTCTTGGGTTCTTTTTCTCACAATGTTGTGTCCTAGTCTGTTAGAAGATCCTTTGGTTTTCTGAAGGGTGTTTTAGGACAGGATTTTATTCCTATCTTTCACACTCAAAATAACACTGATTTCTTAACCTCCACTTTTAAAGCAAGAAATTCCTTTTTTAGGCTTGGACATTATTCCTTTATTTACAGAAATTCTGAATTTTGAGTGATTATTTAAGATGGTAACTGTAGTCAGCCTGACATTATAAAGTATTTTTTTCACTCATAGTATATTTTTTTTTTTAACTCTTCCCCCCTTCTTTCACTCAGACGTCAGAAGGCTAGAGAAAGGCAACAGAAACTGTTGGCTGAATTTGCCTCAAGGCAGAAAAGCTTCATGGAAACTGCCATGGATGTTGGTAAGTTTTTGTGTGATTGACTGCTTACTTTTTTTTCCTTTTGCCCTATGTTAGGTATTAAGATTTTTACTCCAACAGTTTAAAAAACAAACAAAGACACACACAAAAAAACTCCAACCATCAACCACCCCAACCAAACAGAAAACTCTCCCTTCAGATTCTACTTCTATATCCACCTGTATACTAAATACTTCTTAAGAGGCTTATACTTATGTTTTATAGGACAGATATTACTGAATACATATGCTAAAGAATAGATGAAATCTGTGGGACATAAATTTATTCCCATTTTTTCTTAATACACAGTGGATGAAATGATTAAATATGTGTGATATTTTAAAGTATTTACCTTTAATATAAAACATCCCAAAATTAGTTTGTCTCTTAAAGATTGCATTTTCTTTGATAAGAAAATTTAAGATTCTTTCTTTTTAGAGCCTCAATGTATTTATAGATTTAAGGAATGCATAATTTTTAAATCACTTCAGTTGCTATAGGTGAAAATGTTGTATTTTATTTCATGTACAGGCTTTAGAGCAGAATCAGCTCTTGTTTTTCTTGAGAATCTACTGTGTAGAAGTGCATAATGCTGATTAGTCTGTGTTTAACTGAGGAATGGAAAATATTTTTGTCATCTGGGTTACTTAATTGAAAATTAGCACTTCTGAAAGATAAGAAAAAGCAGGAATCTCCCCCCCCCCCCAATCAAGTATCATCTATGTAGTTTTGATTTGAGTTTAAGCATTAGTTACAAATATTTTGCAAACTGTATTTGCTGGGAAAGTCTGGCTTTTGAAATTTCTAACTTCCCTTCAGTTCATAAGTTGCTGAGAAGATGTGTTCATTTATACTTATTAAGGTCTTGGATGACAGCAGTCATGGCTGGGGCTGTGAACAAACCAGTCTGGTGGAAGGCATCCCTGCCTATGGTGGGGGGGTTGGAACTAGATGATCTTTAAAGTCACTTCCAATCCAAACTGTTCTATGATTCTATGAAATAAATCACTATATATATGGTGTTATGTTTGTAGGGTGTGCAATACACTATTTTTTTCCTCTGGACTTTGTGTTGTAAGTCATCCTCATTAAATGGGTAGTTATTTCTTTTTAATTGTTGAAGTAAGGAGGAAGGGAAGAAGAGCTTTGTAGTTCTACTTATTAAAAATTAAGTCTTTATATAGTCATGGCTAATTGAAAGTAACTTAGAAACTTTGATTCTGCAGTCACCTATATTTTGAATTCTTCCTATTGCAATTTTGAAATTGATGTGTTTTATATATTAAATCAGATGTACCTTTATATATACACCTATCAATAGCCTTATTTGCATATATACATAAATATGCATAAATACTTTCATGCATGAGTTTTATAAGCTATGTTTAGGAGAACTGCTTTGATCTGTGGATCAATCATGCCAGTTAAATCAGTAAATTAAGCAGCATTTATTTGTGTGAAGGACTGGGTATATCTGGCTTTTACTTAGTATTAAAAAGAACCCTTAATTTCTCTACCAGGCAGACCTGGGCCTTTGTGTTTATGGTTGTGCATTAAAATGTTCTTGGGCATGCAACACTTAAATTGTTTGCTTCCTAGTATTTAAAGAATTAATAACTTCAGATATCTTAACTTAAAATGTACTGTTTGTTGTCAATTATACCAGGTCATACACAGCACTAGATAGGATCAGCTTAATGGAATACATTTTTGTAAAGTTATTCTGCATACAGATATTCCTTGGCCACAAGTTAATAGAATTCCAGGCATTTTGTTAACTGAATAATTACTTGCTTTATCGCTAACTGTTTTCAGTGTCTTCTAGGTTGTCATTCCATTTTCTGAGTTCGTTATGAAAATACATTGCAGTAGTACTATAGTCCAGTATTAACTACCTTTTATGTTCAGACTGGCATTAAAATAGCTTGCAGAAAGGAAGTACATATTCTATTATAGTGCATGAGGTTTATTTAAAAATCTAGATTAATTTTTGCCAGGAACATTTTCTTCAGTTTGTTTAACCAAAGTGATTTGTTTGGCTGTAAATGCAGTCTCTATGTGTTACAGCAAATTATTGAAAAAGTTGCAGAAACTGTTGTTACGCTAAGTTTAAAACACAAGACATGATAAGAATTGTGAAACTAGTCTTTCAGGAATGAGTCAATTTAAAACTACTGTAAGTAGTTCATAGATTTACCCTCAATTGTAGCATAGCTATGCTGAAATAGCTGTTTTAAAACAAACAAAAAAATCTTTTCATGCTAAAATCAGTTGGTTAATACAGATTCCCCTCTCACATATTCAAACTCTGTTACTTGTTACTTTTATTATTGATTGAAGTTTGGCAGTAGGCTTATTTCTTCATTTTGATCTTTTGTTGTAACTGTAATAACACTGCCAAATGCAGGGATGGTGAGGCTTCAGCTCCCTCACTTTGTCACTGATTCAGTTGGTGTCATTTGAGCAAATCATTATTATCATCTTTTGAAATTTCATCTGTGAAAAGCAGATGTGATTCAGTCGTAAAATGTGAGAACTGATGTAATTGTTTTTAGATATGACACTTGAAAATTTCGTACTACCTTTCTATTGACAGTATAGAAGACTGAAAATACTCTGAATATAAATGTGTTGAGAAGGTGATAAGAGGAATAATGGAGAATAGCCAAAGCTTAAAGATTATTTTATTAAACCCCCATAAACTTAATAGTTGCCAAAGTGGTGGTTAAACTGCACAGAGCCACTGTTAATCCCTGAGGTATTCCTCTATGATTGTTGGGATGCTGCAATGAAACATGGCTTAAAAGGAAGTTACCCAATTCTGTGTTAATTATTCAGTATTAAATGTGTCTCGTTTTACCAGCAGAATTTATTTATTTGAACTGAAATGCACAAATTCATCTGAGATTCTGAAAATAAAGGTTGGCCTTTTCTTTCACATAATGACTGTAGAAAAAATTCCAATTATGTATTACTTTCCATTTGTGCCCCCTGTTACTTTCTATTTATATTCTGTGACATCTGCAGAACTGCATTGCCATTCAAGCTTGCCTGGAAGTAATTAGGTGAAATTTAGAAACAGTTATGTTAATGAACTAGGATGGAACAGAATCCAGTGTGCTGTCTTTAGCTATTTGACTGCAGGATAAACGAAAAAAGTAGAAAAATAACCCAAGAAACATTGTTCCAAGAACAGCAGATAGAGCTCTTGAAATATCTGAGGAGGATGTCTAGAGAGTCAAAAACGTGTTGTAACAGCTTCAACTCCATAGGCCTTCTGGTCTCCTGGTTATAGCTGCTTTGACATCTTTGAGGACACTTTCTCAGCGTGAGACTGTGGTTTATCTTGTGACGTGGAACTCTATGCAGGAGATTTTTGAAACTTCACTACCTTCAGGCAGGACTTGATAAGAACAAAAATAAATCACTCCATTCAGGTTAATAGTAGCCTTTTAACAAATTACAGTGATATGAATTTTATAAATATGAAATATTATGATTCTTTCCAGACAAGCTGCTGAACTACTTAACCAAATGCATCTTAGTGAAAATTTTTTAAATTAGTTAATTTGTTAATTAGAAATATTAAAATACCACTCATTTCTTCCATAGTTTTGTTGTCTCTGAAGTGCCCAGTGTGACTTTTAAATATTTTTAATGCCTCTCGATAATTATGCAGATGGTCTTTTGTGTCTTTCTTATGATGTGTCTTAGCAGGACGTCATTTTGTCCTTCAAGCAAACGTTCTGTAGCTAGAGTTTAAAAGAAGTGCAGAGTTTTAGTGCAAGGTGACATACATTTCCTAAGACTCAATCTTCTGAACCCAGATAGAAAAATAAATTAGGTACTGATCTCTTGAGACTATATATGCTGGGTCAGGGCAAAGAATATTAGCATACTAATGGTTGCTCTGATGCCAAGGGGCTGCTTTGACACAATGTATACAGCAGGACAAATGTTGACTACTGTCGACAGAAATTGTGAACTATAGTTACTGTGTTTATGAAGCCCTTTGGGTTCTGAGGTTTTGCTGGATGGGGAAGTAACAGAATGCATCCTTAGCTCTGGAGAGTAGAAATGAAAAGAAATTTAGGCAGCAGTGTATTCTACAATAAAACAGTGTGCTAGATTTTAGCAGACTGATCAGTATTTGTTAGGAGGTAGGAAATGATAGGTTTTTGTAACTTTGTGCCTATCACTTCCAGTGGTACTAAATTGAACTAAGAGCTAAATAATTAACTTTATAAAAAACTCTTGAGAACGGTAATGTTTGGCTCTGCCCTGGATTTCTGTCACAGTTTAAGTGTTTTTATCCTCCTTTGCTGTTTTGAGGTTCATATTTATCCAGATATCTGCAATAATTCACAAGGACAAAGAAAAGTTCCAGAACCCACCGTAAAGGGGTGAGATGTGTTATAACATTAGACAAGTCTCATGAGAGAAACTTGGTGAATTGATAACAATACCATGTGTCTTACCTTATATTTTCCATTTGCTCCTTCTCCACACACATTGACATCATTAGGACGAGTCTCTGTGAAATCTGTGGAGAGTCAGAGTTTTGAATGTGAGCATCATTGCTTAACTAAGAGGCACTTGCTGTCTCGTGTGACTGCTGCCTGGCTAGTGAAGCTGTGCTTCAGCCTAGCAACTAAAGCCACCTTGGTCTCTCTTGCACTCCTGGTGCAACTGCCTACTTCTGAATTTTCAGAGTAACGAGATATCTTGTTCTGGGTACCTGTGGTTTTCATGCAAAACAAAACTCCAGGCTCCTACAAAACCTGTTGGAAAGGTGAAGGGGTAACATACCTTAAGTATCTTAGCAAATGGCTGGCAAAGGATACCTTTGGCATTCAATAAGGCAACATAACACAAAAGGCTGTTTTTCAAAGAAATATCTTCCTAGCGTTGGAAAAGAATGTTGGGGGGTTGTGCACCAGTGAAAGCAAAATAAGGAGATAGTAGATTATCCTTAACCTTTTAGTCACAGCTGATGTTGCTTTGTTCACATGGTGGTTCTTGGTGATTCAGGTGTGGGTTTTAGCCAGAGTAGTGAGATTTTATGTTATATTGGAATCAGTGTTTGACTATAAAATCTTTTCATTAGTATAACAGAACATTTAATAAAATAATAATTTTTATTAATTTGTCTTTTTATAATTGAATCTTGGGAGCTAGATGTTAGCAAACGCTTTAAAAATTGTCAAGAACATGTATTTTCTAAATCAAATCAATAAAATAGCATTACAACTCCAGTCACTTTATTTAAAGGCTCCACAGGTTTCTGTGGAAAACACAAAACATTTCTGTGCTTGTGTTTATATGAAATGGAGAAAAAAAGAAAAAAAAGGTGTGGAGCTACAAATTTATGGGGATTTTAAGCTTCCATATGACTACTAGTGCAGTAAAAGCAGTATAGTTTTGCTTTTCCCCACATGAAATAGGAAAAATATAACTAAAAGTGAAGTATAATGGAGAAATGGCAATGACTTTATATTTACAAGTATCAATGCATTAATGAAATATTTTAGAAGGAGGTTTGTAGGAAAGAATCTCTCTCATTTTCAACAGCTTTTGAGTTGAAACATGTTTGTTCTGGTCCTTAACAGTCTATATAGATCACATAGCTGGTGGGGCAGTGTCAGTTCGCTTCCACTGGAGCTCCACAGAGGCAAAACTCCAGAAGGCAAGGAAGATAAGTTTGAAATTATTGCTATATGTATAGCTTGCTTTCTTTTTTCTGGACTGCCACTGATACATTTTCAAACCAGGAATTACCCGGCCAAAATGTACCCTTTCAGACAAACTGAAGTCTTATCTTCCAGAGAAGCTAACAACCAGTTTAAGTGAGTAATTCAGGTTTATCGTAGTCAGTTCAAAAAGAATTGAGGGTTTGAGGGTTTTTATTTGCTTGCAGTTTTTTGGGTATGCTTAATTGTTGAGATTTTAATTTCTTGCCACTTTTCCTTTGTTTTCTTTCACTAGCTTGAGTGGAAATTATTTTATTAGGAAGTCTTCCTTCCTGCTAAAAGCTTAATTTCCTTGAAGTTTAATTGTTTGCCAAAGTAGCCTAGCATTAAATCTAAGTAGGTGAGAAGGAAGTATGCATTTGATCATGACCACTGATCTAAAATTAAATTAGCCTGATTTATACGTGCCTATTGCATATAGGCATATAGGAAGTATAGATTGCATATACTGAATTGCTTTGAAACATCTTTTAAATACTTAGTTCTGTATTTATTTTTCCTTTAGGTTAAAAATATGCAACGTATGATGAATGAATGTGATTTTGTTAAATATTGACTGATTTTGAGAACTTCCATGGAATTGTTCAAAATCAGCGTGACATACTGTATTCTCCTTCTACACTTCTAAAAATATTGAATGGATGCATTTCTGTCATATTGACAATATTTTAGAGAAAGTGAAATAAGAAGGCTGAAACTAGTCATTCTTGTGTCATGTTTTGATACACAGGTGTACATGAGTGTGCATTACACAATTATGAGGTGATGTTAAATACAAAAATATAGCATTAGTGTTGATTTCCTCCCTTCTGTGCTACAGTTTGCTTCTAGGTTTTCTGGATGTTTTGCAGTCGATGCATTGTGCTTTTTCTTTCATTGTATATCTGGCTGCCACTAGATGGTGATAGACGTGTGTACAATATGAACAACTGCATGTCAATGAAGATTGGGGCTCATTTTCATATGACACTCAATAAATGTCTGGGAAATCAATAGTTACCAAAAGAGTGTAATTTTGATTCTTTCCTGTGAGTGAGAGTATTGCATGGAGTTCTTTATAGCCGAGAAATTCACTGCCTGGCATCAAACTGCTGCTCCTTATGGCAGCAACCTCCTGTGCTGAACTTGTGGATTTTCAGAAGACAGCAGCTCTCCTAAAAGCTGTTCTGCATGAGGACTGTTGCTGTACTCACAGTTTTTGGGTTCTCTACCTGATACTTTTGCCTACTTAATCAGGGAGATAAAGGGCATGGTTGAAGGTAGGGAGGAAGTGTTTTCTTTGGAAAAATTATCTTCTAGGAAAGAAACAAAGAACCCTCATATTCTAGGTCAAGAGGCTGACTGTGTGTTCCTGAGCTGTAAGGAGAGAATCATTTAGTCCTAAGATACTTTTCTTTCAAGCCAGTGAAGAATTCTTACCTTTGATTGTACCATAACCTAAAATTGCTTGCCCCACAACCAGCACCACCAACTGTCATGTGAACAAAGCTGTGTCGAGTGCAATGGCTTTGATACTTCAAAACTGGTCCTTAGCCTTGAACTTTTCTGTCTGTGCACCTACAAAGTAGTAATGTGGACCATTAGACAACCACATCTCTGATATGTCTTGATTACACCTAAACATGTGCTGCACCACAGCTGATTACTTTCTTAATGCGCACAAAATTGTCCCAGTTTCATATTACAATAAAAACTTCCCATTTAAGTTGCACATTTTATTCACCATGTCTAAGCATCTTAAAATTATTTCTAAGGTCTCCAGGTTAACTTTTTCCTTCTAATTGTTGTTTCAGTCAGCAAATCTTAGCAAATGTGGTTTTACTAGAGATTCATATCCATTGCCCTTAATCTCTCTATGTTTTAAGTTTTCAGTATAGTGTCTAATGAAATAGAAGTTAGATCTTTTTTTACAGAAGTTTTGGAGAGATCAAATTTAATACAAAACTTGAATGAAATATATAATTCCTCAGGAAGGACTTCTGCATGTGGGAAAACATGCACTTTGTTTGGTAGGTGTCTTTGTTTGAAGCAGCAAAGTTAGTTTCAACTGATTGTCCATGCTTTAGTTGTAGATAAACTAGAGAAATTATTTTGGAGTTTTTTCGTCACTACCTCAGTGCAGATGCAATTGGATTTCTTTGCCTCTGTTTAATATAAATTTTCTTATTCTTTTATAGAATCTCCAGATGTTGATGTCGCCATGGAGGTAGCTACATCTGAACAGCACGTTTCTGAGGCAATATATGATTGTGTTATTTGTGGACAAAGTGGACCTTCTACTGAAGACAGACCTACAGGACTAGTTGTACTATTACAAGCATCCTCAGGTATGAATGTGTGACTTGCAGGAAAAGCAGTGTCTCCGCAGCTTTTAACACATGTGTAAATACTGTTGTGTCTCATGAAGCCTGGAAACACAGAGTCTCCTATTTTTTTTGTGGATGGCCTTCTCTGAGGCACATGTGTAACTTAAGGATATTGAGAAAACTTTTAAATGTTTGGGAAAAAAACAAACAGTTTAATTCCCTCCTAATTCCTGTTAACTTTTGCAAATGCGGAGTATATAGTAGGCTTGCAGGAAAATCAGTATTAAAAGAAAAAGAAAATTAAACAGCCATCAGTTTGTCTATACTTAGATATGTGTTTGTGTGCTTATGAATATATATAATGTGTGTGTAGATATATATGTACTTTACGTACAAGTGCAAAAGCACAATGTTCAGTATTTAGTTTCTCTAATAATATTTTACTTTTTAACACCAACAAAGCACACTGTAGCTACAAACCACAATTACCTGATTTTTTTTTTCTTAATTGTTTAGCATATTGATGTTCATTGCATTCCTTATTGGTGGTTTTCTTCATACAGTGTTGGGGCAGTGCCGCAATAGCACTGAACCAAAGAGACTGCCAACTACCGAGGAGGAGCAAATATATCCTTGGGATACCTGTGCAGCCCTGCATGACGTGAGGCTTTCAACTTTACAGAGATACTTCAAAGATGTAAGTTTTTCATCTGAACAGTACTGCCACTTGTGAAAAATTTGTGTAAAAAGATAAATGAAATTACAAATTAGAGTTCTCCTAGTTTCATTTCTACATTTAGTGAACACTTTTCCATGTTGCAGTTGTTCTGAAGTGTTTACATTTATTGGGTCCTTATTTTTAAATAGTGTCTGGCTTTCCCCTAATTATATGTTCCAAGAAGAGTTTTGTATTCCTTCACAAAGCCAAATTACAGCTTTCCATATTTAAGTTTGAAAGCCAGTTCTTGTTGCTTAACAGGACATGTTCAGTTGTAGACCTTTGTGGAAGTGCTACCTGTGGCTTTCCTTCCTAATGCCTAAAGAGCTATTTAAGATAATGTGTAACTGTTCTAAACTATCATTCTGGGGGAGAAGAGTATGTAACCTGTGACCTTAAATTAACTTCTATAGAATAGTCCCAGGTGAGATAAGAGTTTTTAGGCATATCTAAATAAATAATCACGTTTAGAAGCTTAAATATTGGCTTTAAGGAGGAAAAAGTGTGGCAGTTTTTACTCTGACACAATTGCTAGCTTTTTCGTGATGTCATCCACAGATAACTAAAATTTACCAACTGCAGCCAGGCTTGCTTATGTAGATTAACGTAGATTAAAATTCATAGTTGTTTTGATGCAGTTTTAAAAATTTTTTTCAGAGAATTACCTTATTCTAAGGCAAATATTATAAATTCCCTTGCTAGAAAGAAAAACTCTTTAGGATGTAAGCAGAATGTTGGTTTTGAATGAAAGAATATTTTTTGTTCAGAAAGAATTTGTGGACAAGCTTTTCTTCTTTTGACATTGATGATGTTGGTTTACTGTTTCAAATAGTTAATGAATGGTTTTTCCTGCTGACATGATAAAAACACTGAATTAATACTGGAGCTTTATTTTTATGTCTTTGCATCCTACAAGTGGAAGGAGTTCCAAGCAAAATGTTACCCAAAAACTTGATCTTACTGAAGTGTATATTTCTGCTTCTGTGCAGTAGCACTACCAACAGACTGCAATGAGCAAATACATCCTTCTTTCACAAATTCCAGTCCTCAATTAAACATTACTTGAATTAGCTATTTTTGCTTTCAAGTTTCCAGGTCACTACTGTGCTAAAAAACAAATCTCTGCATGAAAGAACTAATCCTTAAATTTCTTTTGACATGAAAATGGAAACATCTGTTAGTGTCTTGAGTGTCTTGTTCAGCTGAGCTAAGCAATAAGAAGTCCTTTTGTTTATCAACTGTGTCCTTTCCAGTAAACGTCCTTCCTCAAACAACAGCTTGCAAGAGGAAAGTGAATAATTTCACCCAGATGTAAAAATTTTAAGTTGGCTTATTTTGCTAGAGGAAAAAAATCCAATAAAAAATCCCATTCAAAAGCTACATGCTGTGTACAGATTAAGTAAAACAGATCACTTCTTTCCATATTGATTTCTTTTTGCACTTTCTTAGCTGAAATTTGAGGCTTGCTGTCAGGGAGTAGAGTTCTTGCCCATTAAAGGAAAAATCACTGAAAGCAATTATTTTTTATATGGAGAGGTATGACTAAGGATTAGGAAATATAATTTTGTATACTGGACTGATAGGACTGTTCAGAATCACATAGAACTCTGTAACCAATAGTTTGATATAGGTGTGTTCCATCCCAAGCCTGTGGTTTGCTTTGGAATCTTGTTTGTTTCTGAACTCAAGAGTAATAGAGTTAAACCTTTCTGCTAAGACTTTGGATTTTGGTTTTTTTCTCCTCTTTTTGCAACTGCTACTGAGTAGCCTCATTAAATACATGCAGTAAATAATGATTTTCCTGAATGAAACATTTGTCCCGTGGTGCTTATCGAGATGTATCATGGGACCTTAATACTTCACCAGCAGGAGAAAAACTTCCTTATTTTATGGCCTGAGAGGCTCATAGCACATTATGAATAACAAGTTGAGGCAAGGTAAACAGGAGCATGTCTCAAAGCTAAAATTTGTAATTTTGTTTTGATTTTCTGCTCATATGCAGAAAAAAGAGATGGTAGGAGGTCCTTAGAGAATGGAACTATTAGGGTTATTCATGGTACACTGATTTTGCATTATACATTAAGGCCATTTTAGTGTGAATCTAGACTAAAAATTGTTTCCCAATTCTGGTAGCAATAAATTTTTTTCTGTTCCTTCAATGTATAACCAGAATGTACTTTTCAGTCTGTGCATGAGATTTTTGAGAAATGGCGATCTAAGAATGAGACTGACTATAGTTAGAGAATTTTCTAGAGTTCCTCACAATAAGTCTGCCAGAGGTGCCTGTTTCTTCAGGTCATTGTTTTCTGAAAAAAAGTTACCAGTGAGGTAACTTTTAGACATGTGGACTGTAAGTGCAGTCCTTGATTAAGGCCAATGTTTTCTAAACAATCCTTTATAAAACTCAGTTCACTAAACAAGTATTGGTTCTCATTTCCCACTATGATGAGTTATATATATGTTGTTCAACAACTCATTAAAATCCCTAAGTTTTTACACTGAATTTTAAAACAGGTTGTGACTAAATTATATAACAGTGGTCTTGTTATTTTGGTTACCTACAAAACTGAATGAAATGTATTGGAACAGTATCTTACCCTTGTACATGGAATAACTTCTACTGTTGGAACAGATGTTAAGAGTTACAGGCACCTTTATGCTGTAGTACAAGAGGTTCTTTAATGAAATGGTTATTTTAAGTGATAAGAACTGTAGAAGTTTAATTTAACTGTTTGGCACTTGGTTGGAAAGAATAGTATAATGGCAGCTGTGTAAGTTAGCTTAAGTCAGTACTTTAGAAAATGAAGTTTCCTTTATTTCTACAGCATGTCTTTTAATGAGATAGCATGCAAATAAAAAATATGTGTATCTTTTAAATCTTAAAATAAGTTTGGTTAAATACTTATATAGCTTTATATATAGTCATTGTTGTTTCTTACTGTTTTTGCTGTGTTTTAGAGTTCCTGTCTGCAAGCAGTGTCAATAGGCTGGGAAGGAGGTGTTTATGTACAAACATGTGGTCACACTTTACACATAGATTGTCACAAATCTTACATGGAATCTTTACGGGTAAGTAAAACTAAAGATCATATTTGTTTATTTGGATCTGAACTGTTCTTACTGAAATCAATTGACTTTATCATAGAAAGAATACTTGTGTTTACGTGAGTGGACAAGGTGGTTTTATTGTGTTTTCAAGAACTATGGATACTAAATCTCTTATTGCATCTTGACATTATTAACAAAATACTTTGTTTTCAGTTATTTTGATATATCAGAAATTATATAAATGATATAAAATGTAATAAAATAAAGACTAAATGATGACTTGTTCATATGAAACTGCTTTTTTATTCAAGATTACTTTATGGGTTATTTCTTTAATTTTTTTTTCTTTGTAAGTTTTGTTGATTTCTTTTCATTTTCAGAAAAACTGTGAGCAATACCTTCTATTTTTAGTATTAGCAGTGGTCTTACTGAAACTTAACCTCTAGAGAAATAGGAAGCTGTGCAATCTTGATTGGATCCCATGATGAATTGTTCTTTTCCATATTAATTTAAATTTGCTTTCAGCAGTAGTTGTGTTGTCAGGATAAATATAACATAATATAAATATTATATAAAATAATATAGCAGTAAAATCTAGACTTTCATGGTGGAGTTTCACTTTACAGAATTTTGGAAAAAAATTTTTTGCATCACATAAACTCTGAAGTCACTTTTCTGGTGGATTCTCTATTAAACTTGAAATAAACTGTTACTCCACCTCATTGTTGAACATTTCTAAATTATTTAAGCAAACTTCTGATCCTAGCATGTTTTACTACTACCTAGATGAGTGCATAATAATTTTGACTATTTCCTAGCATTCTTAGTACCAAAATAATTTATATAGACTTGTGTTCATCTGGATAAAACATTTATTTTTGCATAATACGATCAGAGGTGAACATCCAGTAAGGTATGTAAAAGCCTCAGCATTCTGGGCTGATTGCATGAAGCTTACATTACAGTCACTATTTACTTAGCAGTTCTCCCAGGAGTGGGAAACCATGGAGGCAACTCCTGAAACGGAAGCAATGTTGCTTGCCAGTAACAGGAACACTGAGGAAATGTCCTCACTTCCCAAACACATACTTCTGCATCCATTTTTTGATCCTTCATGTGATACAAGAAATAATCAGGATTTTTCTTATGCTGCCCTACAATGGCTATTTGATTAGGGTTTTTTTAAGCCTGTACTTGGAGTCTCAGACTTTATGGAAATAGCTAGAAAGAGACAACACTCATGAAAGGTTCAAAACACTCCATTGAGATCTTTCTAGTTTATTATGGGGATATTGTTGACAATGAATAATACTTAAAAATTAGGAAAGTTGAGTTGGAGGATTGTAAGACAGTTTCTAGTAAAGACCTTTGTCAGTAAAGTGAGGAACTATTATAATAATCCTTTCTTTACAAGTTTTTGGTTTTAGACTTAGAATCAGATATACATCTGAAATATCAAAGTAAAAAAACTATAATCTTTTGCAAATTTCAGCTACATATTCTTTATTTTCTTTTAGAATGACCAAGTCCTCCAGGGTTTTTCAGTGGACAAAGGAGAATTTACCTGTCCCCTCTGTAGGCAGTTTGCTAACAGTGTTCTTCCTTGTTATCCTGGAAACAACGTGGAGAGAAGTGTTTGGCAAAGTCATAGTAACAAGTGTATGCAAGACCTTGTACAAGAGGTGGAAGATCTTCAAGAACAGCTGGGAACTTTCCCAGTAAGCATCAGTGTAAGGCAGAAAGATCCTTGTTAATTTGCCTCTACCTTTCAGTTTTTACATTATATTGCATTTGTGACCTCTTAGAAACTTGGGAACCTGGGAAAGTTCATTCTTTTCTGATATGGAAGACAGCATACCATTTTTTTCACATAAAGAAATTTTAACTATTTAGAGTACTTACTGCATTACCTACTAAAAATAAACAATTGTGAAAAGCTGTGACAAAATGTGATTAATATAATTTTTTATGGAGTACATTTTTGGTTTTTTCCATAGTGATTTACATAGAATGGAGTCATGTAGTATAAAATTAATTTATAATTTCTTTACAATATAAAACCAACAATATTCTTGTAACTGGAAGCTATTTAAACAATACCTGTTAAGAACTTCTTAAGGTATGGATTATCTGTTTTACAGAAAGAGCAGTTTTCAGATGCTCATGTGTTACAAAGGTTCATGAGGTCGTCTGAAAGGCAGAATAAATTAAATTTTGTTAGCCTTCCAATCTCGGAGGTGCTTTGTGTTGTTTTTGCATACTTGTACAGTGCAAATATACTTTAAAAGAACACAAGCAGTGAGATTCTTGAACTTAGGAGTTGGACAAAGCAGTTATGTTTTTATATTCAGAACAAATCAGAATAACTTTTCAGAATATTTAAAAAATACTTCTGTGAGACAGAATACTGGCTTTTAATGCATATTTTTTCATAACCTGCAAATGTGTTTTACAGATATGAAAGTGCTACACTTTGCAATCAACTACTGCATTTGTTGAGGTAAAATTAAGTAATATTCTCTTGTGTCTTTGTTCATAGTCTGAAACCAATCTCAGTAAAGAAATGGAATCTGTAATGAAAGATATAAAAAGTACCACACAGAAGAAGTATACAGATTATAGTAAGAGTCCTGGATCACCTGACAACGATTTCCTGTTCATGTATTCTGTAGCCAGGTGGGTATGTTTTTGGTTTTTTTCTTTTGTATTTCTCACTAATGTTCTTAGTCACCAGATAGTTTTCTTCTTTAAAAAAAAAGAAAATATTTCATCCTCTCCAGAAAGTACTTTTTGAATACTTAGTACATCAAGGTTACGTTTCCTGGTCATATGCAGGCATATGCAAAATGATGTGCCTTTTAGTTAATTTTTAGTATGTGCAGCAGTGGCATAAAACCTGGAGAACAATGTGTCGTGTGCTTATTTAGTGTTCTTCTTCATTCAGGGTTTTGCTTTCCATATATCAAAATTTCTTTTTCTACCTTTCTTTCCAAAATTGTCAACTCTCTCCTACCTTTCTTTAGCAGAATGAGATTATTTCTATATCACTGCCATATTGCTAGTTTTTGTATCAGCGAGTGTTTTTAATTTTTTTTCCAAAACATTAGTTTTATTTACTTAAGTGGGAGTCACAGAAGGATCTTTTTCTACATCAGCAACCAGGAATCTCTCTTCATGTGAGTATACTTCTAGAAAAAGTGTCGAAACCACCAGCATTTTCTTTGTAAAGTTTGATTGCAGTTTTAGAGCTGTCAGTGTCACAGTCTCCAAGAAAATCAAATCCCCTTCCATCTATACCACTAATGTTAAGATACTCTGAATGGTTAATCTGTTCAGAGTTACTGTAGTGGAAGGTTTTCCCATAAGAAGTTGAAATACTCATTAAGCAAATAATTTTCCAAACTCTGACTCAATGAGGCCTTCAGGGTAGGTGCTGACTGCAGAGAAGCTGCAAGCACACAAGGGGATACCATCCAGTAGCATTTTTCTATTATGCTTTCATAAACTCTGATTGCTGACTGTCTTTAGTATATAAGCAGTGGAAATATTCAAGACTTGGCTTGGCAGGATTCCAGGTAATCAAATGTAAGGCTCAGCTTTTGACAGAAGGTTAGACCATCCAATCTCCAGAATTCTCTTCCAGCTTAGATTATTGTATAATTCTATTAAAAGAAATATCTGTATTCTTCAAGAATTTTTTAACTGATTTAATACCCTTCCAGAAATACAAAGGACTCAGAATTAATGTTTTGCATATAAAAATATGTAATCATGCCATTTAAGGTGCAAAAATAGTGTTATGGTACATTTCTGGGTGTAATGTTATATAACCTTTAAAATGTTAGCTAAACATATTTTTAAATGTCTCCATATATTATTTTTATATTTACACATGGAGCCCAAGATTTTTGTTTTCATTCCAAGAGTTAAAAATACTTCAAACCAGAGCAGCATTTCATTGCTGCTTGCACTGCTGGGGAGAGAAATTTCACTGCTATGATTGGGATATGCCACTTGTACTCATTGTGACCTCTTCTTGTTAGGTTAGACTGGTGTCAGCAATTTTTCATTTATCCATGACTGAAGGATTTCAGGTGTTGGATCCAACCTTTCTGTATCATTACCATAACTCATGAGATCACTTGTGAGGGTGGCTGGCAGATCAGCTACCAAGTGGTTAATTTCTCTTGCGCCTTTCAATGCAGCAATCCAGATTTATGTGCTTCTACTACTTGATAATTGCATAAGAACTACAGGTTAAAAAAAATTTCAACTTTTAAAAAGGCATTTTAATACAACCTTGCAGACTGTATTTATGGAAATAATATGTAAGTCATCTGGCTGTCCTCCAAACTGAAAGAATTTTCTTTGCATGATTTTAGTATGTGTTGTTTAATTTTAAGTATTCGAACAATGAACTATCCACAATTAAAATTGCTTACAAAATTATGTACTGAAGTAACTTGCCTTCTGGAAGTTATTCCTGTCATTCAACCTGTTTCTTTCTTATTTCCATCCAGTTCTTTCTGAGGTAATGATACCCTTCTGTTCCTTACCAACCAGTAACCTTGAGCATTTCTAGTTTCATGTGTTCTGAAGCACTTAATTGGTTTTGGTCAGACCATCTATAGCTGTTATTCAGTTTCTCCTGGTATTTAACATACAGATAAAGTGGTCAAGATGAAAAGCAGCCCATTCAAATAAGCATTTGAATGCAGTGATATTTTTATTGACTCTATATATTTGCAAGTGAATTAAACTCTCTTAATCTTCTTATAAGTTGTGTTCCATTTTCAATCAGAAAATGGCATCATCTGCTGTCTTAAAAGATGCTAGTTTACAGCTGGAGGCCAGCTTTGAAGTGGATTTCTGCATGCTGGAATGGGAATACTGCTGGTGAAACGAGATGTAGCCAGTTTACTGTAGCTTATCCTTTCTACTTCAGGAAAACAGAAACTTTTCTTAATTTTTGCTTACCCAGACAGATGTCACTGGTAGCAGAGAAAAAGAAATTACAAAGGAATTCTCTACCACTTAGTGGGAGGGCTAGCCCCTGTCTGTTTTGCTAGCAAAAGGGGCATTCTGGGTCTTGGCATCCTGATTTGCAAGCACAGCTGGAAGAGCAGCTCCTTGGCTACCTCCTGCTGCAGTCTTGCCTACAGTCTTACCTTGTTAAATTTGTACCCTTTTCATATGCCTCCCTCCTTGTCTTTGCTGACATTTTTGAGAGTAGTGCAGTGTGTTATTCACAAATTCACATGTGCCTAGCTTTATTTTTAATAGTTCCACATTCATAGCATTTGTGACTGTCATTTGTGGCAGTATCTTGGAGGACTGTTTCTGTATTGCATAGCTGTAGGTCTCGTGCTTTTCTTGGCCATGCCAAGATGGAATCATAGAATATCCTGAATTGGAAGGGACCCATTTCTGTCAGCTATGTATAGATTAACGTAAGAGCCCTGTGTTCTTTCCTTCCAGTCTATGCCTCAGTATCTGTGGTTTTTCCATATATATGTTGTATTTGTAAAGTGAAGTGGGAAAAATAGTGCTTAATAGGCTGTTTCTGTCATAATATAAAGACAGGGTCCATCCAAATATGTTCCCTTTCTGGAAAGGGCATTGCATTTTTACTTCCCCCTACTCTGTCCTCGTGTGAATTCTGAGAAAGATGCAATCACCCTTCCCACCCCAATATGTTCCTGTAATAATAGCCCACAAGAAGGGATGTAGTAGGTCTGTTTTTAATCATGAGTCTGGACAGCTGAGCAAAATCCATCTTCTCAGGGTTTTTTTCTGTGAGTGAGGAAGATAAAGCCAGTGTTCTACAAAATTTGTTGCTCCAGTGAATGACGCAAAGATTTTTAGATAGGGAAAACAGTCACTCACATAGATTTTCTATCTCCTCTTTCCTTCATGTTGAGGAGGCTGAGATAGCAAAGGATGCTTTCTGAGACCGCTCTGTGTTCCACGCTTCTATCGGATGCCCCCAGTTTTTCTTCATTACTTTTCTTCAGTAAAGGGCAGAGGGTACTCAGGTCCTCAAGACAGAAGGGAGCTGAAATTAGGGAGGAGATACAGTAGTCTCCTTCAAATATGATTGAGGTCTGTACCTGATTTACGATAGTTTATTGTTGGTAAGTGTTCATTTTCACAGAAGGTGCTTTCTCTACTGTGCACTCGTATACCAAAGTTCAGGTATGTCTTGAAAAAGATGTATCGAAGGAAAAGGTTAATACATTTCCAAGAATGCTGAGCTGAAAGGTGTTGTCTTTGAGAAGCTGGGAGCAATGAAGAAGTGTGGGAGGTGAGAGTTGGTATGATATGTGTGAAAGGAGTATATGTTTCCAGAAATAACTCTCCTTATATTCCTTGTAGCAAGAAGTGCTATATGATGCCTCCTATGTATCAACAAGAGTTTTTTTTCAGAATTGTCCTTGAGGTTTGTTTTGTAAAATTGTACATGTTTCTTGGTGAAAGGAAAATTTAAAATTCTAGATCTAGAAAATTATTCTTAGATATTCAGGTAGGCTTCTTGATTTAAATCTTAAGTATCTTGATTTTAATGGAAGACTGCTATTAATTTTGTTCTAGAAATTAGTTATCAGAAGGTTTGTAGAAATAAAACATACTGGTTTTCTTTATATTCCCATGATGAACTAGCACATGCTGATCTACAGTTGCTATTTTGTCCACTAATATGAAATCCCTGTCCCTGCTTCCTTGCTGGTAGATTTTTAGAAGTTCAGTGAGCACTGCAAATCGCCTGAAGAGTGGAAAATTCCCCTGTCACACAGATGCCCTTATCAGCAGCAACCAGATGGAGCTCTGAGCAGGCACATTATCAATGTTAAATTGCCTTTTCTGAGTAGAGAGGATTAAAGCATTCCTTCAGAAATGGATGGCATAAGCTGCAAACTTAGGAATAGTAATATTCAGAAATGTTGCTATTTTAAAAACATATGAAAGTATCTTAACAAACATTGCATATCAAAAGTGTGTTATTCTTTCAAGTTGATAAAGCTGAAATTCTTAAAAAATAATTTGTTCTGAATAAAATAGTCATCCTGTAGTTTCTTCTTAAATATATGTGTGAGAGGTGTGTGTTCTTAGCTTAGGTATGCTATGTTCCTAAAATTCTAGAATAGATTTTAATATGTATTCAGTTATTATATTGAACCTAAAATGGTTTGATTTTTCGTTAAAGGACGAAAAATGTTTAGAGTGAGCTTTGCAGTTTGGATTGAATTAGCAAAATAACATTTCAGAGTAGTAGAATTATATTCCTTTATTTTAATTGAAGAAATGTATGCTGACTTATTAAAACAAGCTCTCAGAGAATATAACATACATTGTTTGCTCCAAATCTTGGGGGTAAAAGATAATACAGTACTGAAGCATCCAATTCCAAAATTAAACAAAGTTATCAAATTTGGCCTAAACAATTGGTGCCTAAGTATCAGATTACAATAATACTAAGAAAGCAAGCATCAGTGGGACGTGCAGAGATTTAGTGACACAACTCCTGTTCCATACTAATGAGCTGCAGTGAATGCCAGTATTTGATTCAGAATTAACCTCCCAGGCTTTTATTAACTAACTTATCTATAAAGGTCAGTGCTTTCATTATAATTTAGACTGTATTCGTACTTGGTTAGTTGATGCCATATCCATTGTCCTGTCTGTTTGTTTAAAGCAAAACAAAAGCCCTGCCAGTAAAGAGAACACTCTTTTAGATGTATCTGATGGACTGAAATTTAGCCAATCTGTGTATTTTCCTATTAGCACATAAAGTCCCCTATTATCCAAGGAGCTGTGTGTGCATACAGAAAAATGCCTCAGAATTAACATTTTTTTAATTCTTCAGTCGCAACTCAATGCCAATAACATAGTACTTATAATCACATATGGCAACATCTTCATAAGGCTTGTTTTATTCTGAGATGTATTTTGGCAGTATCTCATGCTAAAGATTAGTTCACAGTATGCTTTTATTTAGTGTATGCTGGGAGTTTGTCATGACTCATTCATGTCTGTAGAAGCTTCAATAATGCTGTTCTGTTCAACACTGTTATGTTTTTCTTACAGAACAAACTTGGAACTTGAACTGGTCCATCGAGGAGGAAATTTGTGTTCAGGAGGTGCAAGCACAGCTGGGAAAAGATCATGTTTAAGTAAGTTTCATGTTATTAAATGGAATATAAATTATTAGAATATTGAATAAAAATGTCTAGTTCTTTCTAACATTTCCTAAATTATGTCAACTTTTTCCTTTTAAAAAAACCTTTTTTTTCTACCATAAGTAGTCTTTGGTTTTTTTGTTTCTATTTGAGAAATCTGAAAACTAATTTGCACAAATTATTCATTAGAGCTGTTTGTGTCTTGTGAATATAATCTATTTAGAAATCAATTGTCATAATATCCATGTAATATTTTTTAATATGTTCATGTTTTCATGAGTAAAACTAGAAGTATTTTAAGGGTGAAGCAGCAAAGCTTTGTTTCACCCTGACTGTTGCTAGGAATAGTAAAGAAATTTGTTTTTCTGAATGCTAATATAGACTTGATCGTATACTTAGAAAAATGCAGCTACGATGTCCCATGTCTTTAATTTGCCTAGTTCTTCCACTGGCAAGAAAGTTTTGCAGATTTTCCTTTGTAGCACCTCTCAAATCTTCGTTATTCTGAAACCTTTAATATTTGTCAAATGAAGCAGTTCTCATTGTCAGAAGGGGTTTTTTTTCTTAACAGAAAATATTTTAATCTTTTTCTGAAATGGACATTTTCTTTTGTCAGGAAAAACAGAGCCTGAGAATACAGCTACTACTACTATTTGTTTAAGTCAAGCTCCTGTAGCAATAGCAGCAGATTCAGTAATAAAAATGTCAGAAAGCTTAGGCCCACCTCTGCCTTTTAGTACATGATTTGTGGGGGATGCTTTTCCTCATCGTTTGAGGTGACAAGCCACCAAAGAAGTGTCATCAGGTGCTATGTTGTCCACATCCTCTCTAGGACAAAAGCCTTCTGTTACTGCCAGGAATGTAGTTCAAATAATTTCATTCATGTGTTGTAGTTTTGAAAAGTAGTTTTAACTGTACTGCACGTTGTCTTTCCCCATCATTACATCCCTTTCTCAGCAGACCAAAGTACCTGAAAAGTGTGTGTATTAAAAGAACATCTCCAGATCACTGTTTCCAAATTTGAAGCATTTAATAAACCAAGGTTCTACAGATAATTTCTACTTGCGTTATATATTTTTAATTGTATGTTCACCTAGAAAGATGGACACTTTCTCTCTGAATTTTAGCAACTTGCTAATGTGTTTACCCATTTCACAACCATATTATTTGGAAGATGATGATGAATAGTTTAAGGTGGAGATTTCAGCTTAAAATTGAGAAGTTCTTGAAAGTGAAAAAGTTTTTAATGATGTTACACATAGTAAGTGTATTCCCATTTTCACATGGCTTTACTAGTCATACAACTTCTTGACAATTTAGAGTTTAGAAGAATGTCCTGTAATCTGCAAGGTCATGTTTTTATCTTGTTGATAATGAGGAGATCTCTGCCGTGTATATAGATGTGGTTTTGCATTAAGCAGCTTGGAGACATGAATGTCATCTGTTCGTTGTTAAAATGTTCACATGCTGTTTATGTTCTGTATTGGTACTTTTTAAAATTGTTATGTAGCAAGCTAGTCATATTTAATCTTGCACTAAAATAGACTTGTTTTTTAATGTAAGGTAATGCAGTTCTCCTAGAACAGACCTGTACAGTATTTTCATTTATTATTATTATATTTAGATTTGGACTTTAGGCTAAATATGACTAGTGGGATCAGAGTTAGTTATATGTATATATATATATATATATATAAAAAACAGGGTTTGTTTTCACTAAACCATTATATAATTGTGTGTTTCCTTCATTACCCCTTCCATATGGTTGCATTTAAAAGATTAAAAAATGGCGGTTTTATATATGGATGTTCTGTAGTCGATTTTATAATTTTTCCATACTCATTTATTTTTCCAAGAGGTAATCCTGTTTTTAAAGTTTCACTTAAAATGTACCTTCTTCAACTTCTTCATTGTCTTATGCGATGAGGAAAGAATGATTTTAAAAATCCATACCCCATCTAGAACTTGAATACTGTTTCATTGAAGTCTTGCTTGCACAGTATTGAAGCTGCTTTTGTTTTTAAGCATCACTCAGGTTCAGCAGAAGTAACCCAAAGTATAGCCCACTTTTGTTTTTCATATGCATGAGATACTGGAGTGTTTCTCTTGTGATTAAGCATACCACTCTGTATTAGTCATGTAACAACTGTAAAGTTTGGTGATTAGATATTGTGGAAAACAGAATATGTTGTCCCAGGTGAGCTGTTACAGCAGCAAACGTCAAGGAAGATGGTGGGAACAAATAGGTCAAGAGCTGTTTTATTAGATTGCACCAGGAGGGCAGCTGCTCTTGGGAAGTAAATTTAAGAATGATTAATGTAGCTGTTAGTGTCAGTGACCAAGTCTGTGTGAGAAGAATGGTGAAGAAAATTTGGCTGTAAAATTGCCATTTCAAGGCTTAAAATTTGTGTGTGTGTGCAACCAAAAAAATGCAAATAGAGTCCTATTACTTATTACTTAAAAATTGAGTCCTGTTTTAAGGACTACAATACAGTGTTAGAGTCTATGGCCTTGAAAATTCTCTTGAATTTTGGAGATAATTATGATATGTAACAATTGTACAGGTCTTATTTCTCTGTTTTGTAAAGTGTAAGAGATCTGTTGTGCTCTTTGTTTGTATTGTGCTGTATTTATAGAATGGGTTCAGAACACAGCATTAAGGCTGAATAATTATAACTTCTCTGTACAATTTTTGTATAAGGCCATGAGCAACCTGGTCTAGTGGGAGGTGTCCCTGCCCATGGTGGCAGGGTTTGGGACTAGATGATCTTTAAGGTCCATTCCAACCTCTTAACATTCTATGATTTTGTGACCTCTCTTTAACTTGTGTGTGTTTTTCTCTGCCATCATTACTCTGGTGATCTTGCAATAGTTGATGAACAGTTCCACAAAATTTAAAAGTTATCTATAAATGAATTTATAATCTAGTAATTTTTTCCTTTTAACTTTTAAATAGTTCTATTCTTTCTTTCTGGCTGTTTTCTTTCTTTTTTTTCCCTCTTCCCCTTTGTGATAAGGATCGGATTAGGGGTTTTGGGAAGGATTAAATATTCTATCCTCTTGTCCTCTGGCTTCAGTTTCTCTGTAAATGAGCTCCTTATCCTTACGCTTCCCACAGATAGCAGTCTGGCATTGCAGCATCAACTGCATTAATTGGAAAGGACATCAGTTTACAACGAGACAGAAAAAAAATTATTTAAGACGTATTTAAACTATCTCAAAATAAAATGACCAGCGCCTTTGTAACTTCTGTGGTGGTTCTAACCATGGAAATACAGTATTGTTCCATGGGAGTTGTGTTGGTTGGTTGGTTTGTTTAGTTGGTCAGGTTTTTTTCTCTTGTCCATTTGAAGGCTGTTTCTGGATTATGATGTTAATATCAGTTTAATCACTGTTCATTATGTGTTTTTGTGAGCACAGAAACTCACTGTGACATTAAGGGTTTTCTAAGTTGTTTATGCTCCCTCTGTATCAAATTTTCTAACTGTGTGGAGAGTGATGCTGTCTCCATTTTATCAATATGGTCAGTGACCCTTTCAACCGCTTAGTATTGGTAATTTCTGTAGGAAGAATGATTGATTCATTATATTCCAGCTATTTCTTTCCTGTAATCTGTTAATGTGAATATGGCTGCAAAGATTCCTACCCAGTTCTCTGCAACTACTGAAAATAAAAAGAATAAAAGAAGTTTTCAGGAATGCCTCTCTACAGTGGATTCCCGTGGTTGGTTGGGCTTTTGGTGCTGCAGGTTTTGGGGTTTCTTTTAGGTTTTCTTTTGCTTTTTTTGGGGGGGGGGTGGGTAGGGAGAGAGTTGTTTGTTTTTTATGTTCGTTTGGGGGGAAGGGTGTCAGTTAGGAGCTGTCAATCTGCAGATCCTTGATGCCCATTCATGCTAACTTTGAAAAAGCAGTTTTTCTCACCAACAGGTGATCCTTAAGTATTTTCTAAAAACTTTGGTATGCCATTAATATCTACTGTGGGAGAAGCACAGATAAGTACTGTTAGAACTCTATTGCCAAAGTTCATTTCATACACTGGCAAGTTTCGTGTCGAGGATAATTAGTTGCTTCATCAGCAATTAAGACTTGAGATTTTGTAAAGACTATCGTGTCTTAATGCCTTAATAGGCTTTTCCTGACCTTCACATTTTTTTTATTCACTGATTCAAATTACTGGATCAGAGATAAATGATCATCAGCGATGCTGTCAGCAGGTCTTTGCAGCTGCTGTTGCTAAGTGGACTGTATAAATCTGTACAGGGAGGAAAAAATTCCTCAATCTCCTTATTAACAATCAAGTCCCATCTGGCTGTATCAAGTGGCTTTTGTTATAATTGACATTCTTCTTTATAGTACCAGGGAACTTCAGGGGGAGAAGAAGGGTGTAGCATCTCTAGTCTGGTAAGATCTTCACAGTTGAGACAAGGATGTTCTTGATTCCACTTGCAGTGAACTACTATGTCAGTGTTTTGTGATCTTTTTGCATTGTAAATATGAATACTAATTTATACAATGTAAAAAGAGAAATTTGGATCAAAATAGCAAAATAAAGATTTCCATGACAGCAGTATGTGTTCTTTATGTCCTCCTAAAACAGAGATTGGGGAATAAACAGAAAGGCAGCTAATTCCTTAGTTTTATTTGTTATCATTATTACAGCACATTGCTGTACATTGTGGAATTGGCATTAATAACAGAAAACATTATCTGATTTCAGCTCTGGTGATTTGAGAATTTAGTTTACAGTCAAGAGACCAGAAAAAAAGGCAGCAAAACTTATGCAGAAATTTGGGATCACTTTGGCAAAGACCAAGACCAAGATTACTAGTGAGACCAAAACTTACACCTACATGCAATTTCCTGAATCACTCATTTTTGTTAGTTCAGCACAACATTTTTGGAAGGTCTGCCATTCATCTGTCAAATCGCGATGTGTTCATCTCTCTGAATTTGGTCATCTTTTATGCTATGCATACCACACTAGACCTCAAAAGGGTTGTGGAATTGCCTTTATAGACTCCTGCTTTGTGCACTTCGGCAAAGCAGAATATTTTTTTGAGAGGTTTGTCAACATCTGTAAAATGAATGTGCTTTAATATTAAAAATAGTAAAGAATGCATCTGCAGGTGCTAGTGCAGGCAATGTGTTTATGTAGACAAAATACCCATTATCTCTGGTTTTTTTTGAGAGGAGCAGCATTAGAATGCTTTCTCTTACAGCTTCACACCCAGTGCAAAGACAGCATCTTATCCTTTGAGCTGCTCTTTTGAAAGTACCAATTCTAGTTAAGTTTATTGCTCCTCTCTGACAATAAGTTAACTTGCAGCAATAAGTTATACTGTGCATCCAAATTGTGTGATTTTTTTTTTTATTTATTCAAATTAACTGGATGCAGCCTGTCTAAAGCATTATGAATTTATGAGGAGAGGAGGATCATATTCAATTTTTTTCCACCATTTACTTCTCATGATTTGTTGTCAGTATACTTGTAGTTCTTGTTTTGTTGTGACTTCCTAATTTTCATTCTTTAATGTTGTTGCTGCTGCACTTTCTGAAATTATTCTTCCTACAAAATTCACTTGCGAATGTTCTTTTGGTGACTCTGAGCTACAGCCAGGCCCTTGCTTTCCCCCTTACAAAGGTGGGCTCTCCTGGAGAGAATGTGAGATGGACTGTGAGTGGCAGAGCAGCTTGGGGTGCCTGGTGGGGTTATGGCCTTGCATGCCATTCTTCACAAGTCTGGGCAAGGTTGTTGATTGTGGGCCATTGTCATGGTAGTGTTTTGCTGATACTTTTCAAAAAACAATAATTACTTGTATTCTAAAGGTTCCAAGTAGCATATAAGAAAATGGGAGGGCAGATTGTATTTTATGTTTATGTTTTGGAATTATGCATTCTCACAAATACACAGGAAAGTCCCTCTGATCTTCCTTTGGCCCAAGACAGGTTTCTGCCAGTCCCTCAGGCATAAGGACATGGTGAGCACGTGAGCGCTTGGCATAAACCAAGCTGCCAGTTCTCGATTTCCAGTGCTCTGGTGTTTCCCTGCTGTTTCTCCAGTAACTCGTAGTCACAGTAGGTGGGAGATAAGGCGACTGGAGTCACCGTGGTGTAGAACAGAACACCTTGATGTGTGCTCCCCACGCTGCTGCGGTGCCTCAGGGGCAGCGCCGCCCCGTGAGGGGCACTGGGACCGATGTCCGCCCGGGGACCTTCCCGTGCCCATCGTGCGGCCTTGTGGAGGAGCCAGAGCTGCCGTAATCGCAGACAGGAAGCACCGTCTTACACGACCGCTGATCGGCATTTTGCTGGGCACATTCAGTCAGCACTAGAGTGTGTCTTGATGCTGTAAATGTTACACACTTGAAGACTAAATAAATTCTCCAGTGCTAGGATTTGATGCTTGCCTGCCTAATTTTGTATTAGTAAAAGCTCAAGAGAAAACTGTTAAAGGAGCAGAGGATGAATTAATACAATTAATTAACTTTTTTTTCATTTTGCACAGTTGCTCATTTCTGTTTGAGGCAAGAAGCAGTTGAGAATAAAAACCCCATTCCTTTTAGTGAACAGGCAAGAGGGAAGGAACAGATACTTTCATGAGTTTCCTTCCAAATAAAACCTGCTTGATTTTTTTTTTATTATTTTGATAAAATATAACTGTATTTTCAGGGTTTTGAACTCTATCAGCAAAGCAGTGTTTTGCTAAGAATCTCTTGCCAGGAGAATAGATGACTTATTTTGTCCTCATTGACTGTTTTTATTCAGAAAGCAGGTGACAGCTATCAATTCCAATGCCGTCTACATCTCCAATTATTTTACAAACCCCAGGAGCTAATTACAGCCCTGAGGCTCTGGCAGTCAGCTGACTTCATCATGCGACTCTTTTGGCCATTGCATACCTCTGAGTAATTGTCTATTTATGGAAAATAAATTAATAGCTGCTATTTCTACTTTAAAAAGAGGACCAGTGAGTCTGTAGGTTGAGCAAGTGGGTTGTAGAGAGAAGGGAGAGAGATTAAGAGAGAAAGAGGCAAAGGGATCAATTGAAAGAATAAGAGGAGTGGAGGGGAAAGATGTTGTCAGGATGCTAGGGGAAAAAGTTAAAAGGGAGGAAGGAAGCACTTTTCTCCAGAAAAGTGAACAGGAGAAACAGACATGGCAGCAAATAGCAAGATAGAGTGTCACAGGAGGAAAAATAGTGAGAAAAATTGTGGGAAATGATGATATTTTAAAATATTGAAATATAAACCTATAAAGATAAAAAAAGATGCATTTTCTCCAAACCGTAACTGTATTATAAACACAGAAAAAAAGTGAAGTCTGAGTCCCTAATAGTCCCGATCTAGTTGAAGATGTCCCTGCTCATTGCAGGGTGCTTGGACCAGATGACCTTTAAAGGTCTCTTCCAACTCAAACCGTTCTTATGGCATATATGTCTCTGAAAATGCTGTCAACATAGATGGTGCTTGCCTTCTTGGATTGCTTAAGGAAAGAAAAGATTAGATGTTATCTTTATTTGTCTTGATCGTATGATCCATAGAGAAATAAAAACTGTGCATTTTAATAGAAGATACTGCAGTAAATCTCCGTGAATAATTATGCATCCTTTGTTTGAAAAATTCTGCAAGTGTTTTGCAAATTATATTTTTGATACAGTGGCTGTACAGAAGGTTTTGAATTAATGAATATCAGTAAACTTTGCCTGCAGGTTGTATGGACAAATCTCTGATGTTATAAAGACTGTCACTACTTTATCATCCTTGATGTGTGGTCAGACGTTTGTTGGGTTTGGTTTTTTTCTCCCCTCATCCAAAAGTTTCCTACAAAATAATCAAAAGAAGGCACAAGGAATAATAATAACCTTTTAAGAATGAAGAACTGAAGTGATCCTACTGTAGGCTGTAATTTCTAGCAGCTTTGGGTTAATTTCAAATATGTTGTGCACAGAACTTAATTGTGGGAGAGGGAAATAAAAGCTGTGTGATAAAAGTATATCAGGCTCTGTTTAGAAGAAGTGTTTAGGAAATCATGGCTTCTGCCACAAACTGGAGAGGCAAGTGAAGTGAGCATGTAACCTTAGCAACTTAACAGCATATGAAATAGGATTTTTTTAGAAGGCCTGAACTTAGGTACATGGAGCACCAAAACAACTGTGATCTGCCCAAAGCTTTCTAAACGGCCTTTCTCTGTCTCAGAAGTTCAGGAGAGAAAAAAAAGGGCATTTTTCCTTATGCATGCCTATGGTCACTGCCTTGTATTGAAATCTTACTTCTCTTCAAAATCTTATTTTAAAAACAAATAAATACATAATAAAAATATGCTTATGAGAGTACCAGCTTACTTGAAATGAGATGACAGACTTTTTCAGAATCTTGAAATACATAATGGCAATTTAATGTGAAATACTTTGTATCATTGTATATAATAATCAGCAATTTGTCTTCACGTTTCAGATCAGCTGTTCCACGTTTTGGCCATGCACATGCGCCTCTACAGTATAGACTCTGCATACAATCCCTGGAGAAAACTAACCCAGCCGATGCAGGATAAAAATTCAGAGCAAGTATTTTAATTTACCCAATATCAGTTTTACCTGGTGAAAGAAACATCCTTACAGAGGCACTTTGGGTAACTTTCTGTCTTAATTTAAATTCTCTGTGAGGTAGGCTGCTGAACTTAACATCTAAAAATTTTATGTATGAATTTGTAAAAATAAATTTTCCAATTTCTTTTACATAAGAATCTGACACATATCAGTTTTGAGTTGAATTTTAAATACACCTCTTGCAAGCTTAAGCACATGCAAATTGAATATTATTGGGTAAGTGGATAAGTGCACTGCTGTTCTTGATATGGATGCTACACAAAATTTACATTGAGATTAAGCTGAGAAATAGTTTATTGAAAGGTGAGCAATGATTAATAGCTGTTACAGAAATAATGTAAGTAGGCATATTATATGTGAGAAATAATTCTATTTTAAGCTAAAAATTTTCATCTTGCTTATTATTTTAAACAAGCTACTTACCTGAGTTTGCTTTTAAGGCATCACCTAACATACACAGGTGTACAAGGATTAACAGTATAATAAATGGAACAACGTATCTGTGTTCTGCAAGAACTCATCTTCCTACTTGACTTAAGACCCATCACTTTTCAGATTCTACCTTGACGATGAGAAGAAAAGTTTCTTGCCCAAAACCAGATTATCGTTTTTCCTCATAAGAGGAAAACAGTAGATTGTTTTGGTTTTTGCTCTTGGCACCTTAAGCATCTTCTTCATACTAAGCTCTACACTGCGTAGCTTGCAGTAATGTCGAAAGACTGACTTTTCAGTGCCTGTCCAGCTGCATGTTTGTCAGTGTGTTTCTGGAAGCCTGAGGTGGAAAGCGTCATGTGATTTCAAAAACTGATCTAGAGGAATGATGCCACAATCCTAATTGCAGATTGGGGGAAATTATTAAAACAACTGTTCTTGCTTCTGGTTTGAGATTTTACTGTTTGTCCTCTTGGGCCCGGGTTTCTTTTTCAAATGAACATCAGATTATTGCAGTAATTAAACTATATTAACAGGTTAGTTTATGAACCATTAGCAGAACAAAGCCTGAAGGATTTCATAACCTGAAACCTATGCTATTCAGCATGTATTCACACTGCTTTGGGGATCTGTTTTCATGTGATTCTGATTGAGACCTGACCTAGATTGAGCAATGGGGCAAAGTTAATAAATTTTGTGAATGGTTGACTGAGTTATATGAGGCAAAATTAAGATCATGTTGATAGGCTGTTGACAGAATAGCTGTGGGACTGATCGTGCACTTCTCATTTTGGCATTTTAAGAGCTTGCTGGCTTTGGAAGCAGCTGTTAACAGAGGGGGCTTACAGCCTTGATAGAATTTGCCATGCATTGGTCATATCAAGGCTAGATTGCTGCAAGTTAGATTTCATTGGGCAATATTTTGAATAATTTGATGGTACTGTGGCTTCTTGGCAGGGAGTGTTGCATGTTGGGAATGCATTTGAGCAGTTCTCGTGTTTTCTGCATTGGTTTTCAATATTTCTTGGTAGACTTGATGACTGGTTTGGCACAAAGTCCTGTAGGAAGCTACAACTGAGATATCCATTTTGCCATGTAATAGTTTACTTTTGAGATGCACAGATGCAGTCGAGCTGGAATGTTTTTGCTCACTCCTTGGAATATTTTTCCTACCTTAGTCTGCAGGCCCCAGAATGCTTCAAAGGAGGCAATTTGAGGACATGTTTTTAATGCATAAATTAGAGCATCAAATGAATATCTGTAATTATATTGTAGAAGTTTGAAGCGGTAGTTTCACTTGAAGATGGCATTCATAGGATTGGTGTGTATGATCTAATTGCACACTTCTTAGAGTCACACAGCCTTTTGAGAAATACAGAATAGCAAATTTTTTCAGGCACAGGGAAGAGTGCTCAGAGCACTTAGTAGGTGACATGCTGCAGTAAACTGAAGAAGCTTAAGAGGACGGTGGAGAAATAGTCACTGCAGATTTTAGATGTGGATGTCACTCTGCTGTTTTGAAGTTAACCTTCTAAATCATCAGCCTGACTGGCATGATACTTCAGGCAAAAACTTGTTAAAAAAAATGTCTGAGAGGAAAAGATCTATGTTATGACTACATTACTATGATTCCAAACAATTTAACCTCAGGAAAGTCACAGAAGCAAAATAACTTCAAACCAACATGCTATATTTTTCTTTTTAATTTTCAACCTAAAATTAGTATTTCAGTTGAAAGCAGTTTTCCAGAGAAGCTAGTTCCATCTTCATTTATTTAAAAAGATAATTTTCAAAACCTAACAGACAAACAAAACCCCCAACCTGCAAAAATCTGTGGAATGCAAGTGCCATTATCTTTTCACCCTTATTTAATTGTAGCTCTTTTATTTAAATATACAAAAATATTTACAGTTAAAACCACCCAGGTGCAGAACTCACAATTTTTATCTTAATTTTCCACAACCCAGCTATCATTCTTCATAAATAATGCCTTAGATTTCATGTGTCTGGTAGAGCTGAACAAAGTAACTTGTAAAGACTCACAGAATTGCTCCACTGTATTTCCCAAGACCACTGGTTTTGTCCAGTGTCTTTTACAGCTGTACCTAGATCTTCCTGTAGCTGAAAATGGCAACTGAAAGGAAAGATAAGGAGGAGCTCATGCAGCCACAGCAAGGTAAAATAGAAATAAGGAAATCTTGAGGAAGGAGATACCTTATCAAAAAGGACCTAAATAATGTGTACTGTTTGAAAGAAGAGAGGGGAAAAAGATAAAGCAAAGTCTGAACTGTGAATGGTGTAGTGGATTATTTCCCCTATGGAGTTCATGTTGCAAAATTTAATGTACACTTGGTCCCACAGGCCATATTTAAGTAAATTGTTCTTCTAGGGATAGGTCTGGTTTCAGTGGTGATCAAATAAACAATTATTGTGTTGCAAGGGGAGAATAATAGCTTCTGGCAGGGGGCAGGGAAGGAGCAGCTGGAGGCAATAATTACTAAACTGAGATGTGAATTAAATGGACTAGTCCAACTAGCCAGAGTTTTAGGAACAACAAACATGAAATAAAAGAATACACGTTTTTTAAAAATTTGAATCTCTATGAAGCTGAAGTTTTCGTGTCTGTTTTGACAGACAAAATACATCAGCACAGAATGATTCAGTAAAACATTAAGGATCTTTGCAGTGGAAGTACTTGGAGGGGGGAACTGTAGGATAAACTGAAATGCTGGGTTATTTTTACTACAGCGTTTTGCTGATGTTTCACTCTAAGCTAGACCGCTTCAGTGATTGTTTGTAGTGTCATACTGGGGCAACAAACTGCAGCTCAGGGATAGGAATGAGCAACTCTGCGTAGGAACCTCGAGTCACATCTCCATCACAGAAACTGTTGTGAAATGGGGAAAAAACTCACAGTTTTTATGAAGAGGAGTCAATGGGGTTTAGTTAAGGTTGCAAGAGGTGGTATATACATACACATGCTGCAACAGGACCTGTGTGATCTATTCAATACAAACACAAATCCTGCCTGAAACGGCAGTCTCTCAGGACGTGTGTTATAGTACGTAGGTTTTGACAGTAGTGCCAGCTTTGGGAGTACTTGCTCTTGGCTGTTTCTTCCTTCCCCTATACTGGAGCTCACCATCTGCTTCATCTGTGCTGATGTAGCTTGGGCAGGCTGCATCATGAGCGAAGTCAAGCAATTAATCCATGTTTTAAAAAGGTTAATTTGAATGAGTTTGGGAATGGGTGACAAGGGACTGCCAGGGGCACAGTGGTAAAAGAGAATGGGAGATGCCTAATGTTAGTACTGGCAGTGAATGTACAATGGGAAAAACTGACCTGCTGTAAAATCTGCTGAGATACAAGGAAGAGCAAATCTGAAATTGTGATCAGATCCTAGAGTGAAGCCAGAATAAATAGTAGAATTCTACTTACAGTGAGCATCAGAAGCTGTGTATTAGTTTGACCTTTCTGCAGGCTGCAGAAATCCTGCGAATTCTGAAGAAAATATAGATTTGCTCTGGTCGATGGAGCCTTTGTTTAGGTGTATCTGTATCCCTGTGTCTCAGATTTTCTGTATCTGACAGTTTGAAGTGGTGTGAGGCTCAAAACTTTATTTATTGAATTTCTAACTTTATAATTAGTTGGAATTAGCATCAACCAGAAACTTTTAAGTGTCTCTGGTTGAGAGAAGAGGGAATAAGGAGCATATATGTAAGGAATGGCCATTAGCAAAATGCTGCTTGCTTCAGAGTAGAACAGTTTCCCATTCCTCTGTATCCATTCCCAAAGAAGTGATTCCTGCGTTACATCTCTCTGGAGGACGATGGAGAACACAGAGGCAGAGTTGCTCAGCTGGCAGCTGATAGGCAGCTCTGGCACTGGCATGGAGAGAGGTGCAGCCCAATTACCTTGGGCTGGAGGAGAGGTCAGTTCCTCAGAGAAAGCAGAGCAATGCATTTTTTATTTTAGTACATGTTTATATTGCACTGTGTAGTTTATTTTCACTTCCACCTCCCTTTTTTAAATGGATACAGCATACAACTGTTATACATTTGAATCATTTTGTATTACTTTGGTCCTGTCTGCAATTGTACTTACTTTCTTTTTATTCAGTGCTTCTGTGCCACAATTTTTTGTGAAGTCAGATTTATCAAGCTTTTTACATATGCATTGGGGATTAACAGAATGGACAATTTCCACAAAACACATTTCTAAACACATTTTATAAATTTAGTTTCAGTGTCATAATGAAGAACTTGCTTAGGTTCTTAAGGAATGACAGAGCAGTTTTTAAGTGCTTCATGTGCTGCAGCACTTGATGTAGGTGAAAGCTGCTTATCTAAACCCCTGACATTTAATGTAGCTTTGCTTCTCAATTCATATGAACCAAATAAATTAGAAAAATAATTCCCTTGGTCCTGCATGTGAAAATGAGTTCATTTATTTGTGATGTTGCCAGTCAATCATGGTATTCTGTATATATATTTCCTAATTTTGACAGAACTGGTATTTGACCTAATTGTTACACAACTGTTAAATGATATTGATGTTGATACCTCTGTCAGAAAGAGGTGTTCAACTAGATGTTACCTGAGGGAGTAGTTTTCTTTTTAATGTTATTCCAAATTAAATTACCCCCAAAATTTATATATTAATTAAGAATTAAAGGTGAGAAGTAATTTAAGGGGTATCCATGGTTTTAAAGTCATTACATAATGAAGGTAGTTTTTCAGTGTCATAGATCATAAAATGGAGCTAGCTGTAAGCCAAAGTAGGACTGGAGAGACATAGTGAGATGAGCATCTTCATGGCATGTATAATTTTGAAAATGAGACTTGGTAGTATGATACAAATTTTTGCCCCCTTTGTCTTCTTTAGAATTCAATATACTGATTTTTAGAATATTTGGTTTTTTGTTTAGGAGGCTCACATATATAAATATGTATATTTATGTATATTACAGAGTTTTGAAACGATAATTGTATTAAATGATTGATTATAGCAAAAGGGTTATAGATGGTGTTTATTCTGTAGCTGTTTGGGTTCATTAATTCAGAAGGACCATGTTTTCTGTGTCTTCATTTTAGAAGACCAGTCAACCTTAAGAGGAGTTCAGTCCCTACTATTGAATGTTCAGATTCAGCTCAAGTGACTCTGTGTGTATCTGTTAACATTGCGGGTTTGTTTTTTTAATTCAATATACAGAGAATCAAAATGATATGACCAAAAGTGTTCTTCTACTCCTCTTGTATGACTGTTTCTGTGTGTTAAAATTCATATCACAGATGACTCCTGGTGGTGCCTTATGTAGAGAGAAGTCTGAGTCTTCATTACATGGGTAACTGTGTAGAGAGGGTCTCCTTCCAAAAGTAGCATCATGTTTATGTGCCTCAGAGATGATTAACCGGTTGAATCCCCAAAGCTGTTAGAGGGTGCTAAGGATCCTGTGTATGCACCCACATCCCACCACATGTGGGCAACCTTTTCCAGTATGTGGTCTGCAAGAGCTCAGTTTGTGCCATGTGTGATGGATGGCACCAAGGGAGAGTTGGTGCTGTCACGGAGGCATCAACTCAGCTAAAGGAGTAGTCTTGTGCCAGCTGCATGAATGTTGCATCAGAGAAAGGATTTGGTGCTCTTGGAAGAGAGGCAATGATTGGACACAACAGTAGTTCACCAGTTGTGCTCTGAAAGGGCAGAGCTGAAACAGAGGAGGGCTTGACTGTCTTGGTGTATGTTTCTTTCCTCCACCAGATTGTGTTTGTACAGAAATTGGGAGGATTTAAGAAAGCCTCCCTGGGAAACTCTGATTCACGGTGTCTTGCAGAACAACCAAATGGAGGAGAGTGAGGCTGTGCTTTTGGGGATAGATCTTAATAAGGATGTATTTATATTTTCAATACAACTATCGAGCACTTCATCAGTTGTGGTTTACCTGCAGGACAGTTAAAATTGCTATACCAATTCATGTACCAAAGCATGAAGCTAACCTGGAAACTGTAGCAGGTGGATATATTTTGATTTCCTGACATTCTCAGGTGGTTTTTGGGAGGGCTCTGTGAAGTGCCACATGGTGTAGAGGCCTGTGGCTGCCCTAAATAGGGGAAGCTCCTACCAGGAGGGGAAGAATTGTTTTTCGTGCAGTTTCTGACCAGTGAGAAGAATGACAAAAGAGGAGTAAAGAAAGATGAAAAAGCCTAAGGAGTGATAGAAAATGCCCTTCCAGAAGGACAGCATTTCAGTCATGGGGCGGAAGGAACTCACAGCCTGTGATGCTTTCCTTTGCACCACTGCTGTCTGTCCGTGCGAAGCTGTAGAGGCCTCTGTTTTGCATGGGAAATTTGAGTCAGTTGGACCAGGACTGCACATTACAGCTCCTGTAGCACAGATAACCAGCAACCAGCACTGTTTGCAAATGGGAACAAGAACCCAAACAGCTCTTTCTGTTGCACGTGTTGCAGAAGGGGAAAGATGACAAGGGAGAATGTGTACCATGTTGTACCAGCAGCTCCTGCTTGAGATTTCCATTACACTCCATATTAGTTAAAGAGGGGAGAATGATTTTTAACCATTTTATTTTTTTGCCATTTGACTCAGTTGTTGAACCTGAAGAATAATGTTGTTTGGAATTTTGTTGGATAGTGCTACACAAAGCTAGAAAACTACTACCTCTTCTATCTGCAATCATTTTCTGCCTTTAAGTATGGGACTACAAGGTGATGTTATGTCATTCAGTGAATCTGGATAGTTCAAAAGTTTGCGGTATCTCTGTGCTTATTTGCTGTCCTTTTAGCCATACGGAGTTTTTAATAAAGACTGTGTAAAATTGCATAATCCCACCTGTCATGGCTTCTTGAGCCTTCATTTCTTTACATGAAGGAAATCAGTATATTTTCTAAGGTCTCTGTTTTCCAGGAGGCACGGTCCTTGTAATATTAAAAGCAATTTGAGGATTCGTTATTGTTACAGCATGGATATATATATTTATTTGTAAAATGCCATACTTTTGTAAACCAATTAAATTGTTTGAGTGTTCCTTGACACTCCACATAGACATAATGAGTTCACGCAGTTTTGAAAAGTTTTAAAACACTGTAATAAGAATCAGGTGCCCAACTGATAACTTCCTCATGAGTTATTACATGAGTAACATTAAATGCTTTTAATATTGAGATCAGTTAGCGAATTGTCAGGTACTTGGCTTCTATAAGCTTGATCTCAAATGTAATACTATTTAAAATGAAATATGAAAATGGGTTTATAGTATCAGAAGTGATTTTCTTTTGTTTTTATTTCCAGGCTGGTAAGTGAAGAGCTGCCAGAAGTTCCTGTGCTTTACAGAGATGTCTCGTCCCTTTTACTTATCCAGATTTTAACCATGCCTCAACCATTGCACAAAGGTGTGTTACAAAAATATATATATTTAAATTATTATGTAAATAAGGCTGCATTCGTGATGATTCTCAGGATGGTAAATCATAGCTGGTCTACTGTTTATTCTAAAATAATGTTTCTACCTTATCTACAAAAGATGGCATTGAACAGAAATTTTTGTTCTGGGTTGACAGCTTTATCTGTGTGCCCTGTCTTTTTACCTTATCAGTCAGCTATTCATTAAAGATACAAGAGCTGAGCAAAAACTATTAAGTATTTCTACTGAAGGAAAAGTGTCCTTTATTTGACCTTCATCTCTTTGCTCAGTACTTGAAGTTGAACTGAGTGCCTAAGGGTGAAAGATTGTAATTTAATTTGAATTTCAGAGTTTAAATTGCAGCAGTCTTGCATAAGAAGAGGTCATATATGAAGATAATAACTGCTGTAATGCAGCAACTTCAGTAGAGGCAGTATATAATATAATTGTGAATATTAAAGAACTAAATTTTTCATTACTAAAATCAAAACTGTCTCAAAACCTAAATTTCTTTTTCTTTGTAAAAGGAACAACTGAACCTGGTTCATCTTGCTGATAGACAGTGTATGTTCCAGAATAGGGGTTAGTTCAGACCTCTGGTCTCTGGCTTGATTATTTATAATGATACATTTATTTTAAAATGGGGACAAACAAAACAAGTATCACTTTACTACTTCACTGACAACAAACAGAATATCTCCTTTGGGATCTGTGTGGCAATTTTGATATCTACTGAGTTTTGTTAATTTTTGAATAGGAGCTGTTCTGCTCTTGACGTATACACCTAAGTTATGATGTATAGTAGAAATTCTGTTTCCCCTTAAGAGGAGTTCAGTCCTCACTATCGAAGGTTCAAATTCAGCTCAAGTGACTCTGTGTGTATCTGTTAACATTGTGGGTTTGTTTTTTTAATTCAATATACAGAGAATCATAGAATTATTTAGGTAGGAAAAGACCTTTAAGATCATTGAGTCCAATTGTTAAGTACATGTTTAGGGATTAAGTATGTCCAATAGATTATTAGAATAAGAAAATACCAAAAGAATAAAAAACTTTTGCATAGGAAGGCTATTGTCAAAAATATACTTTTTTTATTTTTTAAACTACAGTTTAACTTAACTTTATTGGAAGGACTTAATAAAATCAGTAAATAAAAGTTTAAGGAGGCTAACATCTGAAATTCAGGGAAGGGAGTGTTGAAGCCGAAGTACAAACCAGTGGTCTCTTTGTAGTCAATATTCAAGCATGGAATACCACCATTTATGAAAGTATACCTTATCCTAGAAGAGACAACAATCAATTAATATTAAGGCATCCTATGGAGAATTCTGGGAAATGCCATATATCAACAGCACGTTTTGCCTTTGCTCTTAGGTTTACTGTATGTTGCAGTTGAAAGGGAAACGGCAAGTGGCAGAAAGTAGATGAATGTAACCAGTTCAAATCTATGAAGCATTAAATTGGAACTAAATTGCCATTTATCTTCTTAATTTTTGTTTCATCCAAATAAAGCAAATTTGTTTAGAACTTTTACAATGTGCGTGTAGGTCACAGAGTCAAATTCGATATCATTAATTCTTGGTAGAGGGCTGAGGCATAACTAAGGTAAAATGGCTTGTGCAGTGTCACATGACAAGCACAAGGTCACTGATAGGGGCGAACAAAATCTGTCTGCTCCTACTGCTTCCTGAACTGTCCGTGCTGCTTTGGCATTGTGGTGAGGTGCAGGAACTGTGGACTTGGCTGTACAATGATATGCAGACAGGAGGTGGATGCCTCTGTGTATTGACAGATATTTCCAGATATATTTTTTAACAGTAGACTTAACTGTATTGCCCTGTGTCCTTACAGGAAATTAGAACTGGTCATCAAATACTACATCTTTTTCATGTTTGTACTCAAAAATCCATTTTGTTGACACTGTGTTTTGTTAAGAACACTGAGTGCTCTGTAAGGAGGGCTCAAACCTCGTCTCTTGCCCTTCAGATGTAGCCCTGGGAATTGCATTAACTACCCTATTAACTGTTGGATAGGTGTTGGTATCTTTTTCAATCTGGCATCGATTAAAGCAATAAAAATGTCATTACTGTTCAGCCTCTTCATTCAGAGGAGAAAATTGATCTGAACCCATCAGAAAGAATGAAGACTACTACAGAAAAAACATTGTGGTGGAGATCAGAGCATTTACAAGCATTAACCAATTTACAGAGGAGGGAATGAGAATGATAGTGTGTACCTCCTGTGTAGTGCAGCTGGCAAAATAAATGTTGTGTTCAAGATACTAAAACCATTTGTGAAACTTTTTTTTCGTTTGAGTTTCACACTAGAACATAGACAGAGGTTTTACAGGCTTCAAACATTCAGCATTTTGAAATTGTACAAGACTAAATAAATAATAATCCACATAAGGAGTTTCTGCTTCAGTTCTGTGGCAGTTGTGCAGAGGATGGACAGTGTTCATGGTATGGTGGATTGGAACTCCATACAAAACAAAGATTTTGGGTTTAGCTTCTTTCTTACAGAAATAGCAAATGGTGGTGTATGTACAGAAATGGAGAGAGTGGCTTGATGGTTGTCAGAGCTTAAGTCTGTCCTTGTAAATTGAATTCAACACCCCCCCACCAGTCCTTTCTGCAATGCAATTTCTGGATGTTAAAGAAGTAGTTTAATTAAAATTGGACATTCTACTTTGTTACCATCAGTTGTAAAAAGTTTTATTTTCCCTGCACCTGTCTTGGGACCCCCAGGTCCAGATTTCTAAAAGTGTTGAGTGTTTGTAGCTTGTGATTTCAGTTTCTGCATTGCACTGAATAGAGTATTTAAAAACTGGGGTCTGGATGAACAGGAGTGAGCCTGAGGCCAGTAGGTGCATAGAGTTGGTGGTCAGTGGGCCAGCAGTGGCCTGGTGCTGTGCTTGGTGCCACACATGCTAGGAGGGCCATGAAGCAGTGCGGGCATTTGCCATCAGGCTGTTACACAGCCTGGCACTGTTCTGACAGGCTACAGGGCTGCTGTGACAAGATCCAGGATTTGGGCGTTGTGAATGTGTTCCAACTTGAAAGCTGGTTTTGAGAGTTTAGCCCAGCTTCTTTGAACTGTGGGAAAGGTTTTCTTCTCTAGTTGTAAAACCTAAATTCAACCCCTCTTTTCTGTAATTCTTATAAGGTTCAATTGCTGAAGAATCTGATCTGAATGTTTTGACAGATTCTTTTTCTATGAAGTTTCACTAACATGCAACAAAAATGCAGCAAGCAGCACTCAGTCAAACACTAGCACTTTTCTTTAATGATTGGATAAGGTTCTTGACTAAATATAGAATGGATGTAATCAACTTGAATATTATCCAGTTTCAATGTTGAAGCTGAAAAATTTATCTGCATCCTGGAACTTTAATATACCTTTCAAGGATTATCTGAAGTTCAGTGCTGTTTCCCTTTGTTCTGAAGTCGATTTTCAAATAACAGTTTAAGCTTTAGATCAAAGAGGAGTATTTTTCAAAGGTTATTTATACAAAGATCTCCTTCCAAATTCACTAAAAAAGGTCCTATGTCCTTAATTTTGCATCTAGTTCTCTCTGGATTCCTTCTATAGTCATTACCTGCCCAAGTATATTGTCTAATTTGATACTGAAATTAAAAGACACATATTGTTAGTAATACACTTATTTATCTGCACATTTCTTGCACTTATGTTAAAATTAGAGTTCTAGAAGTGTTTCCTATATAAATTTCATTTTTAAGGCTGTTGCTTAATATATATAACGGGATGGGATACTTTGAAATAATTTGGTTCCAAAAAGTTTTAAAAACGGGAACATAAAACCATTTCTCAATGTTTTTCAAAAATAAGTACAAAAGTTCTGGATTAACCTGTTCTGATTATAATGTCCTAGCCATAGTAATAATACTTTTAAACTGTCAGACTATCAGTTAAGGACAGAAGTCCTAACTGCATTTTAGTGCAGAACCCTGCACAGCATACAGACCTACTTGCAAGCTCTAGTATTATTAATTTGAAAAGCTGATGTAGCAAAAGCACAGCCTGCACCAGGGGGTCAGCAGGAAAGCAGCACACAGCCCCCCACATGCACATTGTGTGAAGTCAAACAAAGTTGCTCTTTGCAGTAGACAAGAATGTAACAGCTCTAGTGGTACAGGTACCTAGAGCTGTCAAATATTTGGCATTTTACAGGTAAGAGATAACATAGTAATGAAATGATAATTGATGTTCTGAATGATGGTTTTAGTATGTCTCCCATGGCGTGCTTTTGTGACTATAAAAAAGCCTTGGTGCTCATTATACAGCATGCTACCTCTGAGCTGCTTCTGATATACTTCCCCCCCCAAAAAAAGAAAATATGAGGTTTGTTTGTACAGAAGTCAAGACTTCTTAAGGGTGACCCGGATGTGGGAGCACATATTTTTTGTCCAATTCTGGATTCTCCAAAAATGTAATTCATAGTCATTTTTGAGTCACATAGGTGTAATTAAATACAAGAACATTCATTTAGTTTTAAAAACATAATATGGGCTAGATATATTTCTGGTTAATTGAATAATTAGTATTAAGGGGGGGATAGGGACAAGGAGCAATTATATTTAACAAAAACCAGAATTTAAAAAATGTGATAGTTTTATGGGGTGCAAAGACACACAGTGTTGAGCACTACTGTAATCACCTGAGCAGAACTACGAGATGAAGTGGGCTGTGGCAGGTTGGTGCCTGTTGACCAGCGGTCTGGCTTTGCTGCTCTAAGTGCATTCTTGCTTTCACTGTGCAAAGTTGATTTCTATCGCTTGTACCTGCTGTTGATGGGGGCAGAACTCAGTATTTGAACTCAGTTCTAGCTCTTGATTACAGCCTGTGTCTCAGATCAAAGAGGGAATTTTACAATTCTCTGAGTGTGTGTGTTGTTTAGTCTTGGATTTTTCAGTCCCAGAAGATTTCCTGAGAGCTTGCCTGCTATTAATCCTCAGGAGTAGGATTGTTAAGAAAATGGAGGCTTCAGCAGAGGAAAAAAAATATGGCCAAGAGATCTAGTGGGATCTGGTGAATTCTCCTTCTGGAGAAATGTGGAGAGGATATATCAGTATAATGCTACCTGCTGTAGAGTGGGGGGCATGAAGTATAGCAGCGTTTGTGTCATGTTTAACACAAGCTTCATAGGAAGATAATACAGAAAAAAGACCACTTTTAATTATATAATAACAAATAATCTTTTAGTTGCTTAAACTGTTATAGTTTATATTCAGTGACAGTAAAAAGTTTCAAAATCCATGTCTGTGTTGATTTGTTACATAAACAAGCAATTGTTATTTCACAAATTTAATTATGTACTCAAGTCCTAGCTGTGTGTGTTTTGATATTAGATAGAAGAAAGGAGAAGCAAGGTGTTTCATTTTCCTTACCTCTTTCTCATTTCCACGTATGAAGCTTGTTTAAATCCTTTGGGGAAAAAAGAATGAATTCGACCCAGTTTTTGTGAGGTGCTTATGCAAATAAAATTGTTTTGCTTGACTTCAAAGCGTGAGAGGACTTCTTAAAACCCTCATTTTTGTCTACATTGTTTTAAATATATGTTACAGTTATGTTTTTGCTTAAGGAATGGTGTAAGTTATGATAGAAATTTCTTTGATCTGCCTAGATTTGAAAACAAAATAGATAATTTGGGATGGGAAATACAACCTAAAGTAAAAAGATAAAAAAGGATTGCTACCATATCTTCATTTCAGAGAATGATCACTTTTTTTCCTGTTCCAATTTTAGGAAGTCTTATTTTGCTTCTGTTGCTAGCTTCCCCAAAAAGATTTCAAAGCCTTTCTCCTGCAGCCTAGCTGTAGGAGATAATAATCCTTTAAATGTTACAAAAAATTGTAAGGATCTTTGAAAGTAAGGTAAGTTCTAAAGTGACAGCCTGCCTTTTGTCCTCCTTCTGTGCGCACGTGAGGTCCAGTACATACTCAGGCATGTTTTGCAACAAGTCTGGTATGGCTGGATCCATATCTGGAAGTGAAGGGGTAGAAACTGAAGTACACTAAATGTCCTTGTGGTGATTTCTTTGGGAACTTAACTCTTCCAGTATTTGTATGAATGTCACTTACCCCAGATGGGTACCAGAAGAGATGGTAGGATACGCATTTGCTTACATCTACAGTAATCAGTAGCTTAACTTGGTGTAACTTTTGGACAAAATAGAATTTTGTAGTATCACCACATCACTTGGAGGAAGTCACTGCTGATCAGGATTAAGATAACTCTACATAGGAGTAGAAAAGTACTTGCCCTGTACTTCTGTTCACTACGGCTGCCAAGTCATTTCTGAAAGCCAGTAAATATATGTTGTTCTGTATGTTTTGAGGGATTGTTCTTTTTGTTTGCTCTTCATTTGAGAAGCAACACTTCCATAACTAGAGGCTCTGTAATCATTATATTTGCTAAAAATATCAAGTGTTTAAAAATTACTTTCTTTGTTTTACAGAACACTTCACCTGCATTGTAAAAGTGCTGTTCACTTTATTGTATACTCAAGCCTTGGCAGCAATTTCTGTTAAATGTGGTGCTGAAGATAGGCTGGCATGGAAAGAGGCAGGAGCTCTGAAAAAGGTTGGTTAGTTTATTAAAACATTTATGAAATTTTGCTTATGTATTTCTAGTAGGAATGTAACAGGTGCTTCCGCTTTCCATGTAATAATTTGCTTCTGCTTCACAGAAGTCCAGTGTTTTGTTTCCGGGTGTGCAAGTTTTGCAAGTGTCGGTATATGATGAGACTTAAAAGCTTCTCAAAGAATATAGTTCCAAAACTGACTTTCAAATTTGAGTCTGTATCTCTATTGTTTCAATCTTGACTTTGTTGCAATGATTTTGAGTAAGTGCAGCTTTCCTTCCTGTGAAATTGAAGCCTTCCTGGATAAACCATGGTGGTTGCTCTGATGGATTCCTTTCCTGGAAAAGCAGGCAACCTTGTTGGTGGAGAAAAAAGCCTCTTGACTTTTCCAACTCGTTTTTGCTATTTGTGGCTAGCTATATAAATTTCTCTCACTATGTGGTCTAGAGTGCTCATGTGATGAAGAGACAGAGAAGATTTGTCACTATTGTCTCCTTGCCTTTTGCTAGTATTTACAAGTAAAGTGAGGGCACATCTTTCTACTTCTATATATTTTCCATCTGTAGTAAATATTGTTCACTCCAGAGACAACTTTGCATTTTCTGATAGGCTTGTTTCAACTTAAAATACATAGCAAGTGTTTTTTCATTCATTCTGGTTGATATGTTTTAGAAAATTACTTTTTTAAAAAAAACTACTTGTATTAGAATTCAAATTCTGTCAAAACATGATGTATCTGTGAAGTGATTCTTTCTAGTTTTAAAGTAAGTATTTATATTCTCACAGAAAAAACATGAGAAATGCAAACACTATAAAAGTGCTTTCATGTAACAGTTTAGAGTATATGTATTGAGACCCCTGGTGGCCTAGTGGTTAGCATACAGGACTTTCACTGCTGCGACCATGGGTTCGATTCCCCGGTCTCCTGGCCTGATGGAGGTCGTTAGCCCTGTGAGGCCATCCATCTATGAGAAGGACACTCTAAACAAACCTACATCCTGAGGACCTCACTGCCATTGTCCAAGCTTGCTTGGCCCCGGCAGATGAACCTTAGGATTAAAGGGTGGGCTCAGTTCAGCGCAGGCTGTGTCTCACCTAAAAAATCCATTGCGCAGGCTGGAAAGGTAAAAGACCTTTCCCCAAATCTTCGTTCGCGAAGATGGGCCATTATTATTATTATTATTAATTAATTCAAGTAGCAGTTCATATTTCACTTGAGCTAGAATTATATATTATAATTCTGTATAATTTCTGTAGAATTATATATTTTCATTTTTTTAATGCAGTATGTATCTTTGAACATCAAAATTCATGTGTTGATCAAAGGAAATATACTTCATTGCTCTTCCTTGTACAGCAACGTTTTCTCCTTTTCATGACCAGTAGTTTTTGGATTTCTTTTCTTATTTGCAGAATACATCCAGTGGAGAAAAATCTTGGGAAGTATTGCTGGGTCATGTGATTAGTGAGCTGTCTAAGGGGAAGATATATGAAGAAGGAGACACCGAAGAATTAGCAGTGGTATTGGCAATTTTCTGGAGAACTTAACCAGCATGTCCCCTGGAAGTACTTTGGCCTCGTTATAATGATTTTTCTCTGATCTTGCTAAAGACTTACAGTACAAGTCTTTATTTTCTAGATCAAAGCATATCCCTTTGGGACAGTTTGCCTGTGCAAATCTTTCTTTTAATAATATCAGATGTGGCCAGTACTGCGTTCAGAAAGTTATTGACAAATACTTCTTATAATTATGGGGTTTGATAATATGTATGGATTTTAATCATATGCCTTTCAGAAAGATGGAAAAGTGAATATTTAAGTAGAAACCCCATTTGTTGAGGGGAAAAGAAAACCTACAGAGATCTTTCAGATTATTAGTAAAATGCTGGCCTTTGGAATGTATGTTTGATGCAGTATAGTATGCTTAAAAATATTTGGTTCATATTGAAGTTTCTTACCTAGGAGATAACTTAGCTGGGACAGAATTTAGTAATTGCTTCCTGCCCTATAGGTAAATCCGGATTCTGTAGAGCGTGATCTCCAGCAGTTCTGCCTGCCTTTCCTCAGGATCACAAGCCTTCTTCAACACCATCTTTTTGGAGTGGATTTGCCTAGTTGTCAGGTACAGAATGAGAGGGCCCCACCCAAATGTTTCAATCTGAAAGCTAGAAGTCAAAAAATGAGACACAAAGGTGTCTTTTTCATGGTATGTTTTTTAAATCATACTTTATATCACTGCTCTGCAGCATTGTTTGTCTTCTATAAATTTGTTTTCAATGTGATTTTCAAAAAAATGGTACTACATTGTTAAACTTCAGCAAATTCATGCTTATTTAATTAGGTCATAGGTGCTTGTCTCCTAAAATACCAACATACTTTTTAAAACTTGTCCAGCATTTGCAGAGATGGCATAATTTTCACACAGAATGGAATTCAGTCCTGATTTTGCTTAATGCCTGTTAATACTTGGACTTCATTCTCAGAGGCATTGCATCAGCAGACAATTATGTTTAAGTTCCATGACTAATTTAAGTAGGGTTTTCTGCAGGTCAGCTCCCTCATTTCCTTGCCTCAACATCATCTCCTCTGTAAAATAGCTACAAGCCAGTTTGGGGTGCTGAACAGGAAAAAAATTATTGTGGAGTTTGGGGCTTTCTTGTTTTATTTGTGGGGTTTGGATTTGTGGTTTTATGGGGGTTTTGGTTTTGGGTTTTTTTGGGGGGGGAAGTTTGGTTTGGTTTGGGTTTTTTTGCTGACCATTTTTCTTGTGTTTCAAGTGTTCAGTTTGTGGTGATCCGGGAAAAACTGAACTTTTCCTGTGTCTCTGAACATGAGCATTAGCATCTTAGTACTAGAATATCTTTACTTTTTTCTTGAAATAGATATATTTTTAATAAACTGTTTAAAAATTCGGACTGTAGGTATTAATCTAAACTTCTCTGATTTCATACTAAAAAGGAAGAGGAAGAATTCACAGTTCTTGCAAGCTGCCTGGGTCTGTTACCATCTTTTCAGTCAGCTCACCAGTTCACCAGTGCCTCTTGTCTCGATTGGCCAGTGCCAGCATTTGACATGATATCACAGTGGTGCTCAGAATTGGCTTCATTTGCTGATAGACATCCAGATCAAGTAAAGGTATGTAGCAAAATTACTTCTTCCAAAATAGTCTCAATGTGGAAGCAGCTATTTATTGCTTGATTTGTTATGCACATGTACTGTTGTTTTGGATAAGGATCTGAGAATATAATTTGTAAGTGAAATTGTAATGAGAAATATTAGTGGATGTGGGTTGAATTGGTTAAAATCAGGAAGAAGAAAACCTATCTGGTTTTTATATGATTGCTGGACACAGAAAATTGGAATGCTATCCCTAGATGATACTAAATGTCTTCTGCACCTGTAGCCACTCAAGGACATGTTATAGAAACCTTGTCACCTACATATCAGACGTTTTTCTTGCCTGTTAGACATTATCAATATTTTTCATTATCAATATTGCATTTCAGTTGCAATACTGAAAAAGATGAAAAGGATAAAAGCTTTTTAATAGTTGACTGAAGGGTAAAGAAATAATACCAAGATTTGAATTAGTGCAACTGGAATAATCAGTTTTGAAATAGGAATGTTTCAACATGAGTGCATTTTTTTTATAACAAAGTTTCATCTCAACAATTCAAGTCCCCCTCTCCTAAGTTTATGGTGTCAGAGGCAAGCCAGATGCATTCTTTACTCTGCAACATGATCTGCACCTGTGAAAATTTGAATACTCAGATTAATCTCAAAATACAGTTGCTGCCAATCTGATAGACATTTGAGATAGATTGCAGTGAAACTGATACCATTCTTTCCATGATTGAAAAGGAACTAGGTACAAATGCAGTATTTTCTTTTTTTTTTCTTTTTTGCAAATTAGGTTTCAAGGTCATACACTCTTCAAAAAAATTTCGCACCTTGCAGAAAAGGATCTCATCTGACTGCTGTGCCCATCAATTACAAACTCAGTAAAAACAACTATGTTGAAGGAAAACACATTACTGTTTAAAAAAATCAAAACAAACAAAAAAACCCCCAACATAAAATGGACAGTGTTTATAAGAGCAAATGAGAAGAGTTAGGCTTTCAAAGCAGTATGTAGGTAGTGCCTGTCTTATCAAAACTTGTGAGTTTTGGTTATGTTCTTAATGGTCTCAAAATTTGTGTGCAACACAGTTTTGAAAAACAGGCAAATGTCTTCAGATATCATTTACAGAGCCTAACTTCAGTTCTGGTTTTGAAAGTTTAAGTCTAAATTTTATCTGGGAAACAGGTTTTATAGTCCAGGTCAGGGTTTTGAAGCAGCACGTTGATATTACTAAGCTAACAGTGTAGGGAGTGAGAGTCTTCCCTGTCGATCACTCTTAGTCCTCTTGTTTTAGCTGTGAAGATTTTTGCATTTAAAAGGTGTCACATTTATAGAAAACATCCTTGGGAAAAGGCTTGTGCCCATTTTGCACCTGTTACAAAGGATGAAATGTGACTGCAGTAGGGCAGGGTGATAAGCTGGGAGCAAGTGACTATTGCAAGGTGTTATTTGACTTCTAAATTTGTGAAATGCAAAAAAAATGAGAGATTTTTGAACTGCATGCTTCTTTTCTTTGGTATTTTCTTTTCTTAGAAATACAAATGCTTAAACAAATGCACAGAACTGATATATTCTCATTTTATTTGTAGGCTTTGCTTATCCAGGAGCCTAAATGGGACTTGCCACGCCTCCTTCAGTTGCCTGAGAATTATAATACTATTTTTCAGTATTATCACAGAAAGACTTGTTCTGTTTGTACCAAGGTTCCTAAAGATCCTGCTGTTTGTCTAGTTTGTGGTACTTTTGTATGCTTGAAAGGACTATGTTGCAAACAACAGAGTTACTGTGAATGTGTACTGGTAAGAGAGTTAATCCAAATTTTATAATTGATTGTCCCACTCATTAATGGTTTTTACTTCCATTGCTCAATTGGGATGGTTTTCTTTTCAAAATGTGTTTATATAATCATAGAATCGTTTGGGTTGGAAGGGATCTTTAAGGGTCAACTAGTCTAACCCTCAGTGATACAGTTTAGTGCTTATTTCTGATGGATAGAGACTGGATTCTGGAGAGCAATTTACGTGCATAGCAACCTATTTAACCTTTTTATAAAAGTCTTACAAAGCCACTGTGTGTAATGTTGACACATGGTTTTGATTCATAGCCAGTTGAAATTTGTTTATGTTCTGATTGTTCATATATTATCTTAATTTTCCTGTTTTGTTTCCTTGCTTTCTGCATACATAGAATATCAATGTGTGATTGGATTGAGTACTTTCTGATACACCTGACCACCTACTAGTGATCTACAGACTATAAATAAATAAGTGTTGTTTTAAGGTTTTCAACTTTTTCAGTAGCGAAGTTTTCTAGTCAGCATATATATAAGTTCTTTGAGGAGCCTGAGTTGGGCAATATCTAGTATTGTTTTTCTGACTACAATAAAGGTTAGCTTTGGCAGCTGTTCTCTTTATTCCATAGAATAGTTAGAGGAAGACAAACTTCATGGCCTTTACAAAACTGTGAGAGGAATTTGTTAGAGATATTCACAAATGGGGCATAAAATCAAATCAAAGAAATTTCAAAGGAATCTTGGATCATTTTGAAATTGTTCGAACTCACGTTTCTCTCTCATAATGCTAATATTGTAGGAGAAGAAGGAGTGGGAAAAATTTAAAATAGAATTTACAGTTATATTTGAGGTGTGAAGTTTAATGAAAACAGAAAGCTTTAAAAAGTCTCTATCATTAATTAATTTTTGTTATAGTTGATTGTATTATAGCTCCTAATTGTAATAAAACCGTGTAGGAAGAGGGCATTTTTTAATTGCTAAAATGAATTGGTGAGTATCCATCGTGCTATTCATAGAGATGAAAGACATATTGAAAAAAGCAAGAATTATTAAAACTTGGTACTAGATTCTTAGAGACATAGACTAGGTCTGTCAGCATGGATAGAGAAAGCAAATGTTTAACAATACAGACTGTTGTAAAAGAGGTAATATTAAGTTTTTCTGAATACTTCCTCCTATTCTTGCCATCTGTGGAAAATGTTTGCTAATCCTATATAATTTTCTGTACAACAACAAATTGGAAATATTGTAGAGAATATTTTTGCTTATTTTTGTAATTCATTTTTACATGATAACAAATTTCCTCCCTTTTTGAGTAGGGAACGGTTTTTGCATACAGGTGATGTTATGGCAGCACAAGACACTGAATTCTGGTTTGGAGGGAGATTTTGGGGCAGGCCATCAGTTACCAAATTAGTTCTTAGTAAATAATGTGTGCATGTTATTCGAAGCAAAACTAAGTACTATTTTTTAAATTCTTTCCGTTATAAAGTTGACAGACACTAACAGAATATTTTCATTCTTGCCTTTCTACACCCGTAATGTTACAGCATTCTCAAAACTGTGGAGCTGGGACAGGAATATTTCTTTTGATTAACGCATCTGTTATCATCATCATACGAGGCCATCGTTTTTGCCTTTGGGGTTCTGTTTATCTAGATGCACATGGTGAAGAAGACAGAGATCTTAGGTAATGTTTTCATTGCAAGTGTGTTTCATTGTTGCTGCCGCTGTGTAAATCAACTTCGTCATGTGACATGCAGTAACAGATAATAATAGATCTCTACCTTCCTTGTGTGGAAGAATGGAAAATCCCCATTTACTGAAAGTTGGACTGACTTTTTTTTCTTTGGGCTTTTGGGAGTTTTTTTGGCCTAAAGGTGGTGTAATCACGATCTTTGAGTTACACACACCTGGCGCCCAACAGATTCCTATGTTGCCATTCCCAATGACAGTCAATTGAGTCTTGCACTGGGAAGCACTTATCTTCCAAAGGTGTTGTTTGGCCTTTAATCAAACAATGCAGTTGGACTCCAGTGTTGGGAAGGAGCATAACTTTCAAAATATTCATGGCCGAGAAAACAAGTGATGGTTTCTGGATTCTGCTATCCAGTGTGAGGAAGAGAAGTCCCAGCAGTTATCCTATTAAAAGCAAAACTGAAAGCCCCTCACCAATAAAAATGCACACTTACCCTATGAAAAAAGTTTTATGAATACCATTTGTTGATTATATAATGAAGCATATTTCTATTTATTTGGTATATTAACCATTTGTTTTCTTCTTTTTTTTTCTTTTTTTTCCCCTCTCCAGGCGTGGTAAACCCCTCTACATATGCAAGGAAAGATACAAAGTGCTTGAGCAGCAGTGGGTGTCTCATACTTTTGATCATATCAATAAAAGATGGGGGCCACATTATAATGGCTTGTAAATCATCATCATCATCTACACACCATATCACTGCTGTTACCATGAATGAATGCATCGTGACTGACAATAGCTTTAACCGAATTGGAGTTTGGCTCTTTGGCGCGGGGTGAAGTGGGGTATGGGCATAAAAGGGAAATGGAACTTTGTCAACATGTGAAATCTTTGCAAAACGAGCTGTTGTTGCTACTAAAGAATGTTATAATAATTGAAATTAAATCCTCAAAATGGTGTGAGCAATCTGATTGCACTCAGTAGTCCATTTTGCTTGTGTTTTTTTAAAGCCCATTATTGTTAAGAAGCACAAATTTTACTTAGAGTTATTTAGAGGCTCCAGGGGTAGCTGTCAGGTTTTTATTTTTCTCTGCATGGAGTTGAGTTTTTAGCAATTTTTGCTGAAACTGTGTATATGTCTACTACATTTACTAAATATGTTGGATAAAATTTCTTTGCCTTTTTTGTGTTGGCTTCAGGTTTTTGCTTGATACGCATTTGTAATTAGACAGGTCTGTAAAACGATTGTGAGACTGCATGGTAACAATCGGTATGAAAGCTGAATTTTAAAGAGAATTTCACTTATAAGAGGTCTATTGAAATATTTCAGGCATTACTGAAAATGTATGCATTCTCAGGAAATTCATAATTTTTTTTCTCCATGAATAAATGAAATAGCTGTACATTAGGTTTCTTATTGCTCTTAATCTAATCCAGAACACACATTCTGTCTTCTTTTTTTTTTTTTCCAGAAAGGACATTTTTTTTCATATAAATTGAATAAACTTTTAGTGATAACATACAGAAATATAACATACAGAAATTGCTGTATATAGAGAATTTGTATGGTGCCCGACATAGCAGATCCCAGTTATAAGCATAATGACCATAAGCCTCCTGTCATTCCAAACCAGATGTATGTTTCAGAATGATTGGATTGGGAATGTGCAGGCTATTAAGTGAAACATAATTTTGTACCTCTGCTGTCATTTCAGGAGGTTCCTCTATATTGTATTTGTTTAAAGTAATCACTGTTCTTTCTGCTTGGTTTCCTAAAAAAGGAAAAATAAATAAAGAGAAAAATCAACAGAGGTAGCCTGGATGAACAACCAATGCATGTGCAGCCTCACTGGATGAATGCCAAAAGAGTTTATGCTTAGAGGACTAAGAAATTCATGAGAACAGGCATGACTGGGCTAAACCCCACAGTGTAAGTAGGTAGGAAAGATTATAGTTAAGATACTGGTATGTAATATATTGCTACTAATGTTTTTCACAAGTGTTGGACATTCGTTGGCTATTTCATACAGTACTACCAAGCAGTTCCTGGTAGTTTTGACTTTCATAGCTTGCGTGTAAAATAAAATTTATATGTGTAAAATAAAAACATCTTATGATAAAACCACATATACAAAGAAAAGAGTTCCCCAGTGGAAGTCATTACCTAGTGAAAAGTGTATAGGGGAAATAAAATTACTGTATAGCAATCAAGAACAGACCGAAGGAAAAGTAAGTAAATACAATGAGTTTTTCTGAATATCTGCAATTTGAAAACCCTACAATAAAGGATGCTGGTTTTTATACATACATATAAATATATATATATATTTCAAAAGAATTACAGTACTTCCTGTAAGATTAGAATTACTCTGTTTCACCAACTAAATGGCTGTGTCTTTTCCAAAATAGTACTTTTTTGATACTGTATTATAAGTTCTGCCTGTGATATTTTTGCATTGCTCACTATGAATATCAGGCCATTTTGTAAATGTGGTTAAAGAGCAAAAAGATTCTTTACATTGCCAGCATAATATTATTACAGGGCTCCTGAACTTGAGTACATCTGTAGTTTGAAGCTCCAATGCTATATATACAAGAGATAATGTGTCCGAAATTTGATTACTGTGTTTTATTTAAAATGGAATGTTCTCTGGTTGTGCATATGGATGTGAAGTAAAACTATTAGCCTTAACTTTAACATCTGGGTATTTCATAGTGTTTATTATAGTACTGGTGAATTAGTCACCAGTCGATTTAAAAACAACAACAACAACAAAAAATTACTTGGTTGAAAAATTGTACTTGAATATCCTTGCATGCTGCTAAACAAGAATTTTTATTTCCCCCATAACTTTTTTAATCCTACTTTGTTAAGCTAACCTTGAAAAATAACAGGTCCAAACTAGAGTGGTGTGTGCGTGTATTACTCAAATATTCTGATGTGATATCCTGTATGAATGATCATTTAAGTACAGTACATTACTGTAGAATCTAAATCAACCTTGATAACACATCAGAAGATTATAAAACTAGGAATACAGTAATCGGCATTGTAAGATATGTTAATAAAAGTCTACTGTCAATCTGTGTGTTCATGAATTTTTTTCTCTCTATCCCAGTCATCCAAAATGACATTGAATTCCACCCAATAGCCAGGCAATTATTTAAATGTTGAAAGCTTATGCATGCAAAATACTTTGCATAGACAGTAAACCTGGTATGTGTTTTGTTACTTACAGTCATGTATTTTGTATTAGTAATTTGGATTATTTTACTCATAAGTATAGCACTTAAAGTTGTGCTTAATTTTATGCCAGCTATTACAGCATTGCTGCTGCAAAATGCTGAAGTTAAAATGTTGAGTTGAGAAACTGTACTTCTGGGATAACTGTGCTTGATCTTTTCTGTCAAATCTGTTTCTGGAATAACTATTTCTTTGATTTGATGAATGTACATATTTATGTATTAAATTTTTCCTTTTCTTTTGACCTTTGAGAAATTTGGTGAAACAGTTGTCTTTTTGATCTTGACCCATGGATAACAGCATCTGCCACCATCAGTGGTGGCCTGAAATTGTCAGTGAATATTTTCATCATCCCTGCAATAGGAATCTTGCATAACTCACAGTATTTCACAAGGAAATGACATTTTTCCTTTAAAAACAGGATATTTTCCTGCAGTATCCAACAAATGTTGTTCTTTCAGAGTCCCATGAGATCAGTTTGTGTTGTGTGTATAGCTGCCAGAGGAGGCTGAGTTTTGTGCTGATCTTCATAGGATTTAGATCTAATTTTCATCTAACCCAGATGCTGCAGTCCTGCTTTTTACTTTCTTAGAGGTGGGGGTAGTGATGAATGGAGCCTGCTTGAGCATTAGCATGGATAAGAATGAAATTATGCTGTTTGCAAAGTAAGAAACCTACAGGAATGAGCTGACCCAGCATGTGGAGGTTCACTGCTGTGAATTACCAGGATATGAGGAAGTGCACTTAATGAGAGGAGGCTGTCTCTGTGTGACACTTTGTGTTTGGTTTTGTTTGAGTGAGATTGCTCACTGCAGTCAGTGAGATCCACACTGCTGGGCTGAAGGCCACGCTGCATGAATGTCTTTTTGGGAGGGCACAGTGCCTGAAGTCCCTACTCACCTGTTTTCTCAGATGCACAGTTGTTTCCCTGCAAATTCTCTTACTCTGAGAAGAGTTCCAGCTCCTGCAAGTTCAGCCTTGTGACTTCCCCACCCTCTTCTCTTCCTGCAATGTCCTTTCACTGCACTTGTCATCTTGCTCGGTTGTGTGAGCTTATCAGTTGCTGCAAATTGATGTCCTTAAGCAGGAAAAGAATATTCTCTGTGAAGTCAAACACTTCATGAATTCTTAGCTGTAGAGATGGGGCAGAGTATTTTACCAAATTAAAAATCCTTTTAATTGATAAGTTTTAATTTTTCTATTATTCACTGTATCATTTGTACTTTCCTACCACTAACACAATTCAGGAGATTTAATGCCATATGCTTTAAATATTACAATTCTTTGAAATACTACTGAGAAAGCAAAAATTGATCTTATTAAATAAATGGTAGTTTCAAAAAGCTACCCTTACTACCCTAAAACATGTCTTTCACGATATATGCTTTTGCATAGTACAGGAAAATATGGGGAAAAAATCCCACTCTTTTGAAAAACATATTAAATTTAGCTCTGAGTTCCAGTTAAAATGTCTCAAAATGAGCTTTTCCTAAAGTACCATTATCTGCAAAGCCATTTCCTGTAATTCTGTCACTTGATGTAGAGCAGGCTGGTCTGAATTTGTGAAAATTGGGAGCTGGTTCCGTGGAAACCCCTCACATCATTGAATGATTTACTACCCAATAAACAACTTATTATTCCTTTTGTCTTTGTCCCTTGTATGTACCACATGGATGCCTAACCTTTCCATTTCCACTGAGTATGGAAACGTTTTAAGAACTGCAGCTAATGGGTTTCTTTTTCCTTCTTCCATTACCTGCTGTCATGGAACAGGAATTTTCTGGAAGAAAACTTTTCCTGTGAAATCAAACTCTGTCAGGCAATTTCTTATGCTGCCCATAATGTCTGTGTTAGTTGAGCTACTGGAATTGCTTACATCACTTGTTATTTAATACATTTCCTATCATAGGATGGCTTGTTACTACTGAATTTTTAAAGAATTTTGATTGAAATCAGTTATGCTGGGCTTATTCCTCATGGTTGGATTTTTTTTATTTTTAATGTTTGAACAAAAAAAAAACGCAAAATACCTTTCAGAGATTAGAACTGGAAAAAAACAAGTAATCTCCATGCCCAACATTTAAAAAAACTATTGTTAAAATATTCACTGTCTCTATACTATGGCCTTAAATCTGGTGACCAAATGTGTATGTTGAACCGAACTGAAGCATTTGCCAAATCAGAACAACATGTTCTTGGGTATTACTTGTTAAGTACTGGCAAATACCTAAAGCAGATAATGAGCCTTTGCCTGTTTTTTAGTTGACAGGGAATATCCTTTGCACCTGGCTGTTGAAGCCGCTAAGTCAGTTTGCTGTGAGAAGTGTTATTTTCTTTCTGTTTCTTTGAAAAGCTGGAGCTCTCTTCTTTCATGCCTTTGTTGTCTCCATGTTGTATATGCAACTACTTAGTTTCTCTAGTATTGCACAACAAAAGCAATACTTTTCAAATAAGATTGCATTTTCTCAGAGTACTTCATGCAGAGATAGCCAGGGGGTACAGCTTGAAAACTAGTTTGTAGAGACTGCAGCTGCTTTCTTGCTCTATATTGCTGGTCATTTTAGATTTGTTACAAATAATTTGAAAACTTAAAACTAACTTTGCATTTTTTCAAAGTATCTCCACAGACCTTAAGAGATACTGTCTGTGTTCTAGGACAATTTTCTGTTGTTCTCGAGAGACTTTAGTGTGGAGCTGCTGTTTTAATCTCAGCTCTGCAACGAGGTACTTGGTGAGAACTGCTCATGTAAACAAGACATGCAGGTTTTGTTAAACTAAGCTTTTCAGGGCAGCTGAAGGAAATGATAATAATTGTTTCGTTTAGGTTCTCTAGCTGTCTTCTTTATCCTGTTGGTTTTGTCTCAACTTTTGTAAGCTCCTTTAAGACAGGGAACACCTCCTGTTTCGATCAGTAAGTAAATCTTAAGTGCTGCTCTAATGTTAGATCAATTGGTGTTAGAGCAAATCCAGGTAGTAGGATCTTCCATCATCAAAGAAATATATATGTGCACACAAGAACTGAGTGAGATACAGCCCTTTCATGCTTTCTGCATGTTTTCAGACTTTGCTTCCTTGAACCTCAAATGTCCCTCCTCACACAGATATGTTGGCAGTAATCAAAATCAAGAGGAAATTAAAATGGGGTTGTTTCTCATAGGCAGCCATGACTCTGGACATAATAATCCCTCCTCAGTATCCGTACATCATCTTTTTTGTCCTGCCAGAAGCTGCTTTCTCAAGAAACAAATACTTTCTGAGCATTAAAGAGGCTTATTGCCTTTCGTGAGTCTAGTGCAGTGTTTGTACAACTGATACTTTCCAGCAGATGACTGATGTAATTCAAATAACCTTCAAATAACCTGGTTACTCAGAAATGGCTCCTACTTCCACTTTATCTCTACTTGGATTGGGTATTTTTAGTTAAATAATAGCAAGATTTCATACAGAAAATTTTCCTTATACAAGGAAAAGAGTATTTAAAAAAATTAGAAGGGTCCTATTTTAGCAACACTTATTTCGCAGACTGGTATTCTTTCTGTTTTAATTCTGGGCAAAATTAGGAACCATTAATCAGATTATTGCATATAATTTTACAATTCTTATCTGTCTAAAGAAACAAGTAAGAAATCCAAAGCAATCTGAAGCTAAGGTACTCAGTACCTCTGCTCTTCCGTGGAAGGATATTTCCAAGAATGCGGCAATACATTTTTTTCGCTCAATGCTGCAGAGCTGTGTGGCATCTTGTCCTCAGAAACATATGTCAAAAGACATGTTAACGTGTGTGAATACCAACAAGGTGGTTCCCCTAGCAACAATAAATAGCCCACTTAAGTGATTTACCCTTGTAAGTGTGTGGCAGGAAAGATGGATTTTGAACACTAAGGGAACTCATTAGCTGTAAGAAGAAGAGCAGCAAATAAGGGACTAGAATCATCCTAGCCAGCATTGCTATTTATTAGAATTGTATACAGCATAATTATAGGGAATTTGCATAAGATATCCTTAACATCCTTACTCTTTCCTTCTGCAGCTTTTAATTTTACGCACTATGGGGGGGGGAAAGGTTGTATCTGGGAAGAGGTAAGGAGAAGGCACTTTGGTTCTTTGGATAAGTTCATCTTCCAAACTTATAATAAGTATGTCCTACATACTTACTCAGACCTAGCATTTGAGTGATACAGGCCATTTAGTGGTTCAGATGTTCATCCACTAAGGATAAATGCATAGGTTTAAACATAATAACAGGCACATGGTGTGATTCTTGGGGATGTTCCACATGGGGCTAAGAGTTGGACTCTATGATCTTTATGGGTCCCTTCCAACTCAGAATATTCTGTGATAATAATAATTTAAAAATAATAATTAGCTATGGAATGTTGTAATGGCACTCCCAGTTATAACACTGCTGCCTCTGTGAAGAAAGCTGTACAAAGCAAGAGTAAGGATTACTCTAGGGAGCATCACACTCCAGCTCTGCAGAATAAAGAGTAAGTTGATGATATAAGGGTAACCAGACTTGTGTTATGGAAGAGCTGTACATGAGGTACCACTAACTGGTGCACATCACTTGCTAGACTCTGTGTGGCTCTTTCTCTTGGAATTGGTATCTAGAGTATACAGTGTGTAGGCTCTTCTGTGTGTATTTTTCTTGTTGGCTTTTAAGTCCTTTGAGTCACCTTTCCTCTGGAGTTTGGAGCTGGGAATGAATCCAATATAATTCCAACTCACTGTGGTTCAGCAATGCTATTTACATTTCAGTGTAAGTATCGCTACATCAGGCATTCTATCTCCCCCCTTCTGTTTCCAGGCGTCTGCCTGAGGTCTGCAGTTTGTGCTTATGATTTGTAAGGGCTGGACTGTGGTTATGCACCTCGCACTTTAGTCTTGGCTAGCATTGTTATATTGTTGCACTGCTTCTCTGCTCTTTCCCAGTGGTAGTGTAATTATTCTTTAATGCTGCCCTGCTACCTGCACAGTTTTGCTGCACTTCTCTAGTCCTTATCTGAGTACTCTGCAGCTGCTGGCTTCTTCTGTAAATCATCTTTGAATATTATGCATAAAGCTCCAATATTCTTCTCATTACTTCCTTTGATTTCAGAGGCAGTGGAACCCACTCTTATGTTAACATTGCTGGTATTTAATTTCCTTCATTGCTGAACAATTTTTGAATGGAAGTTTTCTCTCCTTTTTAGTCCCCTCTGCTGTTTTTTGTTCTATCCGTGCTGTAAAACTCCTCAGTTGCTTTGCCCTT